AAAAATTATGGAGAGAATAAGGTAAATAGGGCAAAATGTTAACAGAAGTGATATATAACTTTTTAAATTACTGTAAATTTTCTATCAGTTTAAAATTATTTCAAAGTAAGTTAAAGAATGAAATATATACAAAGTGATCTTTCAGCTACAAGTAATTTATTATACTGGTTTTTATTCTACTGGAGAAATCTCTGCTTGATGCTTTCATTATCTCAGGTAAACTATTCAAAAGAGTAGCTGAAATAAATGTGGAAGAAGCTTTTCTGAATGGACACTAATGTAGATAATAAAATCCTACTTAATAGTTAACAATGTACAATATTCTGAATCTTCATTAAACATGCTTCTTCTTACAGTAGTTTATCTCTTTGGAAAAAAAAAGTCACATATATGATACTGAAAAACCTTGAGAATTTGAGCCCTGTACATTCAAGTAATTTTTTCTCATAACTGATAAAGGATTTACACAGTCTCATTAGAGACTTATATCCTTTATTATTTAAATATGAAATTTAACCTAAACCATGACTTGTGTTAGAAATTAGATTATCTTTATGATTTCTGGTATATTCTGCTTTTAATTATAGTTTGGAATTAAGTGTTTAATATAAAAAATCTCCAATGGTAGCAAATGTCTGTCTATAGAAGAGGGTTTTTTTTTTTTTTTTTTTTTTTAATTTCCCCCCCCACCCCCATCATTTAGAGTCAAGTGATAATGTCATGTTGGGTCAAGACTGCAAGCTGTTTCTAAAATAATTTACATTCCTCATAAGCTTGGTAAATGAATCTAAAGAGAAAAGAGAGCTCCCAAAATATTAAAAACGAGGACTGCAGCAGCACCCTTGGAATAAAAACAGCTTTTTATAAAATAAAAAATAAAATAAAATAAAAACAGATTTGTTTGAAGGACTTCACTAGTTGTGAATGTACAATTTAGCCGAGCCTTAAAAACAAAATTTTCAGAGGAAAAAAGGAAATATGATCAGTTGAATATTAACATTACAATCAAGAAAAACTCAAAATGATGTAGTAAGACTTTATGAATCCTTTATACATTCTCCACTTGAGATTATCACTCAGTATCAAAAATTTGAGCAGGACCCATGGAATCCATGAACAATTTCACAAAAGAAAGCACATATACTTCAACTACAGTGAAGAGAAATTTAAAACTCCCCAAACTTCTATTTTGCTCCTTGAAATCATATTTTGACTTCAAGAAGTAAAACGAAATATGCCTGAGTCATAAATGAAAAGCACCCTCCCCCCAAGAAAGAGAGCTGTGTGTGCACGCTGCAGGGGTGGAGCGGGGAGAAAAAGGAGAGAACAAAGATACCCTCAACTTCCAGCAAAATCCTTGGTTTATTTATTTTGGGAATTTTGGGTATTTTCTCATAAATGCAACTAAGGTAGTTAAAAGAGATAGGCAAAAGGAGAAGAAAATTACCCCTCATTGATCTCTGCTCAAGTAGGCAGATCTGAATGTTCCTTGTCTAGTTCCCACTACATCTTCACTTTCATGTTCATTCTGTAGTTGTTGAATGGATGAATAAGAGGGGAAGGAGATGACAAGGAACAAGTAGCACCAGAACAGTCAACCTCTCAATCGCTAAAGTACTAATCACTAGTATTTACGCAAAGTGAATATAAACTAAGAAACGAAAACAGAGCCAGTGCAGAAGACAAGTAGTTGAAATTTATAGCCTTATACCTCATAATGTTACAGTAGGGACTGTGGAACTTATCTAGTTCAACACACTTATTTTAGGGTTCAGTGCATTCTGTAAGGATTCTAGATCAATGAAGGGATTCTATAAAGCTGGGTCCTGTTTCCACTCTGACCGGCTATGAGGCTCCCAAGCAAATCCCTTCCCTTCCTGAGGCCGATTCATCCAAAAGTAAAATAAGTGAGCTGAACTAGATGAATCCCAGTCTTCCTCAGCTGTAACACCGTATGATTTTAAGCTGTAAATTTCAACTACTTTTTTTCTCCCCTATGGGTTTTCCTGCAGACCCTGATAAGCTGATTCTAAAATTCACACTGACATTCAAAGAGAACCAGAAAAATCAAAACAATCTTGAAAGAGAACAAAGTTGGAGGACTCACACTTGCCAATCGCAAAACTTAATAAACAGGAATCCAGACAAGGTGGTACTGGCAAAAGGATGTATTACATAAATCAATGAGATAGAACTGAGAGTCCAAGAACAAACTCAAACATTTATGAGCAATGGATTTTCAACAAAGGTGATAAACCATGCTGGGACAATTGGATAGCCACAGGCGAAAGAATGAAATTGAACCCCTACCTCAAACCATATACAAAAATTAACTCTAAAGAATTTGAGGACTTCAAGAGTTTAAACTATAAAACTCATAGGAAAAAAACAGGTATAAATCTTTGTGACTCTGGATGAAGCAATGGTTTCTAAGATATGACACCAACAGCACATGGAACCAAAAGAAAAAAGCATAAAGCATAATTCATCAAAATTAAAAACTTTTATGCTACAAAGGACACAATTAAGACAGTGAAAAACAAAGAATGGGGAAAATGTTTGCAAATCACATATCTGATAAGGATTTAAGTATCCAAACTTTATTTAGAAACTACTAACTAATTCAACAACAAAAAAAGATAACTAAAAAATAGGCAGGAGAATCTGAACAGACCTTTCTCTAAAGACATGCAAATGGCCAATAAGCACAGAATAGATGCTCATTATCATTAGTCATTAAGGAAATTCAAATGAAAACCTCTACACACACACTAGGATGATTAAAATAAAAAACAGAGGGAGTAACAAGTGTCACCAAGGATGCGGAGAAACTGGAATCCTCGCAACCCGCTGGTGGGAATGTAAAATAGTATAGGCATTTTGGGAAGTAGTTTAGAAATAAAGTTTGGAAAACTGACAGTTTCTCAAGAGTTACCGTATTTATTACCCAGCAATTCTACTTTTAGGTATAAACCTCCCAAAGCTAAAAACATACATCCACATAAAAAACTTGATAGGAATGTTCATGGCAGCATTGTTTCTAAGAGCCAAAAGGTGGAAACAACCCAATGTCCATAAACTGAAGAATGGATAAACAAGATGTGGTGTATCCACACAATGGAGTATTGTTCAACCGCATAAAGGATGCTGATACAGGCTGTAATATCAATTTTGGAAATACTATACAAAGCGAAAGAAGTCAGACACAAAAGGCCACATATTGTAGGATTCCATTTTTATGAAATACTCAGAATAGGCAAATCCATACAGACAGAAAATAAACTGACGGTTGCCTGGGGCTGAGATGAAGGGAAAATGGGAAGTGACTGCTAATGGGTATAGAGCTCCTTTTGGGGAGGATGAAAATGTGCTGGAATTAGAGTGGTAAGGGTTGCACAACTCTACATATACTAAACCCAATGAATTATATACTTTAAAATAGTGAACTTTATGGTATGTGAATTTCAATTTTTTTTATAAAAGGCCCTCCTTAGAAAATTGATTTCCTCACTTCTATTTCAGACCACCTACTGGTTCATGAAAATAGAAACATTTGCAATGATACTTGACATTTATAATCCATTATAACAAATACTACAATAAAATTTCTTTTTAACCAAATTATTTATACATATCAGTTGATCGTCCACTTGTATTTAATTTGCCTCTAAACAAAATCTGAAAGTTCCTCTGAGTTCATGATTTGTTTTTTGAATTTATATTTTTCTTAAGTGACTAAAGCTAAACAAATGTCTTCCTTTTGAAATTTTAGCAATTCTGTCATCCAGAAACAGGTCAAAGTTTTGCTCTTGCAATGACATTCACACAGCCGTCTTCAAGCAGTACTTTGAAATTTAATTCCTTCTTCATAGGACAATAAGAAGGCTAAGCGAGCAACAATTTTTCAGTATCAGTATTGCAATATAATATGTATAACCAGATGCTTCAAGCCATGTAACAAATGCAGACTTTCTTTCCCCTGGAATATAAATAGGATTCCAGGCTTACTCTCTTCAGTAACAAGAATTTATGTGAAATTTTTTCAAAGCTCTCCAAAAAAAAAAAAATACTCTTTATCATCACCTTCTGTAATGTTGTTTTGCATTATGATTTTTGGTATCAGAAGACTGTAACTTTGTGTTAGCACTATAATCCACAATGAACTCTCCATCAGCTTTGAAATAAAATATTAATCCCAGTCTGATATCATTGGGTAGTACTATACTATACATAGATCCATATAAGTTAAACAGGAATGATCCTTCTAAAGATGCTAAGTATGTGGAAGAGGGCTTAAATACTTAAGAAATAAAGATCAAGGACGGCCACAATCAAGCTACACATGAAAAAGCATCAGCAGATTACAAGAGGGTAACATGATTTTCATTTTTAGGTTCAATGAAAATTGCATATGTTCAGTTTTTACTCTTAAACACAAGTGGCTTATACTGTACCAGGGCTGCCAGCCCCAAGAAAGACAGGAACACAGAAAGGATGACCTTAACCAACTTCAGTATTATTTTTGTATTTAGGTGTATAAAATCCATCCACTGCTTCAGCAACCTTAGGAGGGAGCAAGCCTAAGAGATGAAACATTTATACCTTTTGATTAAATTATACTATTACCTTATAAAATGATGTTCAACATCTGTTTCCTTAAAAACAGCACTGAGGGGTCTCCAATAAGTAACCTAGCTGATAGCTAAACTGCATAGAGAATCCTTAAGAGTGTAACATGGCAAGGAGTTCTTTTGCATTATGTGTATTCAAAGGATGGTGCTGTAGTTCTAACTGAACAACATCTTGATAAAACAAAAAATGGGAGAAATAAAAACTGATTTCTGAATCAAATGTGCACCACCTTCCAGTAGACTGAAGAGCTGGGAAATACAGGTAGGGTAAGGAGATATGCCCCATGTGAAGACAACGGCCTATCAGAATTCCAAAGAACAGTTAGAGCACAAACTGTTTTTTGTTTTTTAAACACATAGGCCTCAAAATTTTTCTTTTTATATAGCACATCTTTTCTAAATAATTCTCACTTTTCATTCCACAAAATGTAAGAAACCGTTTGCAAGAACTCACAACATGCAAACATGTTTCTCTAAGGCCATGAGCTGGTTTGCTAAGTTGCATTGTTTTATTCAAGTAAAAAGCCCTTCTAGAATAGGGGGTATGTAGAGGAAACCAATCACCCTCAATTCTCTGGCCTGCATACTTGTTAGGATCTCTATCACTCTGAAAGCCAAAAGGTAGAATGCTCACTTAAACATTAGCAAAATGGACTATATTTACACTTTTTTAAAAAAAACTAATGCATGTTAAATTTTGCTGGCAATTCTTTTTGTATGTTACAAAACAAAAAAGGAAAAGCTTAGTATAAGAATGCTTTTTCTTAGAAAGGTCAAACAGATACTTCTTGACATCATGTCCTTTACACAATGGCATACTGTTCATATAAAAGGTCTCTTATCCTATAAAAATCTTGACAAAGGCAGCCTTCTAATCCAATGCGTCCAGTTTCCGTCTAGAAAGTAAAAGTAAAAAAAAAAAAAACAAAAAAACAAAAAAAACTCTTTAGCACATTTCCTAATCATCAATATGCAGACATAATAAACAAGATATATTAACTGGGTTATTTGGTGATTGGTCTGGAATGGGTTGCTCTGCATAGAACACGGATAGAACATTCGAGTCATGAATCTAACATAGACATGTAAATGTCAGAATTCAAATAATAAAAATTTACAATAAAATTATACATCATTTCTTTGACAGTCCCTTTTAAAAGCCTTCAAGGTCATCATTATGAATATAAATTATGGTCTCCAGTTTGTGAAACTACCAGTCAAGAATTACAGAATTCAAAATGGCAACGCATCAGAAGGAAGTACTTGTTCAACTCATCCCTCATTAAAAACACACTTACTCTACGGACTGCTACTTGGTTGTTGCAAACAAGTACACCTCCTACAAATTCAGCTTGAATCCCCTCCCGTAAAAGAACTTGCTTGAAGTCTGACAGTCTTGGTTCGTTCATAAAAACTGACTGATGTCCAGGAACCTTAGAGAAGGTTAAAGGGGAAAGAATCACTTCAGATAAAACAGCAGACACACAGCTGTACTGAATAAAGTGAAGTAACTAACACAGGATCTCTAAGATACTTTCTGTCATTCTCTGAAGACCTCTGACAGATCGTATGAAGGCTGTAAATCACACTCCAAGTTGTTATTCTGAATTTTACCTCCTTATTTAACATTACAAAGCCCTTCAGATTTTCTGAATGTTTCCCAATCAATTTTTATTAGTCACGCCTCACAGAAACAGACATTTGCTGATGTGACGCTCTCCACTCACCCACTTGCCTGAGGGGGTCAAGGAGAGTGCCAGTAGGCAAAACTGAACCAAAAACTCGGTTTTCTAGATCCAACTCCTTCACTTAGTTCTGAGGGGTGTTCTCCCCTGATCCCACTTTCACCTTCCCTTCTCCCTGAGAGTGAATGCCAAAAGGTTTTAGAATCAGAAAAACAAGCGGCTCAACCTATTGCTGCTACTTGGAAATTGCCTTGAAGAGCACTAGCTTTAGCACACACAGAAAAAAAGATTCTTATTCCTCCCCCAATCTCAAGATCATCACTAGAAGGGAATCTAGTGACAGAGGCTGTCCCTCTACTCCTTACTGCACAGAAAGCCTGGAGTCCCCTGACATGCACACAGGACTCTGTTGACACAGTTTTAACACTGCTGTTGTAAGTTAATTACCAGAAATCTTTGCTAATTAGTGTTATCTCCTGAGTACATGTAAATACTAAATTAAAAATTTATCTGCGTTTAATAAAAGATTTCTAACTATATCAAAACCAAAAATGATTTCAGCTGAATTGACAACATACAAAAATGGAGGACAAGAGTTTCAGTCTTAGAAAACTATAAATCTTCTGACTGGAAGCAGGTATGTGATATAATCCTCACAATCAAAATTTAAATACTGAAAAAATAAATCATGAAACAATAATGTATCTTATAATATTTGTTAAAATTTCCTTTAAATTATCATTCCCTTGTCATCCAGGATATACACACACACAACCACATCTTAAGTAATCACTTTCTAAAACTCCAAAATCAGCCTACACCAAACACGTATTTTTATTTTTATTTTTTTTTAAGATTTTTATTTATTTATTTGACAGACAAAGATCACAAGTAAGCAGGCAGAGAGAGAGGGGGAAGCAGGCTCCCTTCCGAGCAGAGAGCCCGATTCGGGGCTCAATCCCAGGACCCTAGGATTATGACCCAAGCCGAAGGCAGAGGCCTTAACCCACTGAGCCACCCAGGTTGCCCCCAAGAACATATTTTAGAATTAAAAACATAAAAGAAAAATTCAAAGGATGGCAAATTAAGGAAGAGACAGAAGCAGCATGTGCGTGTTTACCTCGTGGGGGGGTAAGGGTTCCAAGGTTGGAATGATCTCGCTCTCTTCACCTGTCTCTTTCTCATCATCCCCGAAAAGACTCTTCATGGCCTTCTGTTGTGCTATAACGCTGGAATCCGAAGGAGCGTCCACTTGCATTTCTGAGTCCTCTCCATCATCCTTCAGTTCTCCTTCTTCTAAAATAACTCCTGTGTCCACTTTGGAAACTCTCATATCCAAGACACCATCTATCCAAGCTAATTCGGCATCTTTTGCCTTGCAAAACTGAAGGGAGCTGACAAGTGAATCTTTCAATCTCACCTAGACACGATGCAAAAGGGAGGGAGAGATGAAACCCTGAGTATAAATTAACAACAAAATATAGCCAGTTATTATTATTTCCTAATTCTGGTAATGCTTATTAAGATTCGAAAATCTTTCACTCGTCTGATCTTCACTGTGACTGGTAATGACCTAGTGACCTGTGAAATCATTAGGACCCCTGTCTACTTCCCAAAAGGTTCTTAACCCTTGGTTGCACCCTGGGATCACACGGCAATTTCTTAAAATACATGTTAATGCCAGGTTCTACTACCTTCAGTGACTTCCAACACAAATGGTGAGACTAAATCCAGAGCACTGAGTCCCCCCACCACCTTCCAAGTTCCCCAGATGGTTCTCATGTGCAGCCAACATTGAGAACCACTGATAAGCCTCATCCTCTAGTGGTTGCCGCTCTTCAGGAGTACTGAATTGCTTACTGTTTCCTTCATTACCATGAATTCACACATCCTTATTCTTGGAACGCTGCTTCCTCTTTTCTGCCCAGAATAACTTTGCTGCCTGGTGAATTCCAACCCATTTTTTCCAACCAAATCCAGACATCGCTCTTGCTTTAACTGACACCATCCCCCCTGCCCCCCACCAGATAAAAATCTAACCTCTCCTCTGTGCTACTCCTATTTTTTTATACCTGCCTCCATTTTTTTTTTCAATTAGGAATAGACCCTTGACATCAGTGAATTTTTATAAAACATCTGAATTCCTGAATACTCCCCATTCCCCTCACCTTCACACTTCTGCAAATGCTGTTCCCTCTGCCTGGAATACCCTTTCCCCCTCTCTATACCACCCTGATGACTGATCTAAACATCTGTTAGGCGTCAGCTTAGTTATCACTGCCTCTGGGAAATCTCTTCTAAGCTTCCAAATCTGGGCTGGGGTCTCACAACATCCTATACTTCCTCCATCAGAGGTAATAACAATGTGATAAATGATCTTTCCTTATTATAAGCCCCATAGACCGTAAGATCTACTAAGACAAGGGGACCATGTCTGTCTCACTCACCACTGAATTCCTAATATACCTGTCCTCATCTGCAACAAAAAGTCTTTGTTTCTGTGTGGCTCAAATGCCAGTGCACTTACCTGGTAGATGTGAGTTTCACTAGTGGCATCAACTGTTTCGTGTAGCTTTGGCATGTACACTTTAATATCTTTCCCACCGAATGCACGACAGCACTCTGCGAGATCCTGACTAGCCTCTGGTGGTCCGTGGACAATGATCAGCTGTCGTGGTTTCATCTGATTAATAATCTTTTTAATGGAATCTCCATCAGAGCGTCCTTCATAGTCTATATAAGTAACCCTGGCTCTGTAATTAGATAGGATAATTCAAACTTATTTTTCTATAAGTTAACTCCAAAACCAGGTTATTAATGGCTTTCATCAGGAAAGAAATGTATAGGATATATAAAATGAGGATTTTAGGAATACATGTGTCATACTGCTGATATGTATTTGAATGGGATTATTCAGTAGCTCTTAGAAAAAAAATAACTCACTATATAAAGAAAAATAAACCTAGATCCTGATCTAATGTCACATACAACAGCAGGTTGAGTTGAAACCGTAAAAGAGAAATGTAAAGATTTAAATTTAATAAAATAAGATGTACAAATTATGTTTGTGATCATGGACAAGGAGGGACTTCTTTATGTGATCACAAAACTGTAATAGAAAATATTATTTCATTACATCAAAATTAAAGGTATTTTTAAACAAAGTAGACCATGGACAACTCTTATAAATAAGTAACACAATGGGAGAGGATATTTGCATTGTCTGAAACCAACCAGGGCTAATATCCAAAATATACAATGAACCCCTGCAAGTAACAAAAAGGCAGCAACCTCTAGAGAAAAATGCACGAAGGCCACGCACTTGGAATTCACAGAAGACAAAAAAGGTAAGAAGCATTTGAAGAAGATAAACTAATAACCACAGTAAGACAAATTTAAACAATAGTGATATGTTACTCTATACCTACCAGGCTGGAAAGCTTTAGAATTAGATAATGCCAAATGTTGTTAGGGAAACAGGGATGAAAAAAGCCTTCTGCTCCACTAGCAAAAATATAAACTGATACAGCCATTCAGGAGAGAATTTTCTGATACTGTTAATATGCATTATTCAGATATCAGCTATACCCAAAAATACATACTAAAGAATAGCACTAGACAAATAAACCACTGTGCTCTCTAATGACTTAAAAAAAATTCCAGAATGTTGATTTACTGCTGTTACAAGCTGTAACAAACAAAAAAAGGTTTATTTACTACTTCAGGTTATAGTAACAATTTTAAGACATTGGGGCCCTAGAGATGTTTAAGGAGTATGTTTATGAACACTTAGAAAAATTAAACTTGTGACCTGCGTAAGTTCACATGCTACCAGACTTAATAGAAAGGCCAGAATGTGGGGCGCCTAGGCGGCTCAGTGGGTTAAAGCCTCTGCCTTTGGCTCAGGTCATGATCCCAGGGTCCTGGGATAGAGCCCCGCATTGGGCTCCCTGCTCAGCAGGGAGCCTGCTTCTCCCACCACCCTCTGCCTGCCTCTCTGCCTACTTGTTGTGATCTCTGTCAAATAAATAAATAAAATCTTAAAAAAAAAAAAAAAAAAAAGGCCAGGATGTTTCTTTGTATAAATATATAATTTAATGTTTAAACCCCACCTCACCACCCATTCAATCACACTGGAATTCAAATACCATTAATGAAAACAAAATGCCACCATACTTCACAGGTCTTTGCATGGAAAAAGAAATTAAATTTTAAAAGTACAAACTTACTAGAGGATATTCAGAAATTTCACTTTTGAAACAACGTAAGTTATGTAATTCAAGTTCTTAAAATTTTATCTTATAATCTAGTTTCAGAAATGCAACAAAAAGCACTTACTTTATTTCGATAGACTCTGTCGTAGAAATACACTTGGTAGGAACATCAGATAAATCCTGATCCATGGGTTCATCTCCGTTTGTCAAGCCAGATTCTAATTTGCTTTTCTCTTCTTCAGTTGCTTGAAGTTCTGGCACTAAGAAATCCTCTGGTCTAAATGATAAGTCTCTAATTAGAAGCAGTAACGAGCAAGCTAATATTACATAATATATGTAACTAGTAGATGGCAAAGTTTTAGACATCTCACGTATCTCAGATTTAAGTATACAACTTATGCAAAGCTAATGCAACTTTATAATATCAATTACCAAATGACCGCATATATTCTGTTCCTCCTGACCCCTGAGGAATGCTCTTTAAAACACACCATGGGGGCTAGTAAAGAAGCCTACACCATTAGAAGATCTCCGTGGCTACCTTAAGTACTATTACAACGTGGCCCTGCACCTTTCAGTCATTCTTTCTCTCCATCTCTATGGTTTCTCTTGCCAATTCCCAGTTCTTATAAATCCCAGCTTCTGATTTCTGTAAGAGCCCCACTTATCCCACCGGTGCCCAAAGAAAGTGTAGGACTCCCCGTTGGGACATTACCACGAAGACTGAGATACAAAATCACGAGCTCCCTCAAAAGCCTTTACTTTCATTTCAACGAAGCGTGAATGCACCTTTCTCTCCATTTTTACTTCTAGTATGAGAGAGAGTTGTATGTTAAAAGTAAAAAAACAGGGTCACCTGGGTGGCTCAGTTGGTTGAACAAATGACTGTTGGTTTTGGGTCAGGTCATAATCTCGGGGTCATGGGATCAAGCCCAGTGTTGGGCTCCCATGCTCAGCGCCAAGTTGGCTTGAGATCCTCTTTCTCCCTCTGCCCCTCACCACTCCCACACTCTCTCTCCCCTCTCTCTTTCTCTAAAGTAAATGTCTTTAAAACAAAAATTAAAAAACAAACTTAAAAATGTTCTTGCTCACCTCCCATAATTATCTACACCCCACCCCCAAATCCACTCACTCTCCTCTCTGGGAATGCAAGCCTCTGTTACCCAACACCTAGATTGCTATGGTAGCTTCTCAGATCCTGGAGTCCAACTTCTCCCTCTGTAATCCACATAATAGCAGTAGCAACCACTTAAAGGGCATTTACTAGGAGTCATGAGTCACAGGTCAGATTCTGTGCTAAGGGCCTTAAAAATATAACCTCACTTAAATCTTACCCCCACTTTTCAGATAAGGAAATTGAAGCAAAAGAACACTTGTCCATATGCTAAACAGACTGGACACTAACTGAGTGGAATGGTAAATAAACTCACTAATGCTATTTAGATTGTTATTTTCCCTCTGCACTATTTTAGAGGACCAAGTAATGCCCCACTTTCCCTCTCTTAAATGGGGAAAAAAAAGTCTTGCTCATCTTTTTAAACTTTTCACATACCTAGGTAATAAAACTGCTACTCTGCCTTTAAAATTCTTTAGATGTTCCCCAACCTCTCTTATTTTTTTTTTTTAAGATTTTATTTATTTATTTGACAGACGGAGATCACAAGTAGGCAGAGAGGCAGGCAGAGAGAGAGAGAGGAGGAAGCAGGCTCCCTGCAGAGCAGAGAGCCCGACGCGGGGCTCGATCCCAGGACCCTGGGATCATGACCTGAGCCGAAGGCAGAGGCTTAACCCACTGAGCCACCCAGGCGCCCCACCTCTCTATTTTTTTAAAGATTTTATTTATTCATTTTACAGAGAGAGAGATCACAAGTAGGCAGAGCAGCAGGCAGAGAGAGAGGGAAGCAGGCTCCCCGCTGAGCAGAGAGCCTGATGCAGGGCTCGATCCCAGGACCCTGAGACCATGACCTGAGCCGAAGGCAGAGGCTTAACCCACTGAGCCACCCAGATGCCCCACAACCTTCCTATTTTATACTATACTTTCACACTATACAAGTCCTCTGTATCTTTCAAAGTGGGGTACTCAGAAACTATCAAAGTACATGATATGACCAGAAAGTCCAAATTTATTGAGTTCTAATGATACACTGAGTTACACACAAACTACACAGTCTAATCTGGAAGAAAGAAATAGTTGTTTTGTTTACATACTTGATAATTTCTCCATATTCATCCCATTTAATTCTTTCTTCCGGGGCAGGAAACATAGGGTAAGACTTTTTAGCTTGTTTGAAGAAACTTCCTTTACGACTACCTTCACCTTTCATCATCAGGTCATGTTTAGTCTTGTGAGCCGATGGCTGATCAATGTCTTCCTCAACATCACTCTCATCACTGGAATCTATGTCTGCCCTAAGAAGATTGTAGAATAGATAAAGGTCATCAAGTCCCCACAAGATTTTGAATTAATATTTACAAAATTATTTTTTAATTAATTCAATGATAATTTTATTGGATTGGTAATTTTGTAAAATAGCATTAACTGTCAGTTAATAAATACACATTAATACTAGCACTGAAAGTCTCGATGATACTCAAAAAAAATTTTAGTAACACAACACACTAAGGTACATCATAATCAGTGAAGGAAAATGCATGCACACACACATACTACAGAGGAACAAAGAAAACAGTGACAGCATTGTCTGAAACTGCCTGCCAGAAACAAAGGAGTGAAGTCTGTAAACTGCTAATCCGTATTCCCAGTAAAAATATCATTCAAAAAAAAATATAATTTTGCCAGACTAAAACAAACAAAAAAACCCAGAAAAATCTGATGGAGGATATTGCCTGCAGATACGCAGTCCATGAAACAAATATCAAAGGCATTCCTTCAGAGAAGAGAGGATGATACCATGTGGCAGTATGTCCACACAAGGGAGGAATGAGAATAAGAAATTAGAAATATATGTGCAATATAAGTCATTTAAAAAAATTTCTTTTAAAAATAAAATTGATTTTTTTTTAAAGATTTTATTTATTTATTTGACAGAGATTACAAGTAGTCAGAGGGGCAGGCAGAGAGAGAGGAGGAAGCAGGCTCCCTGCAGGGCAGAGAGCCCGATGCTGGGCTCCATCCCAGGACCCTGAGACCATGACCTGAGCCGAAGGCAGAGGCTTTAACCCACTGAGCCACCCAGATGCCCCTAAAATTGATTTTTTAAAAACAAAACAAAAAAAAATTGGCACTAGAAGAACTTGGCATTCTAGCACCATTTAAAAATGTTCGCAAAAAGAATGAAGTCAACAGAAAATTTAAATACATATTCTTTTTAATTTAAATTCAAGTTAGTTAACATACAGTGTATTATTAGGTTCAGAGTACAGTTTAGTGATTTATCAGTTGCATACAACACCCAAGGCTCGTCATGTTACTTGCCCTCCTTAATGCCCACCACCCAGTTACCCCATTACCCCTCCCATCTCCCCTTCAGTGACCTTCAGTTTGTTCCCTATAATCAAGAGTCTCTTAGGTTTGTCTCCCCCTCTTTATCTTATTTTTCCTTCCCTTCCCCTATGTGCATCTGTTTTGTTTCTCAAAGAAAATTTAAATATTTTCAAATAAACTTTTGTATCTTAGAAATAAGTTCTTAAATTATATGTAATTTACATATAAGCTTCTAATCTGTCTGAAAATAACTCACTCTTTTGACTGCTCTAGTTTTTTCGCCGCTTCTTTCTTTAGTTTCTCTTTTTCTAAGTATTCTTCTAGTTCCTTCCCTTCAAGCTTCACACGTTTCCTCAACTGGAGAAAAACAGCAGAGAGAAGGAAGCATCGTTATCAGGGGTTAGGTGGTGGGGTGTGAGATGTAACACATCTGTGAATTTACCATCTTAAATTTGAAATTATTCAAGTTCCCATTACATGCAATTACAGATCCTCCTTAGATTAAGACCAAAATTGAGCTGCCACATCTCTAGGCTGGGTTTAATTTAAACTGGTTAAAAATCACCAATCAGGAAAAGAAAATACTAAGTATTTTTATAATTTGGAGTAGGTGAGGCCTACGCAAGACATAAAACCCAAAAGCCACAAAGGAAAAGATGAATAAATATGGCAACGTGAAAAAAAAAATACATCTCTTTGACATTTAAAAATTTCATACAATTATAGGGAATGGAGAAAATTATCTGCAGCACTACTTGACTATCAGAGGCTCTTTTTTCCTAAGAGCTCTTCCCAATCAGTTAAGAAAAAGATGATCAATATGTCAAAAAAGGACAAATCCATATATAAGCAACTTACAAAATAAGAAAAACAAGTAACCAGCAGCTATGAAAAGATGTCTCACTTTGCCGGTTTTTAAAAAATGCAATTTTTTTGAAACGTAATACCATTAAGATTTTATTTATTTATTTATTGGGGGGGTGGACATGAGGAGGCAGAAAGGGAGAAGCAGACTCCCCACTGAGAAGGGAACCTGACGTGGGGCTCAATCCCAGAACCCGGGGATCATGACCTGAACTGAAGGCAGAGACACTTAACCTAGTGAGCCACCCAGGCACTCTGTAATACCATTGCAAAATCTTTTAGATTGGCAATGCTAATTACTATATATCTATGGAAGAATTAGCACAAATATGGTAGAAGGCGATTTGCCATAAAAATGTGCCTGTAATTTAACACTGCATTTCTACTTCTAGGAATTTATCCTACGGAAACAATCCCAAGTGTAAGGAAAAAAGTACAATTGCAGCTATGTTTGTAACAGTAAAAAACCAGACTCAAGTTTAAAATCCACCAACATGGGATGATTAAATCAGTAGATTTCTCCAACATTTTGATCTCTAGATTGCCTTGGACTCTTAAAAATTACTGAGAACCCCAGAGTTTTTGTGGTTTTTTTGTAGATTACATATATTAATGTCTACCATATCAGAAATCAAGAATGAGAAAGCTTTAAAGTACTCATCTGTTCACTAAAAAATAAAATCATTGCATATTATCATATCTTTGCAAAAGGTAACTATATTTTCTAAAGCAAAAAAATATTGGAGAGCACGGCATTATTTTACATTTTTGCAAGTCTCACATAACATCTAGCTTCATAGAAGACAGCTGGATCCTCACATCTGCTGAATTCAATCTCTTGCAATATGTTGTTTTGGTTAAAGCATATGAAGAAAATGCAGCCTCACACAGATGTATAATTGGAAAAGGGAAAAATATTTAAATAGCTTTTCCATGAATATTCCTTGGTATTCCATCAAAACTCAAAAACTGGTGGTTTCTTAAAGATTAGTTGTAACGTGGAATCTGAAACCAACAACTTTTTATGCTGTTATATTAAAATATACTGATTTATCTTGCACTTTGAATGGCTCTTTTAGCGGAGCACTATTTTGTACCTACAGGCATTGGTTATTTGCAAAATACTAGTGCACCAAGTTACACAGCTCTTACAAATGTTGACAATATTTTAAAAATCACATTTGCAAATATCACCACCAAACTCAATCAGCAAAGCCGCCTAAGTTTCAGTTGTCATTCTCACAGTGATGGGCATCCCTTTCTAAGATTCTAATTTTCAACTTCGAAGCTTAAATTTTATCAGACGTAGGCAACCAATGCTATCAGTTGTTTTCCTTAGAGTGACAAGCTCAACTTACTCATCTTTGGGGGGGTATCTGTCGAATACCCAGGTCTGAATAACCATGTCATTATTTCAAATAAAAATGGTGTTCCAAGAAAAAAGTGGCTAGTTAACTCAATTACACACGTGGCTTTCCTCAAGGCAAACATCGTGTGTTAGTAAACAACACAGGGGCTGTGTGCGTACTGCCCATCCTGCCATCCAGATTATTTTTTAAAAACCTTTTACTAAAAGGATTTAATAAAATTAATAACTTTTACTGCTTCATCAAGAACATTCTTAAGTGAAACGGACCCTTCTGGAACTTTGTGTGCTGATGTATGATGCGACAGCTGTGGCAGTGGCTGGCGGCTGGTGCCACTGCTGGATTTACGCTGAGGCACCAGCACTTTTCCCACCACTGCTTTGACTCTGCAATGTTAAATGTAGGCACAGTGAAATGGCAAGCAATAGCTTCATATTCCTATCAGAAGTAGTTTTGACCCTTGGCGCTCCCTGAAAGGGTCTCAGGGACCCCCTCCCAGGGGCCCTCACACCATACCCTGGGAACCACTGGATTCAATAATCACTGTATATACACACACATGTGCAATTATAAAGTCACTAAAATGAGTTCGTTTATTTGAAAACACTTGAATGTTTATAATATAGCCATCTGTGCATGAGAAGTCAGGAGAGAGTTTCCCTCGGAGGGGAAGGTTCTGGAAGGGGATGTATGAGGTACTGCTGATATTCCTTGGTCTGGGTACAGACCAGACAGGTGTCTCTCACGCACACTTCCAGTTATGTTACATGGCAATGGACACTGAAAAAAATCTGTACTTTTTTGGCTACAGTAAATCTGTGGAAAGTGCTGCTATTGTCTGAAATGAGGAAGACTCAGAGAAGAGTTAAGTCTGGGACTAGGGGGAGAAGAAAGAGTACAGTGTTTTGCAGATGACCTTGTAGAGGGAAACACTGATAGGTCATGGAGAGAGAAGGTGTGATTATAGAAGAAACACCCCTATGAGGGGAAAAGGAAAAGAATCCTAAGTGTTAGTACTACTTATTAAAAAGTCAAAACCTAATGTTTCAAGTTATACCTCCAAATGTCCTTTCCTATTTTTTTCAAACTGAAATAGCTTTTTTAAAATTTTTTTTGAAAGAGCTTTTAATATTCTCTTTATTAATTCCTCAAATGGCCTATGCCTATCAACCTTAATTGAATTTCTAGTAATTATTATTTTCAAATTCACTATTTCGTATCTGATGAAACTATTTCACAAGTATTTCAAAGAGCTCTTTTCATTTTCTCTTAAAGATTTATTTATTTATTTTAGAGAAAGAGAGAGTGATTGTATGCACATGGTGGGGGGGCCAGAGGGAGAGGGAGAATTTCAAGCCGACTCCCCGCTGAGCACAGGAGCCTAACCTGGGACTCCACTCCATCACACAATCTCACAACCCTGAGATTATGACCTGAACTAAAATCAAAAGCTGGCCGCTTAACGAGCTAAGACACCCAGGTGCCCCTGAGCTCTTTTAATTTTTAAAGAAAACTCCATGTTTCTAAGCTATTAAATAACCCAAATGACAGTTTTTTCTTTGATATGTTTGCTCTGCATCCTTCCTTAATAATTCTGTATTTATAGTGAAGGTATAGGAGATTTCAGTTACTATTTTTGTGCTTTTCTTGAGTAGAGTTAAAGACTAAGTTATGCTTATCACTCAGCCTCTAACAAACAACATTCCTTAACATGTCTACTAGGAAGGAAAAATGAAAGAATCATCTGCAACTGTCCCCAACTGTGGCAGTTATTAGCCCATTCAGTATCCACTACTACAGATTTCAGTTAATGATACTAGCTTTGGAAAACTGACAGATGTGCTGGTTGGTTATTAAGCAAAATGATCTTTTGGCATACCGTTCACCTGGCTACTGTTTTGTGCTGGTTAACAAGAGCTAAAGCAGCAAATGCGGATATAGAAACAAGTTAGGCTATTTAGTGGGTAGAAGATATGGGGATTTTTGTCTGACTGCTTCTACTTCTTAGCTAAGTTCGAAACAAATTCATGTGCTACGGGTGAGGGCTGAGTTGAGTTGTGGGATATTTGAAGAAAAGGGGGGTATAAAGCTATCTAACTGGAGAGTAGGAAAAAAGAGTATCTTAGAGAATGTTGGACTGGTGCTGGGTACCCGTCTGAGATGTGACATCGCAAATGTGAAGGGCAATCTGCCCACACAGTAGTGTGTTTAACGCCAGTAACATAAGGTTGCTTGGGTATAAGCACAGTTAAGCAAATGGTTTAACTAGGGTCAAAGCTTTGCCAGGTGAGTACAATAAATAGGAGGGTAACAGAGATAAAAGTGTTTGTAAGTAATGATGGACCACTGACTAGAAGCTGGAGCAATGATGGATAGTAGTAGAAGTGGCAAGGTTCACAAATTAAAAGTCCCAATGGAACCAAAGAATTGTTGGCATGGGGCTATCAGAGTAAGTCCGAGGTAAGATCAGAGTGGGATGCTTGAGGTGGAGATCTTCAGAGGTAACCCGTAACAAGGTGAAGGGTACGATCACAAGAGTAGATAGCATGATTGTGGGAAGGGATGGCAAAGATGAAATGGAGGAAAAGATCATTAAGAAATAAGGTGTGAAGGGACTGAGAGGGCTGAGGACTTGGCCAGATCACACGTACGGATGCTAGAGTCATCAAGAATGCAGTCCTGAGTGCGTGCACAGGAAGACTGTGGACCAGGATTAAAGTCACCAATGAAGGACAGAGAACAACCAAGGGATCAGTAAATGTCAGAAGGGGTCAGAGTATTGTCAAGTCTGATGGCACGACCTAGAAAGGGAAGAGAAATGGCTTGAAAGCACAAAAAGGATCCCTGCCGCACCCAAAGTTCATGAAGCATGAAAGAGAACAAGAGCATCTACTTGAGAGACCTACAGGAAAAAGGTCATTGTTACGAAACAGCTAGATTTCAATTAGGGAAAGGATGTGAAAAGAACTTTTCAAAGAGTGCTTGAAAATATAGGGTACGTACGTGGCACCTTCTGGGCATGGTTCCAGTGGATACCATGGAAGGGTTAAAGAATGAGGATTTCCCATTAGGAAGCTCAGATCTGTGCTATTAAAGGCTCTCTACTGTTACTCTGGCAAAAATCTGGAAACAATTTCAAGTTTCATTTTTGGTCACTGATTTCTATAAACATCACACATGTGTCTCCCAAACACTTTTAAGATAAAATTCACATACAAGCACTTACCTCTATTTCTGTAATTTTTTCGGAAGGATTATCAATTAAGAAACGGGCTAAAGTCCCAGGAGTAGTTCTGTAAGTTAGAATGATTGAGTTTTTAGGGTCCTGACACCACTGAATGAAGAGATCCCTTGAAAATCCGCATTCCAGGTCAGGCTGGCTGGCGAGTACCACTTTGGGGCTAGGTACCCGAGCCAAGTCAGAAAGACCGTGACATAAAGAGAGATGGCGAAACTGAAATGGATTATTTCTTTTGTCTTCAAAACATCTCATCAATTTGTCACTCATCCATTCTACCTATAGGGGCAAAGGATGACCATAATTAGAAAATACTAGATTATAATTGCAATGTCTTCTTCAAGGTCTAAAAGTTCATGATCTGTCTTCTTTTAAGTATTTACCACCAATAGTTCATAAAACTTGTACCATTCTGATAAGCAGCTTATTTTCTGTTCTGTTGCCCCATCATATCCTTCCACCCCATAGCTCATCCCTAAAAATCCAATTCTGCACTGTATTTCAGTTACAAGTCACCTTAACTCTTACTGAGAAAGCAGAGAGTTAAGTTTTAAATAAATATCTTACCCAAGATTGCTATTTCAGGGGAAAGAGCTTATTCAGAAAGAAGAGAAAAATGGATTCCAACATTTATATCCTATGAGGTAGCTTCTACTTTTGTCCTCATTTTACAAATTGTGATACCAAGTGTTAAAGGAGAAGCAACTTGCCCAATCTGTAAGATGGCAACAAAAACAGAACCTACTTCATAGGGTCTAGAAGGACTAAATGAAATATCCCATGTGAACACAGAGAACAAGTGGTTCATTACCATTATCATCATCAACCTCTTTCACAGGAAAATAAAATCCAAAGAGGAACTCAATTGTTTTCTAGAAGTCCAATTTCTGTAGAAAACTTCTACAATACAAATGACACCATGAAAACAAACCTGGGACTTGGAAAACTCCACCACATTATAGCTGACATTATTTAGGAGTGCCAGCGAGTAGACACCCAGGCCTGCATCTTTAGTTCTCCAGATTTGATCAAGGAGTTGAGCAAGTTCCAAAACTCTGCCTGCAGTGTCCACTGCTATTAATACATTCCCATCACCTCGAAGTGTTTCCAGGACATTTGCTAGAAAACAAGAATGTAAAATCCATAGACAACATAACAATACTTTGCTACAAAATTAAAGAAGACTTTATCTCCAGTATAAAGACTGTAACTTATAGATAAGCGATTGTTGGGCCAGGTACACAATTTTAAAAATTCCACTCAGGTTATTACAACTAGTTTTTATTCTGTGAATGTAAGTTCATAGGGATGAAAGACAATGCCATTCATTCTCAATTTTTTTTCCACTGAAAAAGCGTAAATGAGTGGTCCCAGCCCTCTTCACCCACAGTACACATAGAAAATGACATTCTTATAGTATACTGTGGCTATTTAAAACTTTGTTATAAATGATTCCCAAATTTATACACCCTAATACACACATTCATACTCTCTATTTTATACATACACATTTTGTATGTTTGCATGCCTACACAATAAAATATAGATCCAATTCCCTCTTCCAACAAAAGTATCTTTATGAGTAGATATCCTCACTCTACATTAAAGTTGGCTTGGAAACATTTGGTAAAACCAAACTCTAGCAAAAACAAACAAAAAAAATACAAACTGATACCTTCTTAAAGTGAAAACAATATAGTACACAAATTCTGCCTTTTTTTTAAGATATTACTTATTTGTCAGAGAAGAGTGCATGTGCCCAAGCAGGGGGAGCAGCAGCCAGAGGGAGAAACAGGCTCCCCGCTGCGCAAGGAGCCCAACCTGGGACTCAGTCCCAGAATGCTAGGATCATGACCGGAGCCGAAGGCAGATGCTCAACCGACTAAGCCACCCAGGTGCCCCACAAGCTCTGCTTTTTAAGTAGACAAATGAAAGCAGTGGTTTCAAACATGTTTAAAAGTAGAATCTAGGGGCGCCTGGGTGGCTCAGTGGGTTAAAGCCTCTGCCTCCGGCTCAGGTCATGATCTCAGGATCCTGGGATCAAGCCCTGCATCGGGCTCTCTGCTCGGCAGGGAGCCTGCTTCCCCCCTCTCTCTGCCTGCCTCTCTGCCTACTTGTGATCTCTGTCAAATAAATAAAATCCTTAAAAAAAAAAAAAAAAAAAAAGTAGAATCCAATTTTCCTGTTGAAATCCTGTGTAGCTTATAAAAAAAGAGTAAGAAGGTAAAGCAGCTGGAGCCAAAGCAGAAGCAATGAGGGATGGCCCAGAGGCTCCTCTTTAGAACTGAGACTACTAGATTAGAGTGTTAAGACACCCAACATAAAAAATCAGTGAACTATTTGCACCCTCAGGTATCACCTTTGCTCATTTTTCTTTTAAAGTGTAAGTGTTTTGCTAATGGATTTTTTTTTTTTTTAAGTTTTTATTTAAGAGAGAGAGGGAATAAGAGAGTGAGCACCCAAGCAGGAGGAGCAGCAGGGGAGGGAGAGGGGAGAAACAGACTCCCTGCTGAGCAGAGAGCCCAATGTGGGGCTCGATCTCAGGATCCTGGGATCATGACCTAAGCTGAAGGCAGAGGCTTAACCCACTGAGCCATCTAGGCACCCTTTTTTAACAGATTTCTATGAGCTCTTTCTATATTCTGGCATTCCCTAGACATGTATCAGCGAATGCCAGGTAGAGCTAGCTATGTGCTGAATGACAAGGAGAAGTCAATCTCAACACCTATCCCACAAAAGCTGAATTCAAATGAACTAAAGTATCTTTTTCTACAAAATATGGTCACATAATATTTTTTCAAAAATATTAGAGTTAGGGGAGCCTGGCTGAGTTAGTTAAGCACCTGACTCTTGATTTTGACTCAGGTCATGAACTCAGTGTCATGAGATTGAGTCCCACAACAGGTTCCACACTGGGTGTGGAGGCGGCTTAAGATTCTCTCTCTCCCTGTGCCCCTCCCCAACCTCTCACTCTCTTTAAAAAAAAAAAAAAAAAAAAAAAATTAGAGTTAATCAATCTCTCATGACAAGAAGTGTTAAACAAAATAGAAGAAACTGTAACTCATACCACCATGCCCCTCCATGGAGGACATTACTACGTAATACGTACTCAGAAGTTGCTCATCTCTCTGTTTTCTCCTAGGCTGCACATATGTGGCGTTAAAGGAATCTGTGATAAGCAGGGAGGGTCTGCTTAGCATTTCCAAGGAACATCCATTTAAATGACTATAATAAAGTTGAAGAAGAAGAATATTATATCATTTCAAATAAACAACTGCTTATCTCACCCAAAAATATAAGCAACTTTCTTTTATAAGATTTTTCCTTCCCTAACTATAAAAGGACACGTGCTCATTAATAAGAAATCTAGTACATTTAAAAAAAAAAAAAAAAGGAAAATCAAGATCTTCTAGAGTACCACCACTCAGAGAAATTGATATATTTTGGTATATATCCTTCTAAGCACACAAATACACTTTTCTAGGCATATATATGTGAATATATTTTACAAAACAGGTATCTCATGTATGTCTCTATACTCAGTTCTATAGCCTGGTTTTCTCCCAATGATACTAAAACTGGTTTCTAAATCTATTTTTTAACAATTGTAAAAACCTCTGCCTAGGTTACTTTTTCTCATCATTATAAATAATCTCAAAGAACATTTTTGCAAGAAGCTTCAATTGCATTTCTGTTTTAGGACACATTCCTAGAATTTACTATAATATACAATTTTGCTAAATGGCTTTCCAGAAAGATTTAATCTTTTTCAGAAAGCTCTCTCTTTTCCAGAAGGAATGAGCAATTCATTGAATATCTCCTAGGAGAATACTACCACTTAAAAATCATTTTAATGATACTTAATTTTAAAAAGAATTATGGTTTAAATTTTTTGATTTTCATAACTTTTGTCCATTTTGTAACTGGCATCTTTTTAATTGGTTAAAACCTAGTCTTACACATGTAAGCTTTTAGGCAAAATGCTACAAATAATCTCCCTACTTTATTGTTCTTTAGTTTATTGTTTCAGATGTTTTAAATCTGTATGTAATCAAATCTATCAAAGTTTTCCTTTGTAACTTGGTCCACTGCCTTTATACTCAGAAAACCCTTTTTCATATCAAAGATTAGACTCACCTGTATTGTTTCATTTTCTATTTAACTCCAATCCATCTGAAATTTATTTGTTATGTGGTAAAAAACAAACAAAAAACCCACAAACTGACTTTTTCCCAAAATGTTTAAATACCATTTGTTCGAATACCCATACGTTCCTCATTATCCTATGATTACAAGAGCCTAAAACTTATTAGTCTTATATATTTCTAAATATAAGATACAAAAGATCTTGAGGCTACTGTAATCTCATATAAAACAACTATGAACTTAATGTACAGAAATTACAAAAGAAACCTCTATGAAACTAAACACCAAACAATTTTATACTAATGCTGTGAGTACAAAATGAAGTATTTAAAATTACAACTACTGTGTCCCCTTTTAAAAGGACTCTGACTTTAAAAATAGTTATATCATAGTCACTAACTTTACCAAAAAAAAAAAAAAAAAAAACCCACAAAGTTCCTTTAAATAGTAGGTCAAGTAGCATATAAAATATAATCCTATGTACAAAAATTCATCTCCTTTACAACATCTCCAGAGTGATATCTGCTTTATATAGTGGATACTTACATGCCAATTTATAAAATACATTATCTCTTATATCAAAGTTTCCCCCTTACAATGCAAAAAAATTCACTATTTGAGACTTTTAAGTAGTTCAAGATTTCTGGCTAAAAAGAACTTTTTAGTTTAATTTTCCCTCCAAAGAATGAAACAATATCAACTGCATTTCCATTAGCTTTTGTCTTGATATACCTACATCTCCCTCTTGTGGTTAAAGTCAACTGCGTAGACAATTTCTTCTTCTCCATCTTTGACTATTTTCCATATTGTTCCACCTATCATATGACCAGCTGGCAGAGGTGTGATAGACAAGCCATGTCCTTTACCTGTGTCAATAAGATATTGACAATACTCAGATTTCTTTTACAAGCCTAAAGAAAGCTTATTTATTTGTAAGCTATTTTTAATAGCTAATATATGCAGTGATACAAAATCCCAAAGTAAAAAGGCAAACAGTGAAAATGCAAATCTCACTCTTATGCCCCCCAGTTACTCCATTCCCTCCCTATAGACACTCTTGTTTTGTTATGAGTTCTTGGAGACATACCTGTGTTCATAAATTGAAATATTACAAAGAGATTGGACCCAATACCCCATTAAATTACTTAGTATGAACAAATAAATGTGAATATTTATTCACATACACAATCATCAAATGTTTCCATTTTTGCGAACCTCTAAACTGACGAAGTAACAATTCAAATCTCATGGTAAACAATTTATCCTATAGAAAAATTAAGTACAAGTCAAACTGTTGTGATGCTGGTATTTCTTGGCTAAATCATCAGAGTCCACCGTGGCACCATTTTCTCAATTTCAAAGCAAGGCTTCATATTTAATACATCTCCCTCCACAGATGAGAAATCTATACTTAACAGACAACTTCCTGACCTAATTAAATAATAAACTTCTTAATATCCATTTCTAGAATTCCATTATCTTCTACTATGCTGCCAGAGCACTGCACTTCCTTCAAGACTTCGATCACTACATTTAGTCATCTGAGCCCCTCAACCTAACTGAACTCCCAGGAGGACCTGGCCATGTTACCTTTGCGCATCATACACAGTAAACACTAAAGTCTTTCCCAAGTTACATGTCAAAAGGTTTGAGCTATTAATGTTGTGTTAGTATTTAGTCTGAAATATTTTAAAATCCAAATGACTTGGGAGAAGTTCAGATTTACATATCTGAACATGCTAATCTCTTCTTTTTCAGAGCACAGGGCCTATGATTTTTACTACAAATTCCCCTTGTACTTTTCAAAGTCAGTTAAACCCCATTAGTCCAATTACTTACTACTGGAAACATTTTTTACCTTTCAAATTCACAATCTGAGAGAATTTTAACTGCTGTATTTTATCAAAGGCTGCATCCACATCATCTAACGTAAAGAGGGTAAAGTCTTCCGTATTGTGTCGAGACTAAAAGAACACAAACCAGAGGTTAAACATGGTCACTGCTGGAGTGTAAAAAGCATTTTTTAACTGTGTGAGTTACCTGGTAAAGATCATACATGAACATCTGTCCCATTTTATAAACAGGAATGGTCGCATAGATGGCACAGTTCAGACCCAGCTTCCCGACTGCATAGGGGAGGGCACCGAGATGAAGAGGATCAGGGTGGGACAAAAGTACTGCATCAATTTGGTGAACATGCCTAGGAAAACATGATCAAAAGGCCTTCTCAATTTCTCCAATCTTGTTTTTAAGAGTAAAGAGTAGGTTGGGGTAAAAGAGCAAAGGGGCTGAAATTATGATACCTATCAGTATCAATTATTATTACCCCGTCCTGCATAGATATCAAAAGTATGGTGTGTTCCACAAAATAGATGATGTCTATACACATAAAAAAAGAGAAGGAAAAAGAAAAGAGAACCAGTCGATACCACACATAAGCTGATTTTGAATGACTACTTCATATACTATTTATTAAAATCCAAGAACTCAACTTAGAATTTCAGAAATGGTTAGGGAGAAGATATTTATTTATTTGTTTTTATTTTACATTTTATTAACATATAATGTATTATTTGTTTCAGAGAGGGAGAGGATATTTAAATGGCCACATTTTTATTATGAATTTTTACCTCTGCTTTTCAGCATGGCAACGGAAAGCATATTCACTACAGTGAAACCTCAATTAATAAAACGTGCAGTCTCACTGACAGAAGAAATTAGAAAAAAAAATGTTTTGCTACAAGTTCTATGTTTTTAAATATTTAAGTTATCTTTCCTTCCATAATTAGTACAATATGACAGCGTAACCGAATTCTTTTTTTGATGGATTAGTATCCTTTTGTATCTCATGGTCATTATTCTGGGCACCAAAGCTCAGTATGGAGGATCAAAAGATAAAGAAGTAAGCTAATGTGATCTGCTGGCAGACCCTCCATGTGGAAGGTTTATCCTCTCCTCAAATTCTTGTAAATTTACTCTTCTCTCAAATTAGGTGCAAAGTCTCTACTGAGATTCATTAGCTGAGTAACACTTAACATTTTACTGAATTTCAATAAACACAGCTCATAATGCAATCAAAACTTTACAAATGGAAACAGTCAGTGTTTGGATCTTTGGAGAAAGTAAAACTCGGTCTTTTACTATGAATTAAAACAGAGGAAGGAAAGCAAACACTGTGTAACACAAAATGGTATTACAGTGTAGAAAAGAGAAGCTGATTTAATAAAAGTCTAGATATATGAAAAGTAACTTACTTCCTCAGGGAATCTATAATATCCATAGAAAAGTGCTCATCCCAGCCACAGTCCAACAGAAATCTAAACTCATCAACTTGCAGAAGATAGCAAAGAGCAGACTCTTCTTGAACCCCAGAGAGGGTAGTTAATTTGATAATAGATGTCATTTTGGTCCAATAACAATCCAAAAAGTCTTTTCAAAAGAAATAAAAATATAATTAAACATACATCATAGGCTCCCAAACATAACATACAAATCAAGATTATAACAGGTTTCTATTTTTTTTTTTAAAACATGGAATGGCTTAGACATCAAGTCTACCGTTTTTTGTTTTTTTTTTTTAAGATTTTATTTATTTATTTGACAGACAGAGATCACAAGTAGGCAGAGAGGCAGGCAGAGAGAGAGGAGGAAGCAGGCTCCGCACTGAGCAGAGAGCCTGATGCGGGGCTCAATCCCAGGACCCTGAGACCATGACCTGAGCCGAAGGCTGAGGCTTTAACCCACTGAGCCACCCAGGTGCCCCATAACAGGTTTCTAAGTGGGCAGAAATTCCATAAACATACAAAGCAAATGCTTTATTTGTTTTTTAAAAAAAAAAAGATTTTATTTATTTGAGAGACAAAGAAAGAGAGCAAGCGAGCACGAGTAGGAGTAGGGGAGAAGCAGACTCCACGCTGAACAAAGAGCAGATGCAGGGCTTGATCCCAGGACACGGGACACACGACTTGAATTGAAAGGCAGACACTCAACCAACTCAGCCACCAAGGCACCCCAGAAAGCAAACACTTTAAAAGCCCTATTTCCATCACTGCTAAGTTTGAAAGTACAAACATGATCTTACATAATCTTGTTTACAATAAGCCCTTCAGTGGCTCCCCAGTGAAGCTTAATGAAAAGTGATAGACTTTACAATCAGTTTCAGATTTGAAACTACTACCAGGTGGTTCTAAGCAATTAATTAACCTTTCCTCACTTTATGTACCCTCACCTGTAAACATGAGTATTAACAACACATATAAAAAGGGGTGCCTGGGTGGAGCAGTGGGTTAAGCCTCTGGCTTTGGCTCAGGTCATAATCTCAGGGTCCTGGGATGGAGCCCCACATTGGGCTCTCTGCTCAGTGGGGAGCCTGCTTCTCCCTCTCTCTCTGCCTGCCTCTCCACCTACTTGTGATCTCTGTCAAATAAATGGATAAAATCTTAAAAAAAAAAAAAAAAAAAAAAAAAAAAAAAAGCCGGGGGGCCGCCTTGGCACAGTTGGTTATGCATCTGACTCTTGGTTTCAGCTCCGATAAGGATTCTCAGGGTCATGAGTTAGAGCCCTGCATGGGGCTCCAAGCTCAGCTCTCCACCCTCCCCACCCCAAAGAGCATGCTTTCTGTGTCTCTAAAATAAATAAATCAATCTTATGGGGCACCGGGGTGGCTCAGTTGGTTAAATGTCTGCCTTCAGCTCAGGTCATGATCCCAGGGTCCAGGATCTAGCCCTGTGTGGGGCTCCCTACTCAGTGGGGAGCCTGCTTCTCTCTTTTCCCTGCTCATGCTTTCTCTTTCTCTACCTGTCTCTCTCTCAAATGAAATCTTTAAAAATAAATCAATCATTAATAATACACATAAAAAGGATGCTGGAAGATTTCAAATAATGTGTAAATTACCTAGAATGGAGACTACCAAGTTCCTCAATAAATAACTACATAATGAATTAATGAACTCATTCTTCAAGGTGAATTTGTGCTTCCTTTATTTTTCTGTGATGGCAATGATTTCATTGCATTACAATGATTAGCTTTCATGTCTCTCTCTCCTATTAGACCACTGGTCCTTAAATAAATAGACCCCCTGAGAATCTGATAAAAAGCTATGGACTATTCCTTCTCCCCTCAGTCGTCCAAAAACAAACAAGGTGCACATACACATAGAAACCCACATACTTTTCAGGTGTTGAATGTTAAAAATGCTTGCACTAGAAAGTAAGCAACTAAAAAAACAGGTAGAATCTCATGTTTGCAATTCCTAAAAGAGAACTTGACACAGATGGTATTCAACATATATTTGATGGAATTTATGTTGGGATGCCTATTACATATAGTTCAAGGAGATATAACATGAACACAATTACTGGGATTTAAGACCTAGAATTGTGTGCTATTAAGCAGATGTTACAAAAACATTCATTAGCAAAGTACAACTCCACAGCAGTATTTCAGATCTGCACTCCTTGAAGTAAATTAGCCTATTCAAGAAGGAAAGATCAAGCACACCTGACGACCTCTTACCAGCTACCGAAGGTCCTATCAATAAACTCAGGTAAACTGTCACCTTTCATGACAGGGTGTCAGAAGACCAATCCCACCACATCTACCATTCTTCTTCTTCCCAGTCACAGACGAAGACCCAAGACTCCTGGATTGTCCATTATCACTGATGTGCACGTCTGCCAGTCGGATCCACTCCTCTACTTTCTATCCTTCCCAAGTCCTTCCAGTAGGCCCTCTGTAATGATGCCACTTACCCTCACCTGTAACTGCACCGAAGGTTCTCTTCACCAAAACGACTTCTCCTGCAGTGTTCCCCAGGGTTTTTTCCCTGTACACCCCCTGTGCCTCCAAAGCAGGACGTTCATGCTCCTTGCTCCTCCCCGCAGCTCCCAAACCAGATCTTCTCCTTCCTCCGCCATATACTCCGGGCCCTGCCAGCTAGTTCACCAGGAGCCTTCCCACTTTCCTCCTCACTGCTGACGTGGGTTAATTGGACCTCATTCACTGCAGACTTTAGTTCCTGACTCCCCGTCTTCCTCAGTAACTCAACTACTGACTCTAATCCCCCGACTTTCTCAATTCCAATAACCTCATCTCACTTCAACCCCTGGACCTCATCACACCTAAGCTGCACCATTTCCAAACATTCACCTTCTGGTGTCTCATGCTGTCATTCCTGCCCTGCTTACTCAGTAACCCCACTTCGAAAATCCTTCGGACTCACTGAATCTCTAACCCATCCCCCACTCTTTCACCCTCTCCTGTCTCCATTCATGTCCTTCCTGCTGATCCACAATCCATCACGAGTATCTTGAAAACACTATCAGGCATCTGGCTGCTCTGGTCTTCTTTGTAGCAGCCTGGTAGAACTCCCAACTCCGACTGATTCCAATCCTTCACTTTGCCTATTCCAGAAACTGAATGTTGCCAGAGGAAAAAAGAACCCCAAGACTGTGCTATTTGCTCTTTAAATTCATGGTCAAAAATCTCAAATGGAAAAAATATATATATACGTGTATCAAACAGGCACTAAGCACTACCTATCAATCTGAGTTTTTGTAGTAGGTTGACTATCTCTGAGACTGTGATTTTACACTGCCTCCTCTGCTCAAGCATCATGTTCCACTCCCTCCACCCGACTCTCAGCTGATAACCTCGCCTCATTCTTCAACTAGAAAACTAAGCCGTTAGACAATAACCCATTTTCCAATACCAACTCTATTAATGCATCTGCATGAACATTGTTGTCTCCAATTACATGGAATCGATAGCCTTGCTCTCATCCAAGGCCAATCCCCATGAGTACTCTGGATCCCATTCTAATTTTTTGTCTTCTAGAGGACTGAACCTCTTCAGTCACCCCTTCTTTTCCCTGCATTATCCATGTATCACTGATGTACCACTCCTATTAGCAGACGCAGATCGTCTAGAATTTCCCAATTTAAAAGAACCCTCTCTTAATCCTACAATCCCCCGCAAGTACTTCATCATTTCTATGCTCCCCTTTCACAGCAGAGGTTCTCAGAATATTTGTCCACAAATGTGTCTCCACTCTCTCACCTCTCAAAGCTGGCATCTTTCTCCACCAACCCATCAGAAGTGCTTTCATCAAGGTCACTGACCAACCTCTATGTAATTTAAGCCACTGGGCATTTATTCCTCTGGCCACAACTGGCGGAAACCAGAGCAGCATTCAGCAAAAGTAAGTGTTCGGCCTCCTTGAAATGTTCTCCTCACTCTGCCTCCGTGTCAACCCTCTCCTGGTTTTCCTTGTATCTAACTTAGGTCACTCGCCCATCTCCTTTGCTAGTTACTGTCTTTCTTCAACCTCTAAACACAGCAGGGCTCTTCAGTAGGACTTTTTTTTTTTTTTCTTTCCAGGTAATCTCACCAGTTCCACAGCTATAAATTATCATCTGACCTCTGATGGCATCATCGTTGAGTCCTGCCTTTCCTTTGTATTCCACATCCAGTCTCTCTTGAAGTGCTGCATTTTTACCTCCATGCGATTTCTCAAGTTTCCTTCTACCTCCACTGTCACGAAGATCTCTAGCTAGTTTGTATATTTTCCCTGCCTCAAATTTATTCTGAGATGGTTTTCTAACAACCCTAACGTCCTTGCCTACCTGTTACATGCTGTAACATCACCCCGCTTCCCTCAAAAGACTTACTGCTCGCTATTACCTGCTCTTTATTTACTTGCTTTGCCCACTCCCATCTCTCCTGCTCACCCCAGCAGTAGATTATGGACTCCATGTAAAAATAGACCTTATCTATTTTGGGTACAGTTACCCTCCAATGCCTCTATAGTGTCTAACACATAGTGGGGGGGTCAATAAAAGCTTATTAAATGAATGAAGCATGGCTAGTGTCAAGTGAGCTTAGTGCCCTTACTGCACCATTAACAGTTACCCATTTATATGCACTTCTCCTTGCTTGGGAGAGGTCTCTTGGATGCAAGCCAGGTTTGACCCATGTTTGTATCCTACTATATTAGCACATGTTTTAAACACACAGCAGTTGTTCAGTAAAGAACTGATGAAATAAAGAAGTTAAAATTAAAAATATATTGGCTTAGCATGTTCCTATTCATAAGGTAGGAGAAATACGAAGATTAATATCTTTGTAAATACAAAGATATTAATGGAAAGAATCCTTTGGAAAGGATCTAAAGAAAATTCTCCCTGCCAAAAAGCTTCCTGTGCGACAATTATATTAATGGTCTAAGAGAAACCCTTTTTTACTCAAATCCACTTTAACTTCCACTTTCTTTAGATTATGAAGTGAAAATACAAAAGATCTTGCAGACAGAAGTAAATTAGTTCATGTTAAAGCTCTGCACACAGACCCAGATTTCAACAGGTGAAAAGATATTTTTAATACAATTGCTCATCATTACTTACTGATATCTCAGTTGTACATAGGGTGAGACACCATGAATTCAAGGGAAGAGTTCTTTGTAAATCTAAAAAATAAAGAGAGTCTGATGAATGTGGTGTAACAAATTTACTTCTGTTTTTACTTATGGTGTTTAACTTCTATGTCTTGCCCTAAGATGAACACCATGAGCAGCAGCAAGCAGTGTAATAAACGGTCCTTTTTTAAAAAAAAGAAACTTGTTATAATTTTAGGAAGCTAAAGCTTACATAAAACAGAGATAATAAAAGGATAATAAAAGACAAAAATAATAATGTACCAAATTGGTCATAATCACAAGCTAAAATAATGCAGTTTAGGAAACAAGATTTTAAAAACCAACATTAGCTCATATTATTAAGAATCATAAGAGGTGGGATCTTAAATTACTTGCTAAGGATTAGGAGTACCTGAGGAGACAAAGAGAAAAGGTATTGAAAACGGGGGAATAACATGATCAAAGGCACATAAGAACTGACAGAGTTTTAGTGGAAAAACCAGCTGGGCACACTTTCATATAAGCAAAAAATGAAAGAAAAGCCCTAATGAATAGAAAAGGGCCAGATAATGGAAGGTCTTGGACTCTAGACCTAGCTCTTCAGGCAAGAGAGAAACATTTTAAGATCTACTATGAAGTAAGATGACACAATACAGGAAACTCCGTATTTCTGGAAAATTACCTGGTGGGTATGACTGATTAGATAAGATACAGAAAGCAAGGAGATAAAAAGGAAGACTATTTAGCAGATCACTTCCTCCTTCCAACTTTGCTGATTCTATTTTGAGACTAAATTCCTTTAACCTCAAAGGTACTTTATAATTCTCTGACATGAATTCATTAGTCCTCATCTAACCAAGGCTACTTCTTGAGTAGTCTGTTACCAACTCCTGATTCTTTTCCCCTCAAAATGCCTCACCTGTGTATCACCCCCTTTCCCTTCCCATCACCAGTACCTTAAAGCAGGGCCTCATCACCTTATATTTGGGTTTCTGTTTCTCTCCCTCCAGGCTTTCTTCCCTTCATCTCAACCTAAACATGACGGTCAGAATAATCTACTGAAACACCTCTCCACATATTAACCCTTGCTCAGAAACCTCTGAAAGCTTCTCACTGCTTGAAAAAACAAAAACCTGAATGCCTTAACTAGCAACGGGGGGCACCAGCAAGCTGCTGACATCCCTGCTCACCGCTGTCTCAAGGCCCAGCTCAAATTGCACCTCCGTATGAATTCCTAGACTACATTGGCTTTGCCCAACAAAAATACAACGCAAGCCACAAACGTAATTAAAACTTTTTTTCATAGCCACACTGAGAAGTTTGACAGGTGAAGTTAATCTTAATATACCTTATTGAGCCCAACTTATTCAAAATATAATTTTCCTATGAACCTATTAGTTATTGAGATATTTTACCTTTTCATACCAAGTCTTTGAAATCCAGTGTGTATTTTATATTTACAGCACATCTCAATTCAATCTAACCACAATTTCAAGGGCTCCACAGCTACATGCAGCTAGTGGCTACTGTAATAGCACAAATCTAGACTAAAATCAATGCTTTGTACCGTACTCTGCTGTGCTCAGCCACTCCATAAGGTGCAGGTTGGCACCACCCTATTTTTATGTACATATCTTGGGCTTGATTTTAATGGAATCACCAACCATTTAGTCTTCTGGACCAAAACCCCTGGAGTCCCCTGGAGTCCCCCTCCATCTACCGAACTGCTGCCACCTGTTGAATCCTATTTGCCATTTCAGAAAGGTCTCTCTCACACCCTTCACTATCCTATTTCAACTGAGGCAATCATTACCTTACCTCAGTGACAATTTCCTCTTACCTAGTTTTCCTGTTCCCAGCTGATCCTCCATACAGCTGTCAGAGACCACCCTAAAAAAAACAAATATACTCATGCCCTTTCCTTGTGCAAAGTATGCACTTTCTAACAAATGAAATCTGAACTCCTTAGCTGGAAATCAAGGTCCTTCACAAGCTGCTTTCAATCTCCCCCTTCCTTCACCAACCACCCTTGCACTGCATGCTCAAGGACGTTTATCCTCCCACTCTCTCTCAGTATGCCAAGCTTGCCCAAGTCTCTAGATTCAGGAATGACCTTCTCCTGAGTCTTGTAAATTCCTTCTGACCCTTCAAGACCCAGCTGAAATAGTTCTCCTTTACGAAGCTTTTTTCGTAGTCTCAGGAGGTTATTTTTTTTCACCTTGCGCAAAAGGGGAACCAAGAATATTTGTTGAATGGATGCTGAATGTATCCGCAAAGAGCAAAAGCGATCATTTTTGTATTGCCAAATTCAAGCACAGCACTCAAAGCGACATACATGTGTGCTTAAAAGAATGAACGCCAACGATCATCAATTCCTTCCTGACGGATACTACTACATCTCAATTATCTTTCACAGTTACTTGCGAGAGAAATGACCTTGCGTGTTGGAGACAGCTAAAGGGAACTAGGCAAAAATCAAAGGGAAAACGAAGGAATCTGGATTGGCCCCCGAGCTTACGGAGTCCAAAAAGTCTCTTCCTGGTCAGTTCGGGAAGAAAACTGGCTTTCTAAAAAAAAAAAAAAAAATTATATATATATATATATATATATATATACACACACACACACACACACATATATATGTGCATATATATATATATATATATATATCTCACAGGGGTTATAAGATAAAAAATTAGGGTATGGGCAATTGATAATTCATGTTCGGCTGGTGACAGGAGGCCGGACTCGACGGGGTTAAGGCTAGTCTGACTTCCTGCTTACCTAAGAGCAAATAAAACAGAGATGGAAGCGCTCGAGGGCAAAGGGAGCCTGAGCTGGGGAGCTGGGGGTAGCGGGAGGAGCAGAAGGCCGAGACCATTTTAATAAAGCACAGTAACATCTTAAAAGGTCCCTGGAATCGACTAACTAAAAAAGAACGCCTTCTTTGCGCCCAGTGCTTAGCTACCTCGTGGTCTCTGAACCCGAGACCACGCAAGACTCCCAGCCAGGAGGCTAAAAAACACGGCAACGACGAGGGCCAAAGGCGCCAAAGCTGGCGCCGGATTAACTCATCCAGCCGGGGAACAGCAAAAAAGAGGGAAGGAGAACACACGAGTGAATCGTGCGGATTGCCACAAAGACCGGGGGCTTTAGACCCACGGAGAAATCACATCTCTCCCTCGATAAGCACTTCTGCCACGCCGGGCCAGGACAGTCGCCACCGAAATCCCGGGAGCATGTCCCCAGCGCAGACCCGGACAAGGTGGAGCCAGGGTCTCCCTGAAGGCCGAGGACGCCCCCTCCCCCATCCAAAGGCTCACTCCTTCCCTCCGCCCCCACTTGCCTCGTCAGTCCTCCCCCAACGCCGTCCACTGCCCTTCCCAACCCCTAGTCGAATCCAGGTTCAAGAGCGAGACAAGCTGATACTCGCTCAACACCACCCGTGAAGACCAGCCAGCAGAAGCCCCCTAATGGCGGCCGCCATTTTGAAAGGGGAGGCGAGCCTCTGAGGCGGGTAATGCCCAGGGCGATACCATGTTCGGGGGGGTGGGGACGAAGCTGTGGAAAGATGGTTCTTACGACAACAAGTCTCGTCACCTTGCGCCGAAGTCTTATTTTTAAACAATTTATAATGCTTAAAAGCTAAAATAAGTACTATAAGATCCCAACATCCCAAGGGAGAAGAGGTACAGTTTCGCAGCTCCACCCCTCTCTTTGACCCGGCATGGCGAATGGCAGGTCCCAAGGCCGCAGCTTCCGCCGGCGCCGGTGACTGAGTTCGTCGCTGCCCTTGGTTGTGGGGTCGTTTTTGGCACCAAGGGCGCAGGTGGGTCCTGGGTCCAGGATGGCCCGAGGCGCTGCGGGTCCCCGTTGTGTAGACAGGGAGGGTCCACCTCTAGGGAAGCCCTCGGCGGCGGTGTGTTTAGGCGAGGGGTGGTCTGGAGGTTCCCCCCGGGGCTTGCGAGCGGTGGAGACGGGAAAGGGAAATAGGGCTTTCTTCACGTAGACAGCTGGGCTCATGTTTTGCACCTGACGGCTTTTGGGAAGGGGAGTGGGAGGTTGTCGTTATTGGAAAACGTCCTTAGGGAACATCAGGTGACCGTCCCTGACCTGCCTGAAGAGAAGACAGGCCGGTATCACGTCCCTAGGCTGGAGGGAAGGCGGGAGCATCACAGATGGGTCGAAGTTTTCAGCGTTCTGTCTCTTGGTTGCTCAGGATTGGAAACTAACGTCAGTCTCTTCCAAATCGCAAGTCTTCTTGAGCCGACCATTCCACACACAAAAATCACTTTTTAAAAACATAATGTTTAATTTGCACTAGGTTAAGACACGGTTCCAGACCTCAAGGAGTTCAGTTTCTCCGTGCATCCAGCACTGCTTTTCATAGATTGTATGTATTGTTAAAAAAAAAAAAGTCCATCTAAAATGCTGTGGGGACCAATTAGAGATTAGGACTTAATTTTTGAAATATCTGTTCATCTACGTTTTAGAACATGAATTGACTTACAAAAATACACTCCAGATACATTTTTCTTTTTCTTTTTTTTTTAGTTAGGCGGGAAAAATTGGTTAAAGAAAAAGTAATGTTAGGGGGCGCCTGGGTGGCTCAGTGGGTTAAGCCTCTGCTTTCCGCTCAGGTCATGGTCTCAGGGTCCTAGGATTGAGCCCCACATCAGGCTCTCTGCTCAGCGGGGAGCCTGCTTCCCCCTCTCTCTCTGCCTGCCTCTTTGCCTACTTGTGATCTCTCTCTGTCAAATAAATGGATAAAATCTTAAAAAAAAAAAAAAGTAATGTTAGGGAAAATAAGTTAACACTGAGTGAGGTCAATCTAAATGTTCACCTCTGTAGTTACCCTAGCAATCAATAAAACACAAATAGCTTGAACCAAGAAGCCAGACTGCCTGAATGTTAATACTGGCTGTGCTACTTAACTGCATCTGTGACCTTAAGCAAGTCCATTGCCCTGGATTTCCTCATCTGAAAAAAATATGCCTACTAAATTGGGGACATTAGTGAATACATGGTATAGAATTGGGAAGATTACGTGAGTTAGCGATTATGAAAAGCAGTAAGAACTGTACCTGATAGTGCTATAAGAGCTCTTTCTAGAGCTACGGCAAAACATTTTAAACATTGGTAACAAAGGAGGGGTGATCAGTTACGTGATTCCTTGAGTCCATAAGACAAAAACAGATTAGTTTTAATTAGGAATACCATAGCAAGTCCCAGTTGTGATGTAAAAGGATTTTTCATGAGTCTTATAAAGCAGACACTACTGGAGCACCTAGGTGGCCCAGTTGATTAAGCATCAGAGTCTTGATTATGGCTCAGGTCATGATCTCAGGGGCATACGCTGGTGCCCCATGTTTGCTGAGCATGGAGCCTGCTTAAGAGCCTCACTCTCTCCCCCTTTGCTCCCTGCCCCCTCAAAAAAACCAAAACAAAACACTAATATGTACAGTGGCCTCATGGGCACCCATGTGGATGTCACTGTTCATCCACACTTCAGGGCTTGTTTCATTGGAGCTTGTCCGAGGACCTCACTGATCTTTGCCTAACAGATAAAGTCCCCTATGGTCTTGGGCTCATGACGAGAGCCTGTCTATACTCTCCCTCCTATCCATTCTCCAAGAAATCATTCTAGCTCACTTCTTAGGTCCATAAATCTTTGTTCTCCCTAGTCATTCACTCAGTGAAATACAGAGAACAAATTATGCTAAATGCCACGGCTCCCAAAGTCCGTTAGATTATACAAGTGTAATACGAAATGTCTCTGGGACTAAGATTTGTTATTTACCTGTTAGCGATGGAATCATGGTAGCTGAACCCAACTCTGGATTTTGAGTACACAGAATCCTTTTATCAGTCTTCACCTGTAGAGTGTATATAAGAGCTTATGTGCCGCCAGTCTCCAGGGTTTGTCTCCCCTCTTAGATTCTCAGAGTAGAGCCAGACAAAAGTAGCTACTTGCCCTGTTGGAAGAATGCCAACAACAATAATGGCTTATAACCCACAGGTGGCCATGGGCTTATTTAGAACAGTCTTGGGCTAAGTCAACAAGCACTTTTGTCGTTGGTTAAAGTACATACAGTATCTGACTCACCTGTGCTGAGGGTTAGGCTTGACCCCCACAACACCCCTATTAAGAAATTTGAGGAACCTATGAGGACAGGTGACCGAATACATGACCGCTTGAGTTCTACAGAGACCAATACTGTCTAGTATTTTGCAGTTTTGTGCTTTCAAAGTTATATTAGTTGATTAAGGCATGTTTTGTTATTCTTATCCTTGACTGGCTCAAATTTATTAAACAAGTTAAGTGGCTAATCTGGCGGGCACCTGGTCAGATTCACGAAGAGAGCTTCAGTATCTAAATGCAAATAACGTTACTTAAGGCATAGTGCTGAGAGAGCCACCATCTTCTAAGAAATAAGTTTGCCCAAGAACTGTTTGCATCAAATCAGATAACAAATTCTTTCAACTAGATTTTTCCAGCCCCACAAGGAAGGAGGATCAAAAGTACCTATTTTGTTAGTTTTAAAGATTTATTTACTAGAGCACTCGATCACAGCAGGGTGTTGGGTGTGTGGTGGCAGAGGGAGAGAATCTTGATACAGACTGACTGCTGAGTGGGGAGCCCCAACTGGGACCCAATCCCGCAACACATGAGATCACGACCGGAGCTGAAACCAAGAGCCCAATGCTCAATTGACTGAGCCACCCAGTCTCCCCCACCCCAAAATAAGTCCTTATTTTGATAAAGGCTCCCCAGACGCTTTTGATGTGCAGATAGGTTTGAAAATTCCAGCTGTAGGAGGTAGACTAAAACTTTAATGACTAAACTGTAAGTTATATATTTTAAATAACTTGTTAACTTTACATAATTTTCCTGCTGTGTGTAATATGCTTTATCAAGTAGAGTATGGGGTAATTGTGCAACTTTTAACTTTATGGCCATTTTCCAACCCGGTGTCTTTAGATAGTGATGAAGTTTGAGAAATACAGATTTGGAATGTGTAAATGTGAGAACCAGTGTCTTAGGAGAGGCAGGAATCTGGTCTCCCTAACCCTAGCACAGTTGAGTGCTGAGCACTTTTGTTGGCAGGCCTGTATTCTCTCACCGTATTGTCATACACCTTCTCAGCCATTGTATATGATGAATTCATCTTAGATTCGTGCATAGGCAGATGTATTTTGATTTCATCTTTAGATACAAATTTTTGCAGAAACTTTTTTTTTTAATTAAGGCAAATTTATTTTCCATATGGTGACTTCTAGTTCTATTCTTCCTCCTGTACCTTTCAGAAACTCTTAGAACTTAAAAGCCCCTAAGTACCATAAATTTTAATTCAAGAAGAGGTCTTTTAGAGAGGTATTGAGATCTAATAGAAAAAGAGCTTTGGAGCAAACCTAAGCTTGAATTTCAGCTCTGTATTTAATACCTATTTAGGTGAAGCCGTTTTCTAGTCTATAAAATGAGGATAATAATAATGATTTCATGTTATATATAAGATGATATGATGGCTCTGGTACCTAGTAGTCATTCTATAAAAGTAAATTCCCTTCTGTCCTTATTATTTGTTAAATCTTCGAATTGATACTGAAATCTACCATGATGTCGTTGAGTGAAGTTTTTTAAAATTTCATTTCCTTTCAAAAATTAGTTTTCAGCTTTGTGCACTAGCAGTATTGTAGCTAATGGGGTTTATCTGAGTCAGAATTACTGCTAATTGAAAAATTAGTTTTCAATAATGATAGCTTAACTAAAGAATTCTGCTTTTGGCATACTAGTGTAGTTATATTTGTTTTAGCATCATAAGACATTCTAAAAATATTTTACACATGTGTAAAAGTTTTAAATTAATTGTAGGAGGGTGCAAATATCCAACTTTTACAGGTAGAATTTTTTTATACTCTCCATTTCTCTGCACTGTACCATATCAGTTCACTAGTAGAGCTAGGGAAAAAGTTAATAAATTGATTTTTAATGCAGTGCAATTTTTATACAAATCATTGTCACCTGTATAATTGTCATCAAGTAGATTTTAAGTTGTATACTACATCCTGGTCCCAAGCAAATTTGAAGAGGCTTCCTATGTTTTAACATCGATCTCCTATATTCAGGGCTATCTTTCTGTTTCAGATGCAGTTTTTCAAGATACTACAAAGGCGGTTATATTTCTGATCATTGTTTTTCCCCCTAGCACTCAGGATGAATATAATTCAGATCGTTCGTGACCACTGGGTACATATACTTGTGCCTGTGGGGTTTGTATTTGGATGCTATCTAGACAGAAGGAATGATGAAACGCTGACCGCCTTCCGGAACCAGAGTTTGTTGTTTAAAAGGTTAGTTTGTGCGCTTCTTTTAAACGAACAATTCCTGAGCTCTTGGAAGTAATTTTTTAATATCAGATATGCCAAAAATAAATAGAAGGGCTGAGTTGTCTCTCCCCCGCCCCCCAAGTAATATTAACTTTACATTATTTTGCAGCATTTGTTACTGTTTAATCCTTTTACAAAACTGTATGATTACCTTTGGACGGCCAACAAGTGTTCAGTTTATGAACAGGCTATTTCAAATGTTTGAAAATGTTTATTTTGGCGTTCAGGATGCACTGTAATCTAGAAACAATGTTATAAACCAGCTCACCAAAGCCTTTAATAAAGCTTTCATATATTATCTTACTTAAGCCAGAATGTAGCTGAAATCTATGGTACTAATAGTGGCTTGGTGCCATGTTCCCAGCAATACTGCTGGAGAGCTCTAGGTGTGGTGGCTGAGTGATCAGAAGGCAGCTGGCAGCTCCTGGTACCACGCTGTGTCTCTGGAGACGGCTCTTTTGGCAGCAGAGTGAGTTGACATGTCTGCCACTGGGAGTGCAGCTAAGTGGGAAGAAGCTCAAGGAACCGAGGCTTGAGCAACATTCACAGTCGATATGAAGAGGAGGTTTACAGTTAAGGATTTCCAGAAAGAAAATGAGTTAGAAAAGGTTTAGAAAACCTCAAATGAACTCTTTGAGAGGATAATAGCTTTCATACAGCCTAAGAAATTGCAGTTCCTTAATGGGGAAAAATGAAATTGAAGGGATGGTAAAAGTTCAAAATCATGAGAGACTAGAATGAGTATGTTGAGTCTATATAAAAATTTTAATGGGTCAATTTAATAGAATATAAAATATTGAGCTCTTACTCCTTTGACTCTTTACCCCCCTCCATAAAAATTTAATTTATACTTTTTCCTTTCCTTCCTTTTTAATTTCCACACAGGGAATTGAGACCCAATGAAGAAATCACCTGGAAGTAAAGGTTGTGACTGAATTACAGAATGTTCACATTTTAAAAATTAGGAGAGAAATAAAAACACATTCATTATTTAATTTGAAGTATGAGTCTTTCTTTGCTATAGCAGTCCACGTTTTAACTAATAGGCACACTTAGCTTAAAAATAAATCATTATTGAGTATTTGAGGATATTGATATTAAATTTACAGTCAGTGTTTCATTTTCTTTTCCTCATTTTAAACCATAGTACTATTAAATCATATAGCCAATTTTTTCCTCAGATATTTTTCAGAATTTTTTTTTTCGAGCTGTGTGCTTTAGAAGGATGATACTAGCAGAAAATTTTAGTGACCTTCAGTTTGGCAAAGATCTCTTAAATGCAACACATAAAGCATGAACTAGTTTTAAAATTTTTCGCTCTTCAAAAGACACGAAAATGAAAATGCAGCCATAAACTGGGAGAAAGTATTTGCAAAATGTAATATATAGCAAAGAACTTATATCTAGAATATGTAAAGAATCCTTATAGCTTAATAAGACAACCCAGTTTTGGGCGGCTGGGTGGCTCAGTGGGTTAAAGCCTCTGCCTTCGGCTCAGGTCATGGTCTCGGTCCTGGGATCGAGCCCCGCATCAGGCTCTCTCTTTCTGCCTACTTGTGATCTTTCTGTCAAATAAATAAATAAAATCTTCAAAAAAAAAAAAAAAAAAGACAACCCAGTTTTAAAAAATTATTCCTTTACTTAATCTCTACACCCAACATGGGGCTCAAACTCAACCCTGAGTTTAAGAGTCAAGTGTTCAGCCAACTGAGCCAACTGGGCACCCAGTCCAATTTTTTTAAATGAGGAAAAGAATTTTTTTTTATAGATTTTATTTATTTGAGAGAGAGAACACAAGCAGAGGCAGTGGCAGACAGAGAAGCAGGCTCCCTGCTCTCCCAATGTGGGGCAGGCCTGATCCCAGGACCCAGGGATCATGACCTAAGCCTAAGGTTAACCAACTGAGCCACCCAGGTACTCAAGAGCAAAAGATTTTAAGAGACACTTTGCAAAAAAAGATAGGATGGTAACTAAAACATATGAAAAGATTCCTAACATCAGTAGTAATTAGGGAAATGCAAATTTAAGCCACAATGAGATACCAGCACACACCTATTAGAATAGTTAAAATCAAAAGACTGATGCTATTCCTGGTATTGGCTAGGGTGCAGAGTAAGTGGACCTCACAGTGCTGTCAGGAATGTAAAATGTAGCTGCCAGGAGTTGTACCCCTTTGGGAATCAGTTTAGCAGTTTCAAATGAAAATAACACCTCCCGTATGACCCAGCCATCCCACTCTGAGGTACTCATCCAAGATAAAGGAAGGTGTATGTTCACACAAAGGCTTACATGAATGTTCGTAGCAGCTTCATTTGTAATAGCCAAAAATTAGAGCTAGCCCAAATGTACATCAAGTAGCTAAACTGTTAAATCCTTATAATGGAATATTACTCAGCATTTAAAAAGGAATATCTATTGCTATGACACTGGTGAATTTCAAATTAATTATACTGGATGAAAGAGGCCAGACAGAAAGTACACACTTTTGGTTCCATTTATATAAATAATGTTGACACTGTAAACTATGGTAACAAAGCAGACTAGTGGTTGCCTGGAGGAACATGGTCTAGAAAGGGTTAGAAGTAAGAATTACAAGGGGGAGGACACCTGGGTGGCTCAATTGGTTGATCAGCTACCTTCGGCTTAGGCCATCATGATCCCAGAGTCTTGGGATTGAGCCCCACATGGGGCTCCCTGCTCAGTGGGGAGTCTGCTTCTCCCCCTGCCTCTCACCCTGCTCATGCTCACTCACTCTTACTAAATAATAAATTTTTAAAAATCTTAAAAGAATTACAAGGGGGCACAAGGAAACTTCGGAGTATACGTTGTTCATTTGCCTATGATGGTTCCATTTATGCATACATGTTATCTGTTGTATTCAACTACCTCTTCTCAGAAAACATTTTGTTTTAGGTAATACTGAGTTTAGGAGAAGTAAAATTACAATAAAGTGGTAGTCCCTAATTATCACTGATAGGGTCTTTGACAGTATAATTAAAGATCTCAGTATGAAATCACCCTGGATTAGGGCAGGATCTAAATCCAATCATTGGTACTTATAAGAGGAGAGGACAGAGACACAAAAGGAAAAAGGCCACATGAAAACCAAGGTTGGAGTTCTGCAACCACAAGCCAGCTCATGCCAGGCACAGCTCGAAGTTGGAAGAAGTGAGGAAAGAATTCTTCCTGTCACCATGGAGCATGACCCTGCTAACACCTTGGTTTCAGACTTGTGGCCTCAAGAACAGTGAGAGAATAAATTTCTGTTTTTAGCCACCAAGTTTGTGATGATTTGGTGCAGGAGCCATAGCAAATGAATACAATTTTTTTTTTCTGAGAATCTAATACATTAAATATTTGAAAAATCAAGAATAAAACTGTATACTGTGAAAAGTCTCGTTTCCACCCCTGTCTCCTATTGCCTAGTTCTCTTCCCATCTCAAACACATGCATAACCTCAGGATTTCTTGAATATTCTTCCACAGATTTGTAATGTATATCAACAACAAAAAGATATGTGTTTCTGTACACATTCACTTTCTTTAAAAATAAACCAGGAGGGACACCTGGGTGGCTCCATTAGTTAGGCATCTGCCTTTGGCTTGGGTCATGATCCCAGGGTCCTGGAATTGAGTCTAGCATCTGGCTCCTTGTTCAGGGGGGAACCTGCTTCCTCTGTATGCTGCTCCCCCTGCTTGTGCATGCGGTCTTTCTGTTAAATAAGATCTTTTAAAAATTAAATAAATAAAAATAATAAATCAGGAAAAAATGTTTTGCATATTTTTTCACTTCTTGAGACCCTGATTTGTTTCCCCAGTTAGGCCACAGTTCCTTAAGAACATGCATATACTGTTCCCCCAATAAGGAAATGTGGACTGTGCACCCAGGAGCATTCAGTAAAGGGTAACTAGGTAACACTGAGCACCTGGTCCTCACTAGTACTCTCTATTTCCTTACCTCCCGCTGCCCATTCTGTTCCTCTGAGACTACACTCGCTGATGTCCCCAGTGGTCTCCATAGCAACAATTTAGTGGACTCTTATAAGTCCTTATGTTGCTGGACCCCTTAGCAGCAACTGACAATGATTCTTGAAACATTCCTTTCTTGGGTCTTTGGTAATGTTACACCCTCCTGCTTTTCCTCCCTTCTCCTTGGCTATTCCTTCTCTACCCTCAGGGTTCTACTCTAAAGCCTCTTCAATCTCTTCCTTTTCCCCTAAATGATTTTATTCACTCCTGTGAATAACTCCCCATTCTACAGCAAAACCAAGCCCCTGAATCGAGACCATTTATATAGAAAGAAAGATAGATAACATCCACTCATTATTTGTCTTACAGATCATAGGTATACCCCCAAACCTTGCCCCTTCCTCCAGTATTCCCTATCTCACTGAATACTATTCCTGCCACAGAGGCTGCCTAGGGCAGAAACCCAGACATCATTCCTAACATTTCTGTGTCCTTCACTCTCCACTCTCACCAAGTTCTGTTGAGTCTCCCCACTTCCTAATCATCTCTCAAAATGGTTTCCTCTCCACTGCAGGTCATTACTCTAGCCCAAACACCACCATCTCTCCCAAGATTCCTTCCACAGCATCAGCTCTTTTCTGCAGCTAGAGTGATCTTAATAAAATGCAAATCTGAGCATCTCTTCGTTAAAAATTTTATATAACTCCCCAACTGTCTTTAAAAACATAACTTCCTTAATCTAATTTCAAGGTGCAAAATCTACTATTTTCCTACTCCTTCAGCTTCATCAAACCCCTTCCTCCACTTCACTGAACTTTCAGTTCCCCCAATTCATGCTACTTTTTCAGGGTCAGAACACAGACACTTAGTAACAAGGTGTCTGGATTTGGACCCCAGCAAGGGCAACTCACTAGCTGACCTTGGAGTCCCTTCTTTTCTTAACCTCCCTGTGCATCAGTGCCCTCGTGTAAAACAGGGATCATAACAACACCTATGTCAAAGGTTGTTGTATTAAATACGTTAATATATGCAAAGTAGTTAGAATGCCTACCTTACAGTAAGCTCTCTATAAATATTGTATTTTTACACAAGCGCTAGTGTTGGGGAATGCAATGATGTCTGCTTAATCAGGCTTTCACTGGGGTAGGAGGAGAAAGATATTAAATAGTTTAACGCAGATACAAGCAGAAAGTACAAAGTGGAAAACATAAAAGAACATAGAACCCAAGTGTTCCTCACCCAGACCCCTTAACAGCCTAAAAATCCATGGCAATGGGTGGGAAGCAGAGAAATTCCTCCAGACCGTAGGTGGCGCTGCAACACCCCCAGCCCGGCCGATAGAGGGATATGGAGGACGCGCTACAAAGGTCACGTGCGCTTGCATTTACCGCCCCGGCGTTCACTTGCTCTTCGTTCCACGTGATTCATACCCTTGGGGATGATTGGTCTGTGCAAGGCACGTGGGCGGGGGCGGCTCGAGGCGGGGCGGGGCGGGGTGGGAGGAGGGGTGGGGCCCAGGGGCGGGGCTGGAGGGGGGTGGTTCGGCGCGGGGGCCGTTGGCTCCAGACAAATAAACATGGAGTCCATCTTCCACGAGAAAGTGAGTGTCCGCGTTCGGTGGGGAGCTGTCTGCGGTGCGGTGGCTGCGGTGGGGCACGGTACCTCCTCCTGTCCGAGCGCTGGCGGGGGCCCCCGTCGCCCCCGTCCCAGTCTTGCCGGGCGGAGGAGCTTCATAGGGCGGGGAGCTTCACCGACGCCCCCACCGCACCTTGTGCCCCAGAGGCGGGTGCCGGTGGAGTCCCGGGCAGGGAGCGCCGGGGAGCTGCGAGGGAATGAAGCAGGGCCGGGGGCGCCATGGGGCACGGGAGCGGGGTGGCACCGAATGGGTTAGCTTCTGCGCTTCCCCTCCACTTTCCGTGGGATTCGTTCTCCAGTCCCTTCTCCTTCACTCTCCTAGGTTTCTAGCTGTTCACCTCTTCGACAAGTCCCTCAATCCTTGCCAACTCCATCCCACTCCTCCAGTCCTGCTCCTGGCAGAATTAACTTTTCCTTCTCTGGGCTCCTCAATTCTTTGTTGGAACCTCCCATACACTTAGATCTCTGGGGTTGTGTTCTTGTTCGCCTGCACTAGGTCCCGGAGCCTCCCGAGGGCGGGGTCCTTGGCTTGTCCCCTGTAGGGGCTGACACTTAGGGAAGTGAGGTAGGAAATCCTCCGCGCCCCTAAATAGGGAAGTCGTCACAAGAGATTTTGTTACGGGATGTTTAGGTTTCGTTTCTTTTGGTAGTTGCATCTTTCCGGATCAGGAGGCCAGCTCTCTTATTAGGTATTAGGAGTGGACTGGAATAATTGTGTTGTGGTCCGCCTAGTGTTTTTGTTTTATTCTTGGATGACCACGCACTTGATACTGTTTGTGGCTTGTGGAGAAACTCGTCTTTTCTCACATACAGTAAACAAGCTATTTGGGTGTGAGTGAAACCTTCCTCAGGACAACTTTGGCACATAATATGTTGTTTCATAATAGTTTCATGTTTGGAAAGGGTTGCTAGTGAGGTTATTATGTAGTAAGAGCAAAAGAGTTTTGTTAAGTACTTGTAAACTTTCATTTATCCATTTAAAAAGTCACACAATTCAGAGCCATCAAAGATGAAAGAGGCACAGAATAAATCTAAACGAGTGGTTAAGTAGAATGCTTTTCTTTGTAGAAAACATTTTAGCACATTTTAACACTGGAGTAGACTAGTTTTTATGTGTGGGTAAGGGCTCAGTGGTATAGTTATCACTAAACTTTTGACTTAATTGACATGATTTATGAATCTTGCACAAGAGAAATTTAGTTGCTTAAGGAGATTGGGTGATGAAACCCTACATATACATATTTTTATTATTACTTTTCAAAAGTTTAGTGTAGGACCAGATGTTTCAAATGGAAGACTTTAAACATTTCCACACCACCTCTTGAGATTCATATAATGTGTTTTTACAAATATTGATTGGTGGGTATGGGGCGCTATTTGGATAGATTTCAGTGAAGGTAACAACTGAACCACCAGATCAGAAGAAGCTGTGTGCTAGCCTCATAAAGGTGTCCTTTCCTGAAAGAACTCACTATCCAGGGGTGCCTGGGTGGCTCAGTCTGTCGAGCCTCTCTGCCTTTGGCTGGAGTCATGATTCTCGGGTCCTGGGATCCAGTCCTGCATCAGGCTCCTTGTTCAGCCGGGATCCTGCTTCTCATTCTGCCTGCCACTCCTCCTGCTTGTGCAGTCCTTCTTTGACAAATAAATAAAATCTTTAAAAAAAAAGTCACAATAAGCATCTGTGTAGGCTTAAAGATACTTAAAACGTACAATTTACCTTGGTCATCAACTTAAATGTACTTAATAGATGAGGCTGGTAAGGTTTGGGGGCATATTTCAAGAATGGAAAGCACCTGTGATCATAGGGCCCATTGTTAGTTTTGTACACAGCCCATTCTGGGAATGTTTAAGCTTAATATGCCATTTTCTAGCACATTCCCTTCCCCTATGCCACACACATTTAACCTTTGCTAGAGTCAGAGAACCAGCTTTGACTCTAATGAAGCTATGTATGTAGAGATACCTGCCTACAACAGGCCTTGCAATTGCTTTCTGTGAGGTGTTGGTTTCCCCATTTTCAGAGTTACCATTTTGAGTGTCCTTTTTAAAGATAGAATCTAAGCTTAACAGTTGCTTGGTGATCTGTCCCCGGTGCCTAAGACAGTGCCTGGCACATAGTAATTGCTCAATAAATATTTGACTGACTCAAGAATTTCTTGAGCTTCTAAGATGTGTGTGGTGCTATTTATCTAAAGTAAATAATTTCTTTTTACATATTTTAGGCTTTCTAGGCTATCTATGGTATCTCACATATCCTTGTTTGATGTGTGTATGGGTGTGTTACCCAGCCATCTAAGATCATAAAACCTGGGGCACCTGGGTAGCTCGGTCAGTTGCATAGCTGGTTCTTGGTCTTAGCTCAGGTCATGATCTCAGGGGTTATGTGGTCCAGGCCCATGTGGGGCTCCGTACTGAGCACAGAGTCTGCTTCAGATTCTTTCTCCCTCTCCCCCATCCTTCTCCCTCCTTAGATGCACGCTCCCTCTCTCTAAAATAAATAAAAACATCTTTAAAAATTTTTTAAAAATAAAATCGTAAAAACCATTCTTAGCTACTGGAGCAGGTTGTATTTATCTATGGGCTAGAGTTTGCCAACCCCTAGCTTAAATCCTAATACTAATTGGCCACTAACTACTGGGTGTTTTTTCTCGTGTCTGCTGTCATTTTTGTTACTACTTCTGTTGCTGCCTGCTCTTGGTACAGTCACTGTGCCATCTCAATTGGTACTTTTAATGTAATGAAAACTGAGAATGATAATCAAAGTTTTGGGGATTGTATTTGAAAATACTTAAAAGATGCTGAGCTTTGACTATGATATTCATTTTGCCCTTCGGTGATTGTTGGTTCATAATTGTATTTAGGATAGTTTGGGTTTGGGAATAACCAAATTCCAAATGAGTGGTTTGAGGAAGTAATAATATCATAGACATGAAACTTCTGCCTGAGTTTGAATCCCAGCTCTGCCATTTACTACCCATACGATCTTGGGCAAGTTACTTGTTATGTCTCTCTGCTCCAGTTTCCTCCTCTGTGGTGCAAGGATAGTAAAGTGTCCACCTCAGTTATAAGCACTTGGAAGGCTTCCTAGCCAGCAGTATAGACATACTGGCTGTTGTTGTTATTTAGATGCATGTGTTTGCTGAACCTCATAATAGGGAGTGAGACCTTATCATCCCTGAGATGGGATGAAGATCTGCTAGGTTGATGGCGTGGCCCTCTAGGTTAGGCCATTTCCGAGCACACACTCTTAGGTTTATGCCTTGTTTCTATTGTAATCTGTTGTAAACAGTAGTATCTCTGGGAATTTGAACTAGTGGCAGGTTGGTCCTGAAGACTTTGGGGACAGTAAGGGAGTGATGTGGTTCCAGTTACTATTCATGGTTTTGGGTTTTTTTCTTTTTTTTTTTTTTTTGAAGATTTTATTTATTTATTTGACAGACAGAGATCACAAGTAGGCAGAGAGGCAGGCAGAGGGGGAGGGGGAAGCAGGCTTCTTGCTGAGCAGAGAGCCCGATGTGGGGCTTGATCCCAGGACCCTGGGATTATGACCTGAGCTGAAGGCAGAGGCTTTAACCCACTGAGCCACCCAGGTGCCTCACTATTTATGGTTTTATAAAACACCTTGATAGGGACATCTAGGGGGCTCAGTGGGTTAAGCATCTGCCTTCAGCTCAGGCCTGATCTCAGGGTCCTGGGATTGAGCCCTGCATGGGTCTCCTTGTTCAGTGGGGAGTCTTCTTTTCCCTCTTCCTCTCCCTGTGCTTTCTCTCTCTCTCTCTCAAATAAATAAATAAAATCTTTTTTTTTAAGATTTTATTTATTTATTTGACAGATAGAGATCACAAGTAGGCAGAGAGGCAGGCAGAGAGAGAGGGAGGAAGCAGGCTCCCTGCTGAGCAGAGAGACGGATTTGGGGCTCAATCCCAGGACCTGAGATCATGACCTGAGCTGAAGGCAGAGGCTTAACCTATTGAGCCACCCAGGCGCCCCATCAAATAAATAAATAAAATTTTAAAAATAAAATATCTTAGTTTGTTCATCCTCTGATCCCAGCACAATAAGTCTGGGCCTGAAATCATGGAATTTCAGTACTACTGAATTTTGACTATGGCACAGCTAAACTTCTATCTAACTTTGGTTGAAGTTCCATGAGAAAGAGGTGGGTGGGGATAAGTTGGGCACAGGGATGCATCTTAGGTGGGGCCATTGTGCAATTTTTTTTGGTTCATACAGAATTTGATTCATCTTGTGACTTTAAAAAATGATTTTAAATTTGTACAGAACAGTTCTTTTCTTCCATTAAATCATATTAGAAGTACAGAACTTGATGTTTCCTATAGCACTACAGTTTTACTTAGACAAGGTTTGATATTAAATGCTTACTTTTTTTTAATTTCAAGGCTTTTTTATAGAGACTTTCTTCAGTTTTTTATAGAGAGAATTTTTAAACTAATAGTTGGATTCACAATTTCAATGTATGTATTCAGTGTGATGACTGTAGTTTGAGAGTACCAAGCTGAGGCATGTAGCCTGTCAGCTGGACAGAAAATTTGCATTAAAACTGTTCCCAGAAAATCCAGTGTCTGGTCACCGTAGTAGGGAGCTCTTGATATGTGAAAATAGCTGTATCTTAGCAGAGGTCTTTTTGTTGTTACTTGAATTTTCTTAAGTGTAACAAAAACAGGTTAGGGGCACACAGATCATCAGAGTACAGCTCAGTGAGGTCTCACCAAGTGAACACATAAATGTAAATAATTCTTAGATTGGGTAACAGAACATTTATCTGCATTCTATAAGCTCCCCTTAGGCCATCTTCCAGATACTCTCCCTCTGCCCCAGCTTCACCCCTGCAAGGTTAATTGCTATGCTGAATTCTAATGTCATAGATGAGTTTTGCCTCTTTTTGAGCTTTGTAAATAGAATCATATAGTGTGTGTTCTTTTGAGTCTGTCGTCGTCGTCGTCTTCTTTTTTTTTTTTAAGATTTTATTTAGAGAGAAAGTTTGAGCACGGGGAGGGGCAGAGGGAGTAGGAGAGAGAATCTCAAGCACACTGTGCTGAGAGCAGAGCCCGATGCAGGGCTCAATCCCATGACCCTGAGATCATGACCTGAGCTGAAGTTAAAAGTCAGATGCTGGGGCCCCTGGGTGGCTCAGTGGGTTAAGCCTCTGCCTTCGGCTCGGGTCATGGTCTCAGGCTCCTGGGATCGAGCTCCACATCGGGCTCTCTGCTCCGTGGAGAGCCTGTTTCCTCCTCTCTCTCTCTGCCTGCCTTTCTGCCTACTTGTGATCTCTGTCTGTCAAATAAATAAATAAAATCTTTAAAAAAAAAAAAAGTTGGATGCTTAACCAACTGAGCTACCCAGGTGCCCCTTGAATCTGTCTTCTTTAACATTGATTGATCCATACTGTTGCAGGTGGCTGTAGTTAATTCATTGTCATTGTCATATAGTATTCCCTTGTGAATATAACACAACCTACTGTGATGGCATCTGGGTGGTTTGGGTTGGGAACGTTACGAATAGTGGCTCTTTTATAGATGTCTTTTGATAAATGTATGTTTACATTTCTAATGTTGGCATTATGCACGTAGTTGTGGAATTGCTAGATCATAGGGTTGGTATATGTTAAGTTTTAGTAGATACTCCAAATAGTTTGCCCAAGTGGGTGTGCAATTTAATGTCCACCAGCGGTATACAGTAGTTTTAATGTTTCTAATCTCCAACATTTTAGGCATTTTGGAGAGTCTGTAGTAGTAACGTTGTGGTTTTACTATGTCATTCCCTGATGGTTAATGAAGTGGAACATCTTTTTGTGTTTTTTAGCCATTTGGCTATCTTCTTTTGAATACTTGTCTTGCCCATCTTTCAGTACAGTAGAATATTATTAGTAGGATGTCTGTGTATCCCTTCAATTCACATTTTATTTTTAAGGAGTTGCTTTTTGGCAATAGGAATACGGTAGGAGGGAAACAAGGTCAAGATAAGTTCTCTCTCACTATGTAGCTGTGACTTGAGGGAAAGATTGTGTCTTCACCTTCAGGTGAAGTACCTATTCTGTGCTAGAATTTGAAGATGAGTTTATGTCAGTCCCCTATTGCACACTCAGATGGTCTCAATGCTCCCATCCTGTTCTGTTGTATACATATACCCTGTATCATTTTCAGAAGCTGAATCTTGTTCCTAGAAAATTAATTCATTAGGAAAAATATGTATCTTGCAAAGTGTTGCTCTCTGGGGCCACCATCTCTTGAGTAACATAGCTCAGAACAGATTGCACAAGGTAAGACAGGCTGGGGAAGACTTTACTGGGGAAAAAGAACTAGAGGGCAGGGTCAGCAGGAAAAGAAAAGTGTTGTCATCTTCTTCCATCATCCCGCAGAGGGATCTGTGTTCACAGGAAGGGATCTCACTCACCAGTCTGTCTCCCTTCTTACAAGGCAAGCGTGGGAGAGTGGCCTTGTTGCGGGGAGCAGGGTGATAGGCAGACCGCTCGGTGCCAGGCGGCTTGGATTTAGATTTGGGGAGCCAGCGGTGTGAGAGCCAGCCGCCCAGCACCGGAAGACCCTGGGCCCGTGGGAAGTTACTCCCTCCACCCCGCACCATAGGAAGGTGGTGATATCGAAGATCCTGTGGTTTCGTGGATGCAGCTCTCCTTGCTGGCTTGTCTGGAAATGAGCTCCAGGGGTGGTTTTTGGAAGTTTTGCCCATTGTACTGTACTATATACACATTTTGTGCAGAGTTCCCCAAAGAGAACCTTGGCTCTCTTAGCTACAGTCTTCATTAACATCAAATGGGATCTTTCTTACCTGTATCAATTCTTGAAATTCTTTTGTTCACTGATTTCAAATTCCTTGAATAAGCATTTTTTTTTTTTTTAAGATTTTATTTATTTATTTGACAGACAGAGACACAGCGAGAGAGGGAACACAGGCAGGGGGAGTGGGAGAGGAAGAAGCTGGCTTCCAGCTAAGCAGGGAGTCAGATGCGGGATCATGACCTGAGCGGAAGGCAGACGCTTAATGACTGAACCACCCAGGCGCCCCTCCTTGAATAAGCATTTAGATTGGGTAAAATGTCTTGATAAAAGAATACAAATGTTCTAGGGATTAAAATTCCCTTTCAGCATTTTTAATTTGTGTTGGAGCCTCCGAAGATGTATGTATTTTAGGTACTGAAAATGAGAGGTGCTAATGCTTTTTATAGAGTAGTTTCTAATAAAGTATGAAATTGGACATATCTGATAGAGAGTGATATTTGTTTAATATAAATCATTCTTAAGGGGCACCTGGGTGGCTCAGTGGGTTAAGCCTCTGCGTTCTGTTCAGGTCATGATCTCCTGGGATTGATCCCCCACATAGGGCTCTCTGCTCAGCAGGGAGCCTGCTCTCCCCTCTCTCTCTCTCTCTGCCTGCCTCTCTGTCTGCTTATGATCTGTATCAAATAAAAAAAAAAATCTAAAAAAAAAATCATTCTCAGGTTTTTGTTCATATAGCTAAATAATTATAGTTTTATTAGTGGTAAAATAATGAAATAAGTGTTAGCAAGTGAAAACTCCTGCATTTATGTTAATCATACTTATCTAAAGCCAAACGGTTCTATTTGGCTGCATTAAGTTAATGATTAAATTCCTCTTTAGAGGAAGCTACTGTACAAATCTGTTAAACCAGTCACATTTGAATTTTTTCTTTTGGAAATATTAGCAAGAAGGCTCACTTTGTGCCCAACATTGCTTGAATAATCTATTGCAAGGAGAATATTTTAGCCCTGTGGAATTATCTTCAATTGCACATCAGCTAGATGAAGAAGAGAGGATGAGAATGGCAGAAGGAGGTGTTACTAGTGAAGACTATCGCACATTTTTACAGGTACTGATTTTAAACCCACTAAATCATGTTTTTGTTTTTTGTTTTTTAATGTGGGTACTGTTTAGAAAAGGATGCGCCATTCTTCCTATGGGGCTCTGACTTGTTAATTATAATTGTGCTCTTGACTGTGTAAATGGGAACGCACAAGATGTTATTTTAAATATGCACACTAATGACAGTTTTTATCCTTCTCTCCCCACCCTCAACCTCGGCCTCAACTACCTATCCAAATTAAACAGCAGCCTTCTGGAAATATGGATGACAGTGGTTTTTTCTCTATTCAAGTAAGTAGTCAAAGCGTGTTCTAAGGGTTGTTTATGTCCCAGGCACTGTTCAAGTTAAGGATAGGGTTGATGTGAATATCTTTTCACAGCCTTTCATGGTCAGTGTAATGATATGACCTTCAGAAATTCCTCCGGTAGATGGTGTCTAAGAGTATACGATTATTAAAAAAATAAAAATGAGGGACACCTGGGTGGCTCAGTGGGTTAAGCCTCTGCCTTCATTCAGCTCAGGACATGATCTCAGGGTCCTGGGATCAAGCCTGGCATTGGGCTCTCTGCTCGGCATTTTGGCCCCCCCTTCTTGTGATCTCTGTCTGTCAAATAAACAAATAAAATCTTTTTAAAAAAAATAAATAAATAAAAAGTAAAAATGAGCTATAGAGCACAAGAAAAAAACTGGAAAAAAGTGTAAGATTATACTCTAGAGTACTAGATTTTTATAGAGATAAACATGAAAATTAGGATCGTAGATGCTTCATTTTATTTTATTTTATTTTATTACTCTTTATTTATTTTTATTTATTTATTTTTATTTTTTATTTATTTTTTTTTTAAAGAGAGCAGAGAGCCCGATGTGGGGCTCGGTCCCAGGACACTGGGATCATGACCTGAGCCGAAGGCAGAGGCTTTAACCCACTGAGCCAGCCAGGCGCCCCACTTCTTATTTTTTTAAGTAGGCTCCATGCCCAACCTGGATCCCAGTGTGAGGCTTGAACTCACAACCCTGAGATCAAGACCTGAGTTGAAATCAAGAGTCAGACACTTAACCGACTGAGCTACCCAAGCGCCCCAGAACCTTCATTTTTAGAGTAGGGCTTTTTGAAAGGAGACTATTTAATTTACATCTGGATGCTGATAACTATAATTCCAATAAGTTGCAGTATTTCATGCTTCCTACTTGTGTAAATTTGAGAAAACGTAACACCTCACTGCCTTCCATTTAAATCCACCTACCAGGATTGGATTCCTTTATTATGGTCTATGGCTTCTGTTGGTTTTCTTTTTTGCAACTTAAGTCTCCCCTTGAATTCTGTGGGTGATTGTACATGTACTGGTGAGATCTTTCATCTTCTCTTTGGATCTTTCATTCTGTTTCTGACCCCTGAGAGGTTGAGAGGTGTGTCCAGAGTTCTTTCAGAAGCTCTCATGAGGAGTCCGTTTATACACATATCTCTGTCGCACTCCCCTGTGCTGTCCTGCTGGACTCCTTATACAGCGGCCTGTCCGCCCAGCGCTCCATGGTGGCCTGCAGCCCTCCGTGGCTGCTGCAGAACTGGAGGAGGCCAGGGCAGGCCCAGCACCTGCTGTTGCCTGTGCGTACAGTGCTGTTCTTGGTGCCTGCTCACATGTGCCCACTGTACTGCGTTCACTGTGTGTCGACGCAGGTATGTGCTTCACTTCAGGCTCTGTTGGCTGCCTTGGAGGGCAGAGGGTGAATTCTCAGAAAGCTTTTTGTTTTCTCAGTTTGAAGTAATCAGGTATGTTTTTTGGGGTTTTTTCCCCCTACAAATTACAAACCCATGATAACAGAAGCTTAAATTCTGAAAGCTTCCGTTAAATTCCCAGAAAAAATTCTTTTTAATAGACAGAATTTTTATCACTACTGAAACCTCTAGATAGTGAGTTGAATATAACTTTTCTAAAGCAGGACCCGTAGCAGCCAAATTACCGCATGTGTATATTGGACTAGTTTTAAGAGTAGTACCCACTGGGATAGAATGTACATCTGGATTTTTGAGGCACTTCTATCTAGGAATTGCGTGCTTCTCTAGAACGTTCCAGAAACCTAGTGTAAATAGCACTCTCTTAATGCTATGTTTGTTCTTCTGTGGATTTAGTGATGCAGCTATACACACACTTTTTAAAAAACCATAACCTTCTGGGGAAAATTATATATAAAATATAGTTGTTTATACCCTAACATGCCTACACTACTTAAATTTGTAATTGATGGTTTAGCTTATGGAAAGTTGCTATTTTTTTTTTAACAGGTTATAAGCAATGCCTTGAAAGTTTGGGGTTTAGAACTAATTCTCTTCAACAGTCCAGAGTATCAGAGGCTCAGGATCGATCCCATGTAAGATTTTATTTTGCTTTTCCTAAATTTGATTTTTTAAAGTTAAAATTTCCTAAAGAAGAAATGTTTATTCTGCATGCTTTTGTTTTGATGATCCCTGTTTCATTCCCTCGGTTTCCCATTACATTTTTTGGGGATGTCGTGAACATCTGCCCACTGAGCCTTCCCCACACCTCAGTGTTGGAGCTGATGTTAAATGCTGTGCGAGGCCAATGTGTGTGCCTGGCACCACTAATCTGTAGAGAGATTTATACTGTTTTGTAATTTCTTGAAAACCAGTGATCCCTGTGAGCATAATCCTAATGTTTTTTATAATACTTGCCAGTAGATAAAGTAAATGAATATGAACTCTACTATTTCAACTTGTGTATGTATCTTTTTCTTTTTCTAGAAATGAAAGATCATTTATATGCAATTACAAAGAACACTGGTTTACAGTTAGAAAATTAGGGAAACAGGTAATGTTTCTCCCCTTCCCTCTCTTTTTTCTCATTTTCTCATTTTGCACTCCATTTGCAACTATAATGTAAAGGATTGGTACCTTAAAGGTGAAGAAACTTACCAGTAATGTGTGTATATGGTACGGTTTCAATCTTGATAGATTTGCTATTTCTTTTTTTTTTTTTTTAATTGAGATTTTACTTATTTGACAGAAAGAGACAGTGAGAAAGGGAATATAAGCAGAGGGAGTGGGAGAGGGAGATGCAGGCTTCCTGCTGAACAGAGAGCCTGATGTGGGGCTCGATCCCAGGACTCTGGGATCATGACTTGAGCTGAAGGCAGACGCTTAACAACTGAGCCACTCAAGCGCTCCAAGATTTCCTATCTTAAAAGACAGTATCAGTTTCCTTAGGGCACCTGGGTGGCTCAGTCGTTAAGCGTCTGCCTTCAGCTCAGGTCATGATCCCAGGGTTCTGGGATCGAACCCCACATCAGGCTCCCTGCTCTGTGAGAAGCCTGCTTCTCCCTCTCCCACTCCCCCTGCTTGTGTTCCCTCTCTCGCTGTCTCTCTCTCTCTGTTAAAAATAAAATCTTAAAAAAAAAAAAAAGACAGTATCAGTTTCCCTTATAGATTTATTTATAACAACCATGCAGAGTTGGCTCTTGAACAGCATGAGTTTGAACTACATGGGTCCACTTACACATGGATTTTTTTTTTTTACAGTAGAATACTGTAAATGTATTCTCTGTATGGTTTTCATAGTAACATTTTCTTTTCTCTAGCTTTATTGTAAAAATAAGTATATAAGGGGCACTTGGCTGGTTGTAGAGCATGCAACTCTTAGTTTCAGAGTTGCGAGTTCAAGGCCCATGTTGTACATGGAGACTACTTAAAAAAAAAAAGGTACATAATACATTATACAAAATACATGTAAATTGTTCATGTTAGCAGTAAGGCATCTAGTCACCAGTAGGCTATTAGTAGTTGAGTTTCTTGAGGAGTCAAAAGTTACATGTGAATTTTCAACTGTGGAAGGGGTCAGCACCCCGAGCCATGGTGAACTGCACAATTTAACTATATCATAAGAAAAAGTTTCTATTTAATACAGATGTGGTTACTTTTAGTGGGTTTTTATGTAATAAAGATGTTAATCCAGTTAATGGTGACTTTTATAGATTTGTGTTTAGTGTATAATAGTGTAATGAAGCCTAAAACAATGTCCAACATGAGTAAAATTTTTTCAGTTATGTTCGCTTTAGCGTATCAGGATTATTCACATGCCAAAATGCCATGTGATACATATATCTACATGAAGTCATTTCTGGTTTTGGGTGGGGGGCAGTTTCAAAAAAGAATATCAAGAAATATACTTAAAATCAAGAAATGTACTTAAGATATCATTTTTGTAAACAGTAACCAAAGATCTTTATATACATGATACCACTTTTGAAACAATTATTTAAAGTCTTTTTTTTTTTTTAGAATTTAGAATTTTCAAAAGAGGGTTATTGTAAATGATCAAATATAAAAAGAAATGAACTATTGGTATGTTCAATAACATGGATGGATCTAAAAATAATTAAGCTGAGTGAAAGAAGCCAGACACGAAATACTACGTAGTGGATGTTTCTATTACATAAAGGTCTAGAAGATTCAAGCTAACCTATAGAGACAGAAAACAGATTGACCAGTGGTTGCCTGGGGATGAGGAAGGCAAGGAGCAGTGAGAGATTAGGTTTATATGGGGCACCAGAAACTCGGTTGTGGTGATGGTTTCTTAGGTGTATAGATATGATAAACTTCAAATTGGACATTTTAAATGTGTGCGATTTCTTGCATGTCAGTTACATCCCCATAAAACTTTAAAAAAAAATGATACAGGGCAGGGGCACCTGGGTGGCTCAGTGGGTTAAACCTCTGCCTTCAGCTCAGGTCATGATCTCAGGGTTCTGGAATCAAACCCCGCATCGGGCTCTCTGCCTGGCGGGGAGCCTTCTTCCTCCTCTCTCTCTGCCTGCTGCTCTGCCTACTTGTGATATCTGTCTCTCTCTGTCAAATAAATAAATCTTTAAAAAAATAATACAGAACAAAAAAATGAAGTCAAAAATGAGTGCATTTAATTAAATCAATGAGATCATTCAAAAGCAGGAACTGTACTGTTACCTTTTAAGTCAGCTACCTAGAGGCAGCTTCATATGACATGGTTATCCCTAAAGGTCCCTCTTAAGGTACAAAGAGCAGGGAAGGGGCTGTGGCGCATTAGGGGTGAACTGAATGGGGATCAACTCTAGGGAAAGACAGTGGAGGATGCTGCCAAGATTATTTAACCTCTGGCTTTTATTTATATTTTTTTAAAAATGCAATTAAGTATTCCTTACTTTTTCTGTATAAGGTAATCACTAGATGTCTTTAAGATCTGAAAACTTAGGTCCCAGAAGTTCCTTTATATTGATTTGCATATAAACTTAACATCATTATTTTGATAGGTTGTAAAAATTTTAGTTCTTAATTTTTTTAAGATTTTATTTATCTATTTGTCAGAGAGAGAAAGAATGCAAGAGAGCACACAAGCAGGGGGAGAAGCAGGCTCCCCACTGAGCAAGGAACCCAATGTGGGGCTCAGGCCCAAGAACTTGGGATCATGACCTGAGCTGAGGGTAGACACTTGACTGACTGAGCCACAGAGCCATCCCCCAAATTTTAGTTCTTTAAAATTGAACTTTTAGGGTGCCTGGGTGGCTCAGTCAGTTAACTGTCCAAGTCCTGATTTTGGCTCAAGTCTGATCTCATGATTCGTGAAATCCAGCCCGCTGAGCAAGGAGCGTGCTCGAGCATTCTCTTTCCCTCTGGCCCTCCCCACACACTCCCACTCTCTCTCTTTCTTTCTCAAATAAATAAATAAAACTTGAAAAAAAATTAGTAAATAAAACTGAGTTTTCACATTTTAAATTACTTTATCTTTGACAAATACAAGAAATGCTATCACTTTGATTTATCTTTGGCTCTAATTTCTATTTTTGTTTATAGTTCTGTTTCTCGTTACATAGTCTTTTGTATGAGGTTCTTGTATTACGAAAAAGATGACGGGAAAAGTTTCTTTTTTTTTTCCTGTGTATGTTTTTTATTCCGGTGTAGTTAACGTGCAGCGTCTCAGTGTGCAGTGTAGTGAATCAGCGACTCTGCGCTACCCAGTGCTGCTCACAGTCCGCGTGTTCATCACCTTCACCCGTTTCACCCATCCCTTCAGTTTGTTCTTTGTAGTTAAGAGTCTGCTTTTGGGGCACCCGGGTGGTGCAGTGGGTCAGGCCTCTGCCTTCAGCCCAGGTCATGGTCTCAGGGTCCTGGGATCGAGCCTCACATCAGGCTCTCTGCTCAGCTGGAGGTCTGCTTCCCTACCTCTCTCTCTCTGCCTGCTGCTCTGCCTACTTGTGATCTCTCTCTGTCAAATAAATAAATAAAATCTTTAAAAAAAAAAACAGTCTGTTTTTGGTTTGTCTCTCTTTTCTTTGTTCCTTTGTTCTGTTTCTTAAATTCCACATATGAGTGAAATTATATATTATTTGTCTTTCTCTGACTGATTTCACTTTTTTTTTTTTTTATTTGACAGAGATCACAAGCAGGCAGAGAGGCGGGCAGAGGGGGGGGGGGGAAGCAGGCGCCCCACTGAGCAGAGAGCCTGTGCGGGGCTCGATCCCAGGACCCTGAGATCATGACCTGAGCCGAAGGCAGAGGCTTTAACCCACTGAGTCACCCAGGCGCCCCCTTTTTTTTTTTTAATGATTTCACTTATTATACTCTCTAGATCCATCCATGTTGTGGCAAGTAGCAAGAGTTCTTCTTCTTTTTTTTTTTTTCTTTTCAGATTTATTTATTTAGAGAGAGAAAGCATGAGTTGGGGGGGAGAGCCAAAGGGGGAGAGCCAGAGGGGGAGGGAGAGAGAGTCTTAAGCAGACTCTGATCTAAGCACAGAGCTAGACTTAGGGCTTGACCTCTTGACCCCCAGATCATGACCTAAGCCAAAATCAACAGTCGGAGGCTTACCAACTGAGCCCCCCAGGTGCCCCAAGATTTCATTCTTTTTTATGGCTGAGTAATATCCCAAGTGTGTGTTTGTGTGTGTGTGTGTGTGTGTGTGTGTATCTTCTATCTTCAGCCATTCGTGTGTCGGTGGATACTTGGGCTGCTTCCATAATTTGGCTCTTGTAAATAATGCTGCAGTAAACATAGAGGTGCATATATCTTTTCAAAGTAGCGTTCGGTATTCTTTGGGTAAATATCCAGTAGTGGAATTACTGGATTGTAGGGTAGTTCTATTTTTAATTTTTTGAGGAACCTCCATACTGTTTTCCACAGTGGCTGCACCAGCTTGCATTCCCACCAGCAGAGCACAAGGGTTCCTCTTTCACCTCATCCTTGTCAACACTTGTTGTTTCTTGTGTGTTTGATTTTAGCCATTCTGACAGCTGGTATCTCATGGTAGTTTTGATATGCATTTCTGTGATGATGAATGATGTTGAGCATCTTTTCATGTGTCTGTTGGCCATCGGCATGTTGTCTTTGGCAAAATAAATGACTGGAAAAGCATTGTATCTGTCAAAATCAAGGAAACCTAATAGGTCATGATGCTGAGTCATTTTTGAAACTTCTGGATCTTGTGGGTTAAATTAGGAGTCCTGTGAAGTAGTGACTAAATGATCTTAATTACATGTGATAGGGGCTTAGTGATGTTTGTAAGATAATTGGCGATTATGAATTCTCTTCCTGGAATGTCTAGTTCTCTCACAACTGAAATCTTTTTAAATTTTATTTACTTGAGAAAGAGGGAGAGCATGTGCAGGAGCAGGAAGAGGGGCGGGGGGAGAGAGAATCCTTGAGTAGAGTCTGCATTGAACCTGGAGCCGAACATGGGGCTCCATCTCATAGCCCTGAGATCATTACCTGAGCTGAGACCAAGAGTCAGACACTTAACTGACTGAGCCACCCAGGCACCCCTGAAATCTCTTGACCAAAATTATCAGCAGTGGGAAAATTTTGTGTAGTTTATTTTTCTTCAGTATAATGTGATAAGGATTTGTTGGGCCAATACTTTGAAAAAAGATTCAGTTACACCTATCAATAAAGATACTTTAAAGTACTGATTTAGTTTCTATACTCTTTTTGGGAGTGGGAGATTTAGAATTTATGACTTAAAGCACAATTCTATTTTTAAACATTTTTTAAAGGCATTTAATATTGATAAATCTGCAATGCTTATCTCAGTTCTTAAAAATCACATTATTACTTTTAAAAAATCTTGGTTTAACAGTGTTTTCAGTATTTAGATAGTTTTAATATGTTTAGACGTGTTATATTCTTAACACATGGAACTCCCTTATTACTTATAATGTACATTAACTTAAATATTTACAATTTTTTTTCCAGTGGTTCAACTTGAATTCTCTCTTGACGGGTCCAGAATTAATATCAGACACATACCTTGCACTTTTCTTGGCTCAATTACAACAGGAAGGTAAATAAAGACCTAAATTTTTATAATGTTATCTTTCGAAGTACCTAAATAAAACTAGTTCTATTAGGTTTAAGTATAAAAAGAACTTTAGGGCAGTGAAATCATCTTGGTGAACTTTAATCTGTGATTTGGATGACACCGTCCAGGCAGAATTTTCACTGATACTTTGCGCTCACCTGAGGATGCTGCTTCCTTAGTAGCCCCACTAAGTGTAGCTTTTTTTCCTTACAGACCCCACAGACCCCCATGGCTAAGGGTTGGGGGTGGGTAATCTTCCTGCTTCTCCTTGCCCCTCTTGGGCCACTGTCCTTTGCTGAAAACTCTAGCTCCTTTAAAATATGTGACCCTAAAAAATTAATTAATTAATTAATTAAAAAGCTAAAATAAAACCCTTCGCACGAGTAAACTCTCCCTTCTGTTCTGTTGCATTTATCTGTGATCCTCCTTTTCCACAGAAGATTTTTAGAGTCTGGCTCGCTGTTTTCTCTCAACTTCAACTCCTTTCGTCATTCTTAAGTGATTTCTACATCAAAATAGGAACCACATCAGCAACACCTTGACTGGGTTTTGAGCCTTGGTTTCCCAGTTCCTGTTTTCAGCAAGGAGGGGGTTGTGTGTGCGTGCGCCCGTGAGTGTGTGCGTGCATACGTGTGCATAAGGTTGGAGGGGGTCAGCTGTTTCTACAGATGATTCATTTTACCCATATTTCACATTATTACATTACATTATCTGGCTGTATCCTTACAACAGCCCTCTGAGGAAGGTACCAGTATCATTAGTCTAACAGTGGCAAAAACTGAGATGTAGCCGATTACACTGATTGACCAAAGACCATGCTCAGTCTTGGAATTGGAAGAGCTAGGACCAAAACCCTGGCCATCTGATTCCAAATTCCTTGCTCTTCCCCACTCCTTTACCTGCCTCCCTGTTAGCATTTAGTGAGTAGTCTCCTTGGTCACACATTCTCTTGGTAGGGCCCTTTGCAAACATTATTTCATTTATTCCTCACAGTCACTCTATGAGATGGCTATTCCCATCTTGCAGATGAAGAAAGTGGGGCTTCGAAACTTTCAGTAGTTTGTCCTAGATCACCCTGCCAGTAAGTGTAAGAACCATTATTTGAACCCAGGTCTTTCCCACCCTTCAGCTTGTATTCTTTCCACTCTACTGTGCTGCCTTTCCATCTGCTGTCATTTTAAACCTATTTTTAATCTCTTACTAGCTGTTTTAGTGTATTTTTGCCTTTTTTTTAGGTTATTCTATATTTGTTGTTAAGGGTGACCTGCCAGATTGTGAAGCCGACCAACTTCTACAGATGATCAGGGTCCAACAGATGCAGAGACCAAGACTCATTGGAGAAGAACTAGCACAACTGAAAGAACAGAGGTAAAATTGGGCCTGCAGTATGGAGTATATGATAGTATTTCATCACAAGAATTACATTTCTTTCTTTTTCTTTAAAGATTTTGTTTTTTTCAGTAATCTCTATATCCAGTATGAGGCTTGTACTCACAAGGCCGAGATCAAGAGCTGCAAGCTCTACTGACTAAGTCAGCCAGGGGCCCCAAGAATTACATTTTCATGCTTGTTTTGGGTATGTGGTCCTTTTATTGTTGGTGATTTTTTTTCTTTTTAGACTTGTTATATTTTTAGTGAAGTTTTTTGGTTCAAACTTGAATCGGTTCTTTGAATTACTTAATTAGCTTAGATCCAAATCACAGCATGATCTTTTTATTTTTTAAAAAAGATTTTTATTTACTTATTTATTTAACAGAGAGAGAGATCACAAGCAGGCAGAGAGGCAGGCAGAGAGAGAGAGAAAGGGAAGCAGGCCCCCCGCCGAGCAGAGAGCCCAATGTGGGGCTCGATCCCAGGACCCTGAGAACATGACCCGAGCCGAAGGCAGAGGCTTAACATACTGAGCCACCCAGGCACCCCAGCATGATCTTTATATTATGAGATGCTCTGCCAGAAAACGTGTAATTCTTGACTTACATAGACTCTTTGGGGGCAACTGGCTGGCTCAGTCATTGGATCATGTAACTCTCGATATCGGGGTTGTGAGTTCAAACCCCACATTGGATGTAGAGATTACTTAAAAATAAAATCTTAAAAAATTATTAAAAAAAGTTTTTCATTTATAAGTGTCTCTATTGTTCATCCAAACCAGGAAGACTGATCTGCAGTTACTATCTGTTTTTGTTCTTCAGAGTCCAGAAAACAGATCTGGAACGAGTCTTAGAAACAAATGACGGGTCGGCCACGTTAGACGAAGATGAGGAAGATTTGCAGAGGGCTTTGGCACTAAGTCGCCAAGAAATTGACATGGAAGATGAAGAAGCAGATCTCCGCAGGGCTATTCAGCTCAGTATGCAAGGTCGTGATGTTTGGATGTGTACTTCATTTGTTGTCTAAGGGCTGATTCCGATCATTCTTTGTTCCCCTGGTAGTAAACGTACTGTTGGTAAAAGTTCTTTGACAATTACTGCAAGAGCAGTAACTATGTACATACAGTCAGCTATTCTTTGAGCTTTCTTAAAATACAAATAACTTTTTACAACCTAAATTATATTAGGACTATTTATGTTTTTATGCTGGTTTTTCTGTTTGGTTATAACAAATGGAAGCACAACAATAGCACAACAATAAATGGAGCTTAATCTTTTTGGGCAAAAAGCAGGGAGGCCCTTCCCAGACCAGCTCTTCTGTAAACATATGCTGTTGGATACAAAGGAAGGCCTGGGCAGAAAATATTTAAAAAGTCTAACTTAGGGGCTGTGCAACTTAACAGCTTAAGCCCACTTGGATGGGTCTGCCTTGACAGTGACATAAGGAGAATGAAGATGTATCCCCCAGGGAGTCCAGGCAGAGGGAATTGTCTGGGATATAGCTCAGAGAGGCTTCCTGAAAGGTGTGCGTGGTTTTTTTTGGCTGTTTTGTTTTCATCCAATTAATGTGAATTTGCCTGCTGCTTAATGAGATTACTCAATGGAATTTCTTAAATATCTAAACAAAATTGAAGTTATGTTACTATGAAGATTATCCTTTCTATCCTGAATTCTCCTGCCTCCTGTCACATCTTGGAGTGCTTCATATGTGTGCAATCAAGCTTTGTGCAGTGGCAGTATCGTAGCCAATGAGGTTTATCTGAGGCGCGATTATTGCTAATTGAAAACTTTTCCCATATGTGTGCAATCCCACTTTTGATTAGTAGAGCCCTGCTCGATTAGCCCAACAATGAACAGATAGCAGCTTTTGTAATTTTAGATATTTTGGGGACCTTCACTTTTCTTCCTGCTTTATTTCACCATCTGAGCAGGATCTCTGCTTGGTGCAGTTATTAAGTGAGAACAGGGACACACACTTCCTTGACTTGGTATATAGCGTGCGAGTATTTTAGGTTAGAGGAATACAGAGAATGGTTTCCAGTCAACCACTTTAAGTTGTTTCTAGTTGAAAGGGCCCATTTCTTTCTAGTAAGTTAAAGATGGCGCATACATGTGATGTTAATGGCTCTTCCTTCCGTGTTGGCTTTTGGACTTGAATCCTCACATCTGCTATGTCACAGATGGGTGTGGACATGGATTATATTTGAACTGCCTTATTCAGATTTGTCCTTGAAAGTTTCAGAGCCTTTCTTATATTTATAGAATAGTAGCACAATGTTTTTAAGAGGAAAACTTTTCAAAAACTTGCTCAAATAAGTATAAACATAGGGTTGCTTAAATTGGTAAATAAAGGGGGCGCCTGGGTGGCTCATTTGTTTAACTGACTGCCTTCGGCTCAGGTCGTGATCCTGGAGTCCTGGGATCGAGTCCCACATCATCTCCCTGCTCAGCAGGGAGTCTGCTTCTCCCTCTGACCCTCCCCCTTCTCATGCTCTCTTTCTCTCTCATTCTCTCTCTCTCTTTCTCAAATAAATAAATAGAATCTTTTAAAAAAAATTTTTAGTTTTTAATCTTTAAAAAAAAATTAGTTTTTTATTCTGTTTTCTTTTGTTTTCAGGTAGTTCCAGAAGCATATCTCAAGATACTCCACACACCTCAGATACACATCTGACTTCAGAAGAGCTCCGGAAGAGAAGAGAAGCCTACTTTGAAAAGTAAAGTAGTTGGTACAATATTAAAATTGCATATTTAATGTGTGCTTTGTCTGTTGTGTCTACAGTTTATACGTGTAGAGCTTTGGTTTAAACTATTTTATTTAGGATTCTCGCCTTTCAAAAGATTGGTTACCCCCTGAACCCTGTGAACATCTAAGTGTATTTTTTTTTTTAATTTATGATGAATGATCTGAAATGATAAGTAGTTTTAGGGAAAACCTTTGCCTTGATACCAATTAAGTTTATATGAAATAAGGTGAAGGAAACCCATTTGAATTTCAGTCATCAAAAGAAAATGGACCAAAGCAAGAACAATGCCTGGTGATCCTCTGGATATGCTTCTTGGTTATCTGACCAACCCTGCAAAGTTCTTCTATCACTTAGCAGTGAAAACAGCATTGCGGTCAGGAAGCGCACTCCCATCTCAGATAGAGGTGGTGGTTCATTGTTCTGATGGTCACTTGAGGGGTTATTGCAGGCCTATTGGCATAGGGACATGGGGGCAAACCATAAATCTGAATCATCAGCTCCCAAAATCCATCTGCTTAAGTGCTCTCAAATTAGAAAATAAAAATGTCATCCTTCCCAGTAATAACCATGCACAAGTTGTCTTCCCTTTTTCTTCTTTTAAGGATAAAACTTTATTTTAAAGGTTACACAGTAAAGTAAAGGTTACACAGATAGATAAATACTCAGATCCTCTGATCCCAGACCAGAAACCAGGAGGCCAGTGGCTGAATCTGGCCTGTTCACTGTGTTTCATCAATTCTGAGATGTATGTATTTTCACATTTCAACATCTCCACAATTAAGCATCTCACAATCATAATTGGCAGTATTAGAGGAATCTAAAATATTGGTGCATTTTACATTTGATGGTGTAATGAAGATAATATTTACTTTGTTTTCTGTTTTGTTTTGTTTTTTTTTAAGTCACAGCTCAGAAGTATGTGAAGGAAAGTTCTGATCAGCTGACATCCTCTTAATGTGAGATATTTCTAGTCTTTATTCAGTGATAGATTAATGGATTTAATTATATAAAATTTCAAAATAGCGCTTATTAGTGCTTCACTTCCCTTCAAATTTTTAATTTTCTTACTTTTTAATTTTGATAAACTTCAGATATCTATAAAAGTAGAGAAACCAGCATAATGAACCCCTGTTTACTTAACGTTGCCCAGTTTTAACCAATGTCAGCACATGGCCAGTGTAGTTTTCTGTGCCCCCATCTCCCCTGCTTTCTCCTCTCCTACTACCAAGCTGGGATTATTTTGTGACATCTAAATTATTTTATCCTTTCATCCATTTTTTTGGAATATAGTGAAATGTTATTGTCACACTATAATATTAATAATTACCACATGATAATTGTTGGTAATTCTACAGTATCATCAAACATCTAGTTAGTGTTAAAAATAAGGGGTGCTTGTCTGGCTTAGTCAGTGAAGCAGATGACTCTTGACCTTGGAGTTAAGTTTGAGCCCCACATTGGGTATGCATATTATTTATAAAGTCTTTTTTTTTTTTTAAGATTTTATTTAATTATTTGACAGAGAGATCACAAGTATGCAGAGAGGCAGGCAGAAAGGGAGAGGGAAGCAGGCTCCCTGCTGAGCAGAGAGCCCGATGGGGGTCTCGATCCCAGAACCCCGAGATCATGACCTGAGCCAAAGGCAGAGGCTTTAACCCACAGAGCCACACATGCGCCCCTATTTATAAAATCTTAAAAAAAAAACAAACAAAAACTCCAAACTGTTTAATTAGATAAAAACCAATATTCTAGAAAATTTCAGACATATCAAAATTAAAGGAAAACAATCCTAGGCCTTAAAAATTAATGTTATTATTTTGACACATTCTCTTCTAGTCACACACATGTATATTGTATGTTAGTTACATCCATTTTTAGTCTTTATAATAGGCTGTGTGGTATTTCATAAAATGAATGTATATATCATAATTTATATGTGAACCTTTGACTTTTACTATTACAATTAATAGTGCAATGAATAATGTTTGTATTAACCCTGTGGCTCAAACCTCTCATCATTTCTTCCAGTTATTCTGAGATTTTTGGGTCAAAGGACAGAAACATTTTTTTAAGGTCTTGGTACAGATTTCTAAACTGCTTTTCAGAACGTTCCCAAATGATACTTCTATCATGCTTATTTCACATTCCATTTTTTGCCAGATTAAATTGGTCCAAACAGATATACTTTATTTTTTTTAAAGATTTTATTTATTTATTTGACAGAGAGATCACAAGTAGGCAGAGAGGCAAGCAGAAAGGGAGAGGGAAGCAGGCTCCCTGCTGAGCAGAAAGCCCAATGCAGGGCTTGATCCCAGGACCCTGAGACCATGACCCGAGCTGAAGGCAGAGGCTTAACCCACTGAGCCACCCAATTGCCCCAAACAGATATACTTTATAGCAAAACTACAAAATTCACAAGTAGACCTAAGAAAAAGAAAAATTTTTATACTTTAAAAAACAAATCCCTTTTTTATTTTTTTAAAAAAATTTTCTTTTAGTTTTTTTTTTATTTTTTTTTGTGGCAGTTGGGCGGGTTGAAAATGTGGAACTTTAATACATGTCATCTTTATCGTAGAGAGGATTTAAAATGTTTGAGTGTCAGTGCAGCTCCTTCCAGGTTGGAGGATAGTTGACTGGGTAGGAAGATGTGCAGTGATGGTTTCCAGCTTCAGTTTCATCATCTGCCTCCTGATTTGATCTTGAAAATATTGCTGGGAACTTAAGGAGAACTAGAGAATGTTTTACAGTCACATATTGCTGAAAAGAGTTAAGAGCTGACTTCTTGATGTTTCTTTTCAGCATTGTCTAGCATTCAGAATCTTGTAAGACTCGTTAGTAAAGGAGCTGAGAAACAGTATTAATCTCTAATATTAGGCCTTTCACTAGAATTCCTGATTACTTAGACTACAAGCTTCAGTCTTTGGGAACTGAGCTCTAAGGTTATTGAGCTCTTTGTTCCTGCTGACCCTCTCTAAATGGGCCCTGGTGCTAACTTGTTATTCAAACAAATTTTGAATTCAAAATAAGGGTTTTTTTTTTTTTTCCCATTTAAAGGGTTTATGATTCATTCAAATAGCTTTTTTCGCCCCGTACGGTATTTGAAGTTCATGCCTAATGTAGTAAACCACAGTATTCATGCACCAAGCATAAAAGTACTGTTTAAAAACCTACTTGTTAAAAAGTCATAGTCAATGGGGGCACTTGGGTGGCTCATTTGGCTAAGTGTCCAACTCTTTTGATTTCTGCTGAGGTCATGATCTCAGGGTTGTGAGATCCAGCGCTGCATTGGGCTCCCCGCTCAGCAGAGAGTCTGCTTCTCTCTCTCTCCCATTGCCCCCATATGCACATATGTGCATTCTCTCTCCCTCTCACTGAAATAAATCTTAAAAACAAACCAACAAAGTCATTGTTAATGAGTATTAAGTAATATGTTCATAGCCAAGATATATTTTCCAGTAGTAATCTCTAAACCCATTACCTATTACTACACCCCAGGTAAAACTCTTACTATATATCCGCAATGTCACTATAAAACCTACCTTAAAAACTCACAAATTGAGTGTCAAATTAGACAAAGTGTGTAAAGCTATTGTGTAAACTGTAAAGTATTCCACAAATACCTTAATTCCCAAGAATTTTTAATTCTTCTCCACGTGTAGCTCTGAAATGATACAAATTCTTTCCTCTGTTACTAAAAAACCATTTCCCAACAAAGAGGGAATTGCTGGCATTGTCTTCATGGTCATGGATTGGTGTGATTTTTTTCATTATTTAACACTTGAGCTCAGTGCCCAGTGGCATGGCATAACAGGATTCAGTTTAAGAAACAAGCTAGTAGAGGTATTTTAAGCAGGAAAATACTTAGTACAGAAACTCAGCGCTTACCCAGTCTTAGGAAGAGCTGGAGGAACAGTCTTTAGGCCAGGCTTCCAGAATTCCAAAGACCAGCTTGTTTGAAGAGCTGTGTTCACTGCCCCAGTTGTCATCATGGGGAATTGGGATATATGGAGTTGAAGAACAGACTGCTATGGCTGTCATCCTAGGATCAGGAAGCTGCCACCACAGTTGCCTAGACATGGGAACACAAAATCTGGCCCCCACTGCAGCTGGCATGAAGCAGAATCCTGGCATGGCAGCTCCCTGACTTGACTTGCCAGCAGAGAACAGCCAAAGCAGCAGGAGGATGGTTGTGTCTCATTTCTGCGAGTGCTTAATTGATAACCAGAATCCTAGCTGTACAGAGACCTAAGATGATGTTTTTAGCTTTCTAGCCTCCGATTCCGAGGGCACATTCAAAGCCACAGTGAAAATGGTGCCGCTTTGCTGTTCAAACATGTTGCATATTACTGTGTCATCAAATATGAAAAGTGTCAAAATTGTTTCAAGGTTGGCAACTCATTTACTTCTCACTTTTCATAAATTTAAAGTAGAATAAAGGTTATCCCTCTTAAGGTCACTGCCTCACCTACCATGCTCCTGTGTTCTGACATACTGTCTTGATTGAAGGGGGAAAGGGCATGGAGAGAGAGCTGATGGGCCAAGATTTTCCTCCTGCCTCGCAAGCCTGTCTCGTGCACATTCCAGACTCAGGGTATGCTGGTGGGAGCATTCTGCCATCTTAGGCATCATTAGCCCCGCATGCCTGAGATTAAACTGAGACAAATGTCGGTATACTTGGGTTTTCTTTGTTACTCATATTTAAAACAGAAGATTGAGACTCTAAGGGGAAAGAAGTATGCTATTCTATTAATAGTGTTACTGGTAAATTTAAAATACTGGTTCCTTTAAAAATCCTTCTGAACATTTATTTTTAAAGCTATGGCTTCTCAGAGTATCAGCTCTTTGTAAGGTTCATCTAATTTTCAACATATATATCTGCATATGATGTGAAATAATTCGAAATTTATGTAAAAGCAGAACTAGTTAATAGAATTCCTTTATACCTTTTGTCCAAATTCCCCAATTGTTGACATTTCTGAGGGGTTTGAACATAACTTGCAGACATGATCTCCCATTACATCTCATTATTTCAGTATGTATTTTTTTACATACAAGGACACTGTCCTACATATATATTTATTTATTTATTTATTTATTTTTTAAAGATTTTATTTATTTATTTGACTGACGGAGATCACAAGTATGCAGAGAGGCAGGCAGAGAGAGAGGAGGAAGCAGCCCCCCCTACCCCCTGCCGAGCAGAGAGCCCGATGTGGGGCTCGATCCCAGGACCCTGGGACCGTGACCTGAGCCGAAGGCAGAGGCTTTAACCCACTAAGCCACCCAGGCGCTCCTGTCCTACATATTTAGATCATAACCACCATGTTAAAAGTTTTAAAATGTGGATTTTTCTGACATTGTTTTTCTGTCTGAAAAAATACAGGGAAAATTTATTTTAACGCAATAAATGGTACTGAAACTTGATCATGCATCTTAAAGTTACATTCTTTCATTGATCAAGTATTTGGTGAATGCCTGCTAACATGACAGGCACTATTTTAGGCACTTGGGAAACAAGATAAAGTATGTGCTCTTGTTAGCTGATGCTCGAAAGAGACACAGTATATCAGATGGTGATAAGTTGATGCCAGAAATTGAAAGGGAGCAGCGATGAGATAATGAGAGTACTTGGAGACTGCTGCAGGTGGCTGGTCAGGAAAGGTCTCTCGGAGGACATGCTGAACCTCAGAGCTGGAGGACAAGGAGGAGCTGGCCATGGAAAGATAATGTTAACTTGCGTGGTAGTTGGGATGTTTCATATTCTCAAAGGTGCTTATTTTTAGTGACTTCAACAATATTAAGGATCTGTAAACCAACATGTTTGCATAAGAATAGCTACCAGCAAATGCTTACGTTGATGTGTTATTTTGTGGTGAAAATTTTTCCTATTAATTTGATAATTCAGATTTTGTATCTAGGTTTCCTAGGATCGGCACTGTGATACTTTCAAGTAACGTAAATCGGACTGGTTGCTCTGGAATTCTTTTGTGGAGTCGTGACAATGACTCTTGTTTTGTGGAACTTTATATTTTCCATATGAATACTTTTTCTCATGGCATATTTATTCTTAGGGTTTGTTTTTTTAATGTACATTCACTTTTGACTTGTTTCAGGCGGCAGCAGCAGCAGCAGCAGCAGCAGGGTCCTCCCGGACAGCTGTCACAGCCGTGTGAGAGACCGACCACAAGTTCAGGAGCACCGGTTAGTGATCCAGGTATGCATCTCTACCCATGCTCTGACACAGGCTCCCTGTGATCTTGGCTTTACAGGCTTTTTTTCTCCCCTCCTTAATATACTGAAACTCTTGTATAACTTCGTAATCTACTAAATCCTTAGATTAAGAAGCAGGCAGACTAGAGTACTCAGTGAATATGTTTCTTTAGAATTACAAACAACAGGGCACCTGGGTGGCTCAGTCATTAGGTGTCTGCCTTTAGGTTGGATCATCCCAGGGTCCTGTTGGGCTCCCTGCTCAGCGGGAAGCCTACTTCTCCCTCTCCCGCTCCCCCTGCTCATGTTCCCTCTCTCGCTGTCTCTCTGTCAAATAAATAAATAAAATCTTTAAAAAAATAATAATAAACAACACTTGCAATTTAGAGTAATTAATAATTCTCCAAAAATTCCTCAGATATAATGGATACTAGTAGTTGGAAGATGAATACATTTTACCCCCTGGAAAACTAAAATGCCCAAGGGTAGTCTAGAATTATTTATCAGGCCTTGGTTTAATAGGTCTTAAACTTTGGTCAATTATTGGTAGTACAAGTTGAGTAAGAAAACAACTGTATGTGACAAAGGCCAAGAAAATTCAGATGGGCAAAGATTTGAATAGCTCCTTCACCAAACATATGGTTGACAAAGAAGCCCATGAAAATATGGTCACTATTAATAATCATTAGGGAAATGTAAATTAAAATACAAAGAGATACCATTACACACCTTATTATAAGAATGGTTTAAATAAATGTGAATAAAATGTAAAAAAAAAAAAAAAGAATGGTTTAATAAAAAACAAAATCGAGAGTACCAAATGCTGGCTAGGATCAGAGCAATTAGACACCCTTACATTGTTGGTAGGAATATAAAATGGTACAGCAACTTTGGAAAACGGTTTAGTATTTTCTTACAAATTTAAATGTACACTTAACCATATGATTCAGTAGGCCCCATTCCTAGGTATATAACCAAGAAAAAAAAGAAAACATAAGTTCCCAGAAAAACTTGCAGGTGAATGTTCACAGCAGCTTCATTTTTAATTGTCAGAATCTAGAAGTTACCTAACTGTGGTCCTTCAGTGGTGAGTGAATGCACAAACTGTGGTACTTGCAAACAGTGGACTACTATTTCACAATAAAAAGAAATGAACTGGGGCTTTTCCCTATTCTCCTGCTATTTACAGCTAATAACCTGGACATTTATAACAAACGTAAGAAAATTCTGAAAGGCAGAGAGAAGACAGGCTGTATAGGAGGCTCAAGGACCAGAGGAATGACACAGTAATGTGTAGCCTGGATTTTCTTTTTGTCTCACATATTCTGGACTTGGTGCTGAAGAAGCCACAGTAAGGATGAAGTAATAAAGCCTGTTCTGTATGGTCAAAAGGGACTACTTAGCAAGTAAAAACTTTTGAGATAATAAATACTCTATTCCAGCCAAACAGGATTAGGTAAATAAACTGGCCTTACTGTCACCCCACCCCATTGACACAGACCAGGTAGGAGGGTAGACTGGTATCCCAGCTGCCAGGAACGAGGTGTACCTCCTGCTTCCCCTGGCTAGGGTGGTGTCAGAGAAAGCCACGTGGGAAGCTGGGACTTTAGGTCCCTCCAGGAGACAACGAGGGGCTCTTTCCCATGGTGTCCATGGTTGTAGGGAGCCTACACTTCCCACCCACCAATACAATGTGGAGGCGTCCCTCTGGCTTCCTGCCTGGCTGGTTTCAAAAGAGGCCCAGTGGAGAATTGGAGTTAGTGATTTGAGGCACTAAAGAGGCCATACCCAGAATGTTGGTGAGAGGCGATAAGGAAGCATTCCTGCCCCTTCTGGTCAAGGAGCTAGCAGTTGAGAACAGTGAGGAGCCAGAACCCCCACATGGGCACAGAAGTAATGATCACACACACGCTCCCCGTCTCGGGCTGCAGCAGGGCAGTGCCCCTCTCCCCCACTTGGTGCTGTGTCAGAAGAAGCCTCCTAAAAGAAAAGATTTAAGTAAGACTTACAGTCTTATAAAATGCAACACCACAGATGTTTAGGATGTGATCAGAAGTGTTACCATACCAAGAGCCAGGGAAAATTCAGCTTGACTGAGAAAAGACAGTTCATAGATACCATCACCAAAATGACACTGGTATCAGAATAAATTCTCACAAGGCTTTTTAAAGCAGCCATCCTAAAAATGCTACACTAAGCAACTATGAACATGCTTAAAACAAATGAAGAAACAGAAAGCTTCAAGAAAGAAATAGAAGATGAACTAAATGGAAATTTTAGAGCTGAAAAATAATAATACCTGAAATTTGAAAGTGCAGTGATTGGATTCAACAGGTGAATGGAAGGACAGAGGAGAGAATCCATGAACTTGAGGACTGTTGCCCATTCTGAGCAACAGCGAGAATTAGACTGGAAAAAATTAACAAAACCTGTGGGACTATAGTAGAAGATCTAATGTGCCATGGGAATCCTAGGAGATGAGGAGAGTGGGGCTGAAAAGATATTTGAAGACATAATGGCTGAAAATCCCCAGCTTTGGCAAAAGATCTAAAATTACAGAATCAGGGTACTTGGGTGGCTCACTAGGTTAAGCGTCTGACTCTTGATTTTGGCTCAGGTCATGGTCTCAGGATGTAAGATCAAGCCCCATGTTTGACTCCACACTGTGAAGCCTGCTTAAGATTCTCCCTCCCTCCCTCCTCCTCTCTCTGCCCCTCCCTGCCTAATAAATAAATAAATAAAGTAATTAATTAAATAAAACAAACTGCAGAATTAAGAAGCCAAGTGAAGCTCTGACAGTTAAGCGAAAGAAATTTATGCCAGAACATCATAGTCTAACTTCTGAAAACTGAACAAAAGAGGAAAATCTTGAAACCAACTAGAAACATCTTGCCTATAGCAATTTGTATGATAGCACATTTCTCACCTGAAATCACGGATATCAGTAGAAAGTGGCACAACTTCTTTTTTTTTTTAAGATTTATTTATTTTACAATCTTCAAGCATGCATGAGCAGGCAGAGGCAGAGAGAGAATCTTCAAGCAGATTCTCCACTGAGCACAGAGCCTGATCTCGTGACCCTGAGATCCTGACCTGAGCCAAAATCAAGAGTCAGATGCTTAACCAACTGAGCCACCCAGGCACCCTTCATTTTTCAAGTGTTGGAAAGAAAAAACAACCCAGGGGCACCTGGGTGGCTCAGTCGGTTAAGCATATGCCTTTGGCTCAGGTCATGATCCCGGACTTCTGGGATTGAGTCCTGAGTCAGGCTCCCTACTTGGTAAGGAGTCTGCTTCTCTCTCTCCCTCCGCCCCTCCCCCTCACTGGTAGTTCCTCTCCCTCCCTTTCTCAAATAAATAAAATCTTAAAAAAAAAAAAAGAGAAAAAAAAAAGGAACCCTAGAATTCCCAGTGAAAATTTTTTTCAGGAATGAAGAGAAAAATTAAGAGAATTTTCATTGGTAGACCCATCCTAAAATAATGGCTAAAGGAAGCTTTCTAAACAGAAATAATGGGGGCGCCTGGGTGGCTCAGTCATTAGGAGTCTGCCTTCAGCTCAGGTCATGATCCCAGGGTCCTGGGATCGAGCCCCACGTTGGGCTCCTTGCTCAGCGCCTGGTTCTCCCTCTCCCACTCTCCCTGCTTGTGTTCTCTCTCTCGCTGTATCTGTCAAATAAATAAATGAAATCTTTAAAAAAAGAAAAAAAAAACAATAAGAATTAATCTGGGAACATTAGAAAAAAAGAATAGTAGTAAGAGTAAAAATATGGGTAAGCAATAGATACTCCTCTCCTTTTGAGTTTTCTAAATTATGTTGGATGATTGAAGCAAGAATGTTTTTAGTGTACATGTAGAAAATATTTAAGGCAATTACATTATAAATGGTAGAGTAAAGGGAGGTGAAATTTCTATGTTTTTCACCTGTTACAGTCATTCTGGAAAATAGTTTGTCAATTTCTTTAAAAATTGAACTTGTACCTACCATACAACCCAGCAGTTACACTCCTGGACATTTATCTCAGAGAAAGGAACACTTAACCTGTCCATGCAAAAACCTGTACACAAATGTTCATAGCAGTTTTATTTCTCATAATGAAAATCTGGAGACAACCAAAATGTTCTACAGAAAGGCAGAGAAGTTTAAACAAGTGGTAGTATATCTATGAAATACTACTCAGGACTAAAAAAGAAACCAGCTCTTGATACATGAGCAGTTTGGTTGTGCCTCAAGGGCACTATGCTAAGTGCAGGAAAGATCTGTTACAGTGTGGTTATAGTTGTGTAACATTCTAAAAATGACAAATTTGGGGGCACCTGGGTGGTTCAGTCGGTTAAGCATCCGCCTTCGGCTCAGGTCATGATCCCAGGGTCCCAGGATTGAGTCATGCATAGGGCTCCCTGCTCAGCCAGGGAGTCTGCTTATCTCTCTGCCTCTCCCCCACTTGTGTTCTCTCTCTCTGTCAAATAAATTAATAAAATCTTCAAAAAAATAAATAAATAAAAATGACAAATTTGTAGAGATGGAGAACAAATTAGTGGCTGCCTGCAGTTAGGGAAGTTGGGGGCAGAGAAGTGGGTATGAATCAGAAGGGACAGCAGGAAAGAAATCTTTGTGGTAGTTGAACAGTTCTCCGTCCTGGTTGTGGTGCTGGTGGTTACACAAATCTACACATATGACGACATAGCATAGAACTACACACAGCTTTGTACCAATGTCAATATCCAAGTTTGGGGTTAAACTGTAGTTCCCTAGGATTTAACTATTGGGTGAAATTGAGCCAAAATGTACACAGGAACCCTTTGAACTATCTTTGTAACTTGCTGTAAATAAATTGTTTAAAAACAAGATCTAGGTAACAAATTATGTATATGTATGTATACACACACACACACACAAACTAAGTTTAATTTTTCATTTAGCATAATGCACTTGTTTTGAAATACAGAATAAATGTATTATGGGGATTGACCACAAAGGGGCAGCACGTGCAAATTTGGGAGAGCAGTGGGCAGGTCTGGATCTGGTGGTGATGGTAGTTATATGGCTCTGTGCATTTGTCAAAACTTATAAAACTGTAAGAGAGTGCATGTTACTTTATTTAAGTATAAGAAATTTAAAAAGGAAGCTATAGTAGTCAAATGTATTTTCTAAGAGCTCACCTTTTGATGACTTTTAGAATTTTCCAGAAACGTCTAAGAGAGATGCTTGTTTTCTTTCCCAACAGGAGATGCTATGAGTGAAGAAGACATGCTTCAGGCAGCCGTGACCATGTCTTTAGAAACTGTTAGAAATAATTTCAAAACAGAAGGGAAAAAATAATACCTTTTACAAATCATTTAGATATTCATATTTTCCAACATTATTATTCTGTGTGGTTAGAGCATAGAGGGTCCATTTTAGTAATGTGTCAAACAATGTTCAACAGAGGAGATAAGACTGTTAGGTGGTTTGCAACAAAAAGATGAGAAAGTGGAAAAATGCGCCAGTTGTGGGACTAAATAGTGATCTTCCAAACACTAGCCAACGAGGCATTTAGCAATTAAAGAAACTTAAAATAGTTTTCTAAATGTTCCTTTTTCTTTCTGAGTGTGCAATATCTCTCATGTCTAAAATTAGGGCATTTTTCTTGGATCTTTTTGCAGACCAACTAATTAGCTCTTGCCACAGAACATTTTCCATACATGTTCTTCTCATCCTTTCTGTTCAGGTCGTTTGACTCACTTTCCATCACCTCATAGTTGCTTTTCTTTCTCATTAACCAAGTTAACCTTTTAGGACAGTGTCTCTTTTCTGTGTTGATAGTAGTAACAGTTCCAGAAAGATCCACTGCTTTCCCTCCAATTATGTAGCTTGCCCTGGGATGTTTTCTTATGTTATTTCTCTAATCACAGTTTCTTTGCTACTTGGTTTTCCTTACTTTTCTACAGCTCTTTTGAAAGATGGTAATCTTTCTGGAGGTTTTGCTTTTTAAGCCCTCTAAGATGGGATCATTAGTTCATGATTCTGGTGCATTCCAAAACGCTGAAATCAACAAGTATTTGAGAATAAATGAGAATTTTTTTTAATGTGTGAGCACATCCTTTTCTAGATGTTTTCTAGACTGTCACAGCTCTGCTGTGACTTTTTCTCCTGCACCTTGATATTTCCTTTTCTCCAGCTGAGAAAAAATAGGAGAAGCACAGTATGCAAGCAAGTTTCCTTCTGTGTCAGACTTCACAAATAATACCCACCATGAATGTATGAGAGACAAAGTTTGGCTTTCAATTTAGCGGCAGCTTCATTTTATTCTCTCTTGTGACCGGAGCTCTCTTGTTTACGGTGGAGTCATGGAACATAGATGTCTGCTTCTGCTGCATATCTTGTAGTAGGTATTATTTGCCAGAGATGATGATCTGGAACATGAAATTAATCTACTAACAAAAGTACATTTACATTTATACTGTGATTTGACACTGACATCATGTTTAAATAGCTTAAGAATTACAGAAGTCACACAGTACTTAATGGGTCTGTAAATAAGAAAGCCTTTAGTTTTGATAAACATTCTTTAATTGGGATGCACAGAAAGTTTCTTGCTGTGTCAGTACAGTGGTATGATTTTGGTGAAAATTAACTATGTCTCTCTGAAATGGACATTTTGGATTCTGTCATTTACTCCCCATCCCTCATTCTCCACCCCCTTTGAAGCCCTTTGAAATGCTGAATTATTCATAAGCTAAAGGTTAGGAAATTTCAGCTAACAACATAGAAAATTAAAGTATGATATGTTGCCATGACTAGTGTATGGCTACACATTTTATCAGGGAAATTTTTTTGACCTAGGATTTATTGCTGAGTTGAAAGGAGATGAAAAATATGCCTTTTATGATTATGAAATAGTTTTTTTTTTTTGGATAGAGACAGATTTTTTTAGTCATTATTTTGTGCCAAATAACATTTTCTGAAGTTTACCTTGCAAAAGTAGACTGTTTTACTTTAAAGTTTTCTTTTGAGAATTGAAAATGTTTCAGAAGAGTTATAAAACTTTAGAATTGCAAGGGACATTGGCGTTAGTACTGCTCCCTCGAGATTTATAAACCAAAATATTTTAAGATTGAACATTTCTGTAGTAATCCCCAATATACTTGTCCTATTTTCCATGGATATTAGTTTTTATCTTATCCCATTGGAAAAATACATTAAATTTTTCATACACGAATGGGTGACTTACCTAATATAAAAATGAGAAAAGAAATATGCATTTGAAAGTTTTAACCTTAGAGTTTATAAAGTTCTTATATTACATGCCTTTCTTAAAGCACTTAAGGAAATATGGTATGTTGACCTTCATTTAGGGATTTTTTTTTCCCTCTGCAGCAGAGTTGAGCACACACTGAATACGTTTGAATGTGTTTAGTTTATTTTGAATATTGCATTTGGCAGGCAGATCCAGAATGACTAGAGAACTGCCAGATTTTTGGATTGGCTTAAACTTAATTTAGATTCCATCCCTTAATTGATTGGCCAGTATGAAAAGATGCCAATGCTCATAATTACAGTATCAGAAAACTTAGTTATACAAAGGTATAGTTCACACATGAGGAACTGTTATTTACTGTAAGCAACCTGCAAGAAAGTCAGAAACAATGAAATTCACAATAGCAGTCCTGCTCAGAACTCTATATAAAGATTTCCATTCTGTTTTACCAATTGGGAACACCTTAATGTTTAATATTTAAACTACTGGTATCATTTTTCTAATGTATAAATTGCGTTACCAGGATAAAATACGTACAGTGGTTATGCTAGTGTTTAAACACGTTTTAGAAACACCACTTTCATATTTTGAGATGTCAAAAATATAATAAGTAGTTATTTATGTTTTAAAAATTCACAGTAGTTTAAAGAAATTAACAGTAATTAACCTCTGCTCTAAAATCATCAATAAACATTTTTACAGTAATTCACATGCAGATATTTCAGTAACGTAAATTGAAAAGATTGCTGCAGGCAAACTGTATTTTAACTTTTAAGATCCTGATCGAATAATTTACAATTCACAGAATATTTAAGGAGGTGCTTTTTTTTCTTTAAAACTTAATTTTTCTTAATTAAGACTTTATTCATGCCAAAGTTAATGAAAAAAGTTCAACACTGGTTGAGGGTCATTATAGGCAAAACTACCAATAGTCTGTGGTTTTTCATGTAATACTAAGTTGAATAAAGTAAATTTTATTCCTGAATGATGAATCACATTTTTAATGTCTGCATGTTTGATACTCTTTTTAAATAGTATCATGCCAGTGCCAAGATTTACTAAATGTGTTAAAATTGGCCTATTGGGCCCACACAAATTTAAAGAAGATTGAGTCAGTGCGTAAGCAAAATATAGTGATAGAAATTAAAATATCTCCAGTTGAAATAAATCTCGATGTCGAGAATTCAATCATATTGATGCCTTCCTATTTAAAACTTTATGTGCAACTGGAAAGCCCAATGACTACTACTCTAAAAGTAAATAGTTTGTTGTATCTGGGCCCTAACAAGTACGGAGATATTATATATGTGACCTTAATTAAGAAAAAACAGATTGGATCAACTAATCATTTCAGCAGTGTCAATAATTTTTCGTATTAAAAAAAAAAAAAAAAAACTTTCCTTTGTTCCTGGTCCCTCTATGAACAAGCATCTTCTGCTAAAGAGATGAACTGGCTTGTATTTTTTAAAGTCTTACATTAGCAAAAATGTTTTGTTTCATTTTACTTTCATGAATGAAAAGATTATTGACACAGTTTAATCCTTGAATTTTGATTTGTTTTTATTTGAAGAAAATCTTTGCTTTTAATTTTGCAAAATGTTCTGGCATTTTAAGAATACTAGTAACATAATTTCTAAATTTACAGTAATTGGCATGTTTAACAATAGTGTATCAGTAAATATATTAAGACTGTGGATTCATAGACAAGGAATGGGAAGCAATAGTGAAATGTATGTAAAAATTCCTGATTCATTTAGGAAGCACTTCACCTTCTTGCATAGTTCAAAGGTGAATGTCTCCAGGAACTTTTAAAAATTTTTTTAAAAGAGAAAGATGTACATTGGAATGTGAAAAATTAATTTCTGTAACACTGGACTACTAGAAATAACTTTGTAAAAATTACTGTTCTGTATAAACTATTTGAAATTCAAGTACAAAGAAAACACCTGAAATCATTGTCTTTTGGCCATGACACCAGTGCACTGTGGCGGTGCCATTTGCTCAGGACCCAACCCCATAGCCCTCTCTGTGTGTGCCCTCCCTCCAAGTTCTGTTGCAGTTACTACACACACAGGTCTTCCTGTCTGGTCCTTAGAAAAGCCGGGCTTCCAAAGCACTGTTGAACACTGAGGATTCTATTGTTAATGTGGATGTTCGATGAGTTGTATTTTAAATATCAAAGATTATTAAATAAAGATAATGTTTGCTTTTTTTATTTCTGTTTTTATTTGTGCTGACGGGTTAATTCCTAGCCTTGCTAATTAAGCAAAGGATGGTGGGAAGACCAGCCGCCTCTGCACCACCTGAGAGCTTTCCAGAAATGCAGAGCTTTAGGCCACACCTACTGACTCAGGACCTGTGTTTTTAACAAGACCCCCAAGGAATCACATGCAGATTCAAGTATGAGAGGCTTGTTTTATGGGCAGTTTGTGACAAATAAAAGGGGTGGGGCACTGATAATCCATTCCAGCTCACTGCTGCCCAAGGGCCCACTATTACTAGAACCTCTCATCGTTTCTTAGAGATGCTAGGTCCAAAGTTTTACTTGAAATCTGATTTTTAAATGGTTGCTCCACTGCTTCTATAATCCTGAGGGCCAAACAAAGCACGCTGGTAACAATTTTTAGGAGTGCTGTTTTTTCCTCATCCAACTCTGGACACCAGAATCCAACTGTAGTAATTGGAATCCACTTGGACGGATGGAAGGTTCTAGAATCCTCAAACCATAATGAGGGTTATATATCCATTTTATCCTTAATTAGGGTTGGGCATGAATATTGAAATATAAAATGTTCAAACTGATCACATGAATCTTAGCAAAACCTCATAGCTTAGTGCTTAGAAGGACCGTTTCATTGAATTTGGATGCCACCAAATGGCTCTGATCTCATCAATACCTACTTGTGGGCCCCATGAATTTTAAGTTGACCCATTTTATATGTTAGTTGATATAAAAGGGAATTTGAGGGTTGTCTTTATCCCCAAGATTTGCATGTTTGAGGACTCTTTAACCATTTTGTCACCAAATGCTCAAAAGTTCATTCTTTAGGGGCGCCTGGGTGGCTCAGTGGGTTAAAGCCTCTTCCTTTGGCTCAGGTCATGATCCCAGGGTCCTGGAATTGAGCCCCGCATCAGCAGGGAGCCTGCTTCCTCCCCTCTCTCTGCCTCCTTCTCTGCCTACTTGTGATCTCTGTCAAATAAATAAAATCTTCAAAAAAAAAAACAAAGTTCATTCTTTAACTAATTTGGGTTGGGCTGACCTACGCTCTTGACGTTTCCCCTTTACACACTGTGGTCCTAGCAGGCCTCCTTGTGGGTCTTTCCCACCCCCCGGGTGCTCCCTAACATTCTCCTCGCTCCCTTCCCTTTGCTCATTTGATATCCCTGCCCCAGAAGTCTGTTGGCCACCCCCTTACTGGGAGGGCTCTTTCAACGGGGCTACCACCCTTTGCTGTGCCCTGTTCTCCCCTACCATCGTTCCAGTGCTTTCTGTGTTGGGAATGGCAGCCACCCTCTGTCTCAGGCTGCTAGCAAGAAACAATCACTGTGGCATTCATTCACTCATTCAGCAAAACATCTGAGCACTCCCTGTGTGCCAGGCATGGTTCTGGGTCCTTGGAAATAAGAGTCATGAGTCAGATACTGTGCTCTTGTCCTTGCATTCTGGCTGGCTGTTGCGCAGAGGAAACGTTTCATGAGCATAACTTCACAACATGTAAAGAACTGTGCTTGTTCTGTGAGCTCCGAAGACAAACAGGGTGATGCACTGGAGTGTGATTGAGAGGGAGGACTGCTCATTCTGGATGAAAGGAAAGGCCTGCGCAGAGGTGACTTTCACACAAACACCTGGTAACTCCTGAGGCCTCCCTGCAAAGGTGAAGGGCGTGAGACCGGCCTGAGGAAACGGCAAGCACAGCAGCTCTGAGGTGAGGGCTGGTTGTGTCCGAGGAACGGAGAGAAAGCTGGAAGAGGCTAGCAGGTAGTGAAGAGAGATGGAATTAGGATGTAGACAATTTCTGTAAGCTTTTATAAATACAGATAAGTTTGTATTGTATTGTTCTATTTATACCAAGCCATCTGCTTCCATTTTCTAAAATATTCCCCACTTCTTTCTAGAATAGTCCCAAGACTTTTTTAGGATTTATTAGAGAGAGAGAGCGCATGCACGAGCTTGAGCAGCGGGGAGGGGCAGACAGAGAGAATGAATCTCAGGCGGACACCCATCTGAGAACAGAGCCTCACTCCGGCTCAATCCCCTGACCCTGAGATCGTGACCTGAGCCAAAATCAAGAGTCAGACACTTAACTGACTGAACCACCCAGGTGCCCCCCAAAAAATAATCTTTTAAAAGGTTTATTAACTACATCTACCAAAGATCATGCCAGTGCTCACCTTCAGCAACACCAGAAACTGGCTGTATTTTAGCATTAAAGATACTGCTTAACATACCTGAGATCAGGATTTCAGGCAAGCCTCCCATTCCCCACCTGTGCATTTTGTTTTTCTTCCTCTCATATCTATGCAATTGTTTCATCACTATCAGACAACTATAGTTCGTTTTGAAATCTTAGCGTCATATTTTGGTTGGTAATCCACATCAACTGTAGTGATTAATATCCAGATATCTCCCTTTCGTCCTGTGCATTTCGTCCAGGACGCCATCATATTATGGTAAGCATGAGCAACAATATCATAGCTCTTCACTTGGACTTCAGCCTTTAGATTTGGTTGTCGGAGAAAAACAATATAACAGTGACTTTATTAGCTCTAAGTTTTTTCTCTCTCAGCTTAAGAAAACCAGAACTGATTGGGCATTACACAGTGTAAAGAATTTTTTTTTTTTTTTTCTTACAATCTGCTTTCTGGCGGCACCTAGGTGGCTTAGTCCGTTAAGCCTCTGCCTTTAGCTCAGGTCATGATCTCAAGGTCCTGCGAGTAGGCTCCCTACTCAGCGGCAAGCTGCTTCTCCCTCTCATCCCCAGCTCGTGCTCTCTATAGATATCTCTGTGTCTCTCTCAAATAAATAAATTTTTAAAAAATCTTTAAAAGAATCTGCTTTCTGTATTCTTGCTTTACATACATGGATGGCTTCATTGCTAAGATCGATTCATGGTTCAAGAAAGCTGCTGCAGGCGGGGCCCATGATTACATCTGCATCCCAGCAAACAGAAAGCAAAAGGAGGATGGAAGAAGGCCATGTGCCCATCCTTTTTTTAAATAATATCTATGCTTAAAGTGGGACTCGAATTCACGACTCTGAGATCAAGTGTCCCATGCTCTACTGAATGAGCCAGCCAGGTGCCCCCATGTGCCTTTTCCTTAAGGTTACCTCCTTGAAGTTGCATACACCATTTCCACTTAAGTTTACATGGGCCAGAACTGAATCCCATGTCCCTTTCCAGCTATAAGATGGTTTTTATTTGGGTTGGTCATGAGTCTTAGCTTGGGCATCCTAGAGGCAGACTCTGAGATGGGGATTCCTGTGAAAGTGATTTTTTTTTTAAAGTGTTTCCAGGGGCACCTGGGTGGCTCAGTCAGTTAAGCATCTGACTTCATTTCGGGTCATGATCTCAGGGTCCTGGGATTGAGTCCCCTTATTGAGCCCTGTATAAGCCCCGCACTGGGCTCGCCGCTCAGCAGGGAGTCTGGTTCTCCCTTTCCCTCTGCCCTACCCACTCATGCACTCTCTCTCTCAAATAAATAAAATCTTTAAAAAGAAAAAAAGTAATTCCAGGAAGAAAGGGAAGGGGGCATAGTGGGGTAAGAAAGTGGAATAAGGAAAGGAAGCCAAGCAAGGGTATAACAATAAGCAAAGGCTTAATCATGCAGACAGATCCGGTCGGATACAGTATATTCACATCTTGGAGTTACTACATCGTGGGCAGGGAGCTGCATCATTTTGTTTTTTTTTTTAAGATTTTACTTATTTATTTGACAGAGAGAGAGAGTAGGGGGGTGGGTAGCAGGATCCCCGCTGAGCAGAGAGCCCGATGCAGGGCTCGATCCCAGGACCCTGAGATCATGACCTGAGCCAAAGGCAGAGGCTTAACCCACTGAGCCACCCAGGCGCCCCTCATTTTAAATACTACTACACGGGGTTGTCTCAGCATCTCTGGGAACACACACAATTCCTCCAGCAGAGGAACACCTGTTGAGAGTGAAAGCACCCCAAGAAAAGGTGTGCACAAAAGAAGTAAAAGGATGAAGGGGTCAGGAGGGGGCCCCGGCATTTTCTGCTATACCACGCATCCAGGCAACAAGGGAAGGTTTAATAACTGCGCGTGAAGTGGAGAACAGACTCTGGGAAACGATTAGCCACTGCTAGGTGAGGCGACCGCAGAAGTGAGATGTGTGGCATTTTGGGCAAAGATGGAAAGTCTGTACAGGACTGAGCAGAGCTGAGGAGACCGAACACTGTGTTGAAGAGAGGTACACGCAATAGCAAACAGGAGACAAAAGCAACAACTATCTTGGAAGGTGGGGGTGAGATGTGGACTGAAATCAAGAGGATTAATTTAAATTCTCTAAAACTAGCAGAGACCCCACAGAGGAGGCACTAACCAATTAAAACAAAACCACAACGCTTTTAAATAATTTGCTGAACTAAAAGACATAGTTTTTTAAAGTGTTTGCTGGATGCCCAGCATAATGAATGAAACTACAAACAACCGATTGCAAAACACATCATTATTAATTTCAGAGCATCAGGGGCACCTGGGTGGCTCAGTCGGTTAAGCCTCTGCCTTCAGCTCAGGTCATGATCCCAGGGTCCTGGGATTAAGCCCCTTGTCTGGGCTCCCTGCTCATCAGGGGGCCTGCTTCATGCTCTACCTGCCACTCCCCTGCTTGTGCTCTCTCTCTGATAAATAAACAAACAAATTAATTAATTAATTAAATATTTAAAGTGAAATAAAGTGGGTTTTTTGCTTTACACTTGCATAAATAAACCCATTTAGATAGTTTTCTCACAAGAAAGGAACTTTTTTTTTTTTTTCTGGAGATGTATTGATGATCCCACCACTTGAGAAACCAGGTTCCAGCTGATAATACTGTTGTTTCCTTTTTTTTTTTTTTTTTTGTTTCCAGCCATTGAGATTTCAAAACTCCTAGGTTCAGGGGGTGCCTAGGTGGCTCAGTCATTTAAGAGTCCAACTCTTGGTTTCAGACCAGGTCATGATCTCAGGGTCATGAGTCAGCCCTGCATCGGGCTCTGCAATGGGTATGGAGCTTGCTTAAGAGTCTCTCTCTGGGGATGCCTGGGTGGCTCAGTGGGTTAAAGCCTCTGCCTTTGGCTCAGGTCATGATCCCAGGGTCCTGGGATCGAGCCTCACATGGGGCTCTCTGCTTGGCAGGAAGCCTGCTTCTCTCTCTCTCTGCCTGCCTCTCTGCCTGCTTGTAATCTCCATCTGTCAGATAAATAAATAAAATCTTTAAAAAAAATTTAAAAAAAAGAGTCTCTCTCTCTCTCTGCCTCTGCACCACCCCCTCTCCAGCCCCTAAATAGCATGCTTGTGCTCTCTTTAAAAAAAAAAAAATCCTAGGTTCAGAATTTCAGGTAATCAACCTAGCCCATCACCTAGAGCCACTCAGGTTCATGGGCTCTCTCCGATGTGGTATGTTTGATTGTGCAGGGGTGGTTTTGCTACTCATTGTGTGATAACGAACATCCATGTTAGCTACAGGGATATTTGGCAGGAAAAGGAGAAGTTATCTTCAGCCCTTCAGCCCAAACTTCATTAAACTTGGATGTCCTCTAACTTTTTATTATAAAAAAATTTCAAATACATGCAAAAGTAAAAGACTATTATAACGAACCTCTGTGTACCCAGCTTCAATAACGATCAATCCCTGGCAATTACTGTTTCATCTACTCTGCTCCCATTATTTTGCAGCACATCCCAAACATCATGGTATTTATCAGAATCACTCTTTAAGTCTCTTGGGCCATAGTTCATCCCACAGGAAAAAAAATACCCCATAAGGAACTTATAGGACATAGCTTTTTATGCTAATTACTTCAAAATGATGTAAATACATATAATTGTTCTTGTTTTCTTCATTAATTGCAGCATCTTTGTGGCATGACATGAATTTACAGGATGGCTCTCCATAGAATGTACAGCTGTAGGCAATAAAAGCTTGATTTACACTAGCTAAACTTTTCACTGTGGTCCAGAAACTCACAACTTCATGTGACTCCTCTGTTCAGAGCAGTTTCCCACTCTGCTAATACCGCCCGATCCTACTCAGTAAAAGCCAGAGTCCTTACAATATAGCCTACCAGGCCCTATGTGATCTGTGCCCTCCCACTCTGACTTCTTGGTTCTTATCACTTAACCAGCCTTCCCCACCCCACTCTACTCCAACCATCCTTGCCTTTTTGCTATTCCTCTAACCTGCCAAAGACCCTCCCACCTCAGGACCTTTGCATTAGCTGTTATTTCCTGCCTGTACCCCTCTTTTCCATATATATCCACATATCTCAAATTTTTCTTTTCCTAAGTAAGCTTACTTAGGCCCTATGTGGAGCTTAAACTCACAACCCTGAGATCAAGAGGTACATGCTCTACCGACTGAACCATCAAGGTGCCCTGACATTTCTCATTCTCTTAATTCCTTCAAGTATCTGTTCAAATATCACCATATCAGTGAGGCCTTCCCTGATTACCTTCTATAACATTACAAGTGCCCTCTCTCCTATCTTTTCCATATGACCCTTACCCTGTGTTTTCTTCCTCCAAGTGGTCATCACTACTTGTCTGTATTTACTATATTTTATTTATCGTTTATCCCTTTCCAGTAGAATGCAAGCTCCATTAGACCAGGAGCTACATGTTTTTTTCTCCTGCCATACTCCCAGTACCCACATCAACAGGTCATCCGGATGCCACATTTTTGAAACTTTATAAATACTTAAATAGAACTCACCAGGTACCAGGCACTGTTCCAAGCTCTTAAAAATATCACCCTATTTAATCCTCCTAATGACCCCACCCAGTAGACACTATTATTATCATTTTCCATTTTACAAAAGAGAAACTGATGCACAGAGAGGTTAAGTAACCCACCCAAGGTCGTACGTACAGCTAATAAGTAACAGCTCCAGGCAGTCAGGCCCTGGAGCCTGCATATGCAACTCTTGGGCACTGATGTCTTACCCAGAATAGGATGCAATTTTCTTTTAAAAGCATTCAGATTTCAGGGAGAACTACTATTGCCTGGTGCCATCAGATTCTCAATAGTGGAGGCATTCCCAATGTTCCAGTCACAAACAGTGTACTCCGTGGTGACTCCTCCTGTAAATAAAATCAGAGAGAAAGATGCCAGTATTTAGTGGTATGCTTAAAAGAACTGCAGACCTATTCTTTTTAAAGCAAAAAACGTCATCGTCTCTCTGGCCAGGTAATGTGCGTCGCGTACCATTGCGTCAAGTACCTGTAAGTCACGTGACTTTTCTTCCTCTGGGGAGTAAAGCAAGCGAGGCGGGACACTCCGCTGTGTGCACCCACTCGTGTAACAGGGCTGAGAGGGATGGGGACTTGCACAGTTAGTGCAACACCATAGAAGAGTTTCTGTTAGAACAGCATTTCTTCATAGTAAGTTGTCCCGCTGTCCTTTACTGAGTTATTATTTTTTAAAGGTGTTCTGTGTTTTAACTTCATGGGTTAGTTATATCGGCTTCCTGAACAAAGCGCTTGGTGTATTAGAGAAGGCAGGATTTCAGTGACGCGTTGTAAAGTTACCAGGGAAAATGACTACTGTGGAGAGTAACAACGTGTGTTTCTTGCCTGGACATGAGTTTGCTGCTCATCGCTTCTATCTGTGTATCCTGAGTCCCTACCCCAGCGGAGGGCACAGAGCAGCCGGAGACCCTGATGCAGAATAAACATAGGAACTGTGCTAAGTAAAACCGTTTGCTGTGCAGTGCAGCGACCCCGCCACCTGAGTGCCCTTGCACCGCGGCAGTCAGAATTAAAACTCAGGTTTCACCGACACCGCGAAGGTTCAGCGGCTTCCCGGGGCACGTCCGCTTCCAGGGGCCCCCACTCACGAACGGCTCGGCCTGAAGCGCAGGTGCAGCGGGCGGGGACAGCCGCGTCACCCCTGGCTCTTGAGACCACTCCCCCAGAGGCCAAAGCCGGCGCTCTACGTGGAGGCTGACCTTGCCCGGCTCCGGAGGTAGGCAGCCCCAGCCAGCCGCTCTCGGTCCTCCGCGATCCCATGCTCCCTTGCGCCAAGGACACGTCCGGCAGCTCCGCAGAGCCCTTCTACGCCAGCGCGGCGCCTCTCTATGATCCATTGCCGCGTTCAGAGTGGCTGTCATGGCGGCCGGCGTCGAGTTGGCAGGAGTTGCCCTCGGAACTGGGGAAAGTCACTAAAGCAGAGGAAGAAGTGGCCTATCCCGGACGCGGGGAAGTCCTGGGAATGAGCAGAGGCTTCTCGGGGTTGACAGTGGCACCGGAGGCGGGCCCCCGGTAACGTGCCAGGTCAGGCCTCTGCGTTTCTAGGCAGAGTCCGGCCGTTGATGGGAGCCCCCCGAAGCCGGCGTTGCCTAGGAACCCTTCATTGTGTTATCGAATCTGGAGTGTTTTGATTTGGACTGGTTCGGTGAAGGCTGCGGCTCGAGGACATCTGGCGGGATCGTCCGACGACGCCGGACGCTTTTCTCGGAGCGGACCAGGTCGTTCTCTAAACCGCAGCGATGTCGTCCTGGCTTGGGGGCCTCGGCTCCGGCTTGGGCCAGTCTCTGGGTCAAGTCGGAGGCAGCCTGGCTTCCCTCACTGGCCAGATTTCAAATTTTACAAAAGATATGCTGATGGAGGGCACGGAGGAAGTGGAAGGTAACAGCTGGAGCGGTGGGAGGGAGGGCTTTTATGGGACCCCGGGAGCGCCGGTTTGGTTCCCACTTCCATCCGTCTGGAGTGTCACTCCTCCTTTTTTTTCTTTCCACTTCTGTTGCCTCTTCTTAACGGATTTTCTCTGATGAAAGACACTGGAGTCCGGGGAAGAGTTCTGCCTCTTCTCCCACTGAATACTGTGGGAATCTCAGAGCAGAGTGAAACTGCTTCTACATCGAATGGTTTATTTTTGTTTGGTTCTTCCACGCCCACCGCTTACTTTGCCTTTACCTTGGGGGCGGATCTGATTTTGATCCTTTTCCTTTATACTGACACAGTTAAAAAGTATCTGTGCATGGCACATAGTCACCTTTTCCCTTCGAGTTTTGTAACAATTGAAGCAACTCATTAAAATACTTAGTGAATCGTAAGCCCTTTCTGACTTGACATATTGTTAAACATGGCTCTAAGTTTTTCCTATTAGTTACCTTGTATTTTTGCTTATTCTGGTGACACAACGTTCCAGCTGAAATGTATTTTTGTGCCTAATTGCCCATCCTACCCATTATTTCGACAATAAAACAAGGAAGATATACTACCTGTTCTTAGTAACTTTCACTCATTTTTGAAGTCCTTGTTTTACTAATGAGTAGTGACCCAGAGTTACAGAGTAATCGGTAGTTAGGTTAATATTTTGATTTCTTGATATTTCTTTCCACAAGTAGTATTTAGATCTAAAGAGTACTTTGTTTTTGTTTGTTTGTTTGTTTGTTTATTAAAGAGTACTTTAATTCCAGTGGAAGTCTGCCTCCACAGAGATGATGGGCTGGTCTTTTGGAAGAGAGCACCTCCTTGGATAACTTTATTTCTTATAAGTTAATTAGCATTATGGTTTAATTTTTTTATCCTGATGTAATTGAAACTTCCAGTTTATTGGGTTGAAGTAGAGAAAGATAGTTTGAGAAAAAGTATATTTAGAATGTTTGTCTTTTAGAAAGCAGAAGCATTGGAGAGCTGCTGAAACCCATTTTACTGCTTGGAGTATACCTTGGGTGGGAGTTGCATCAGGTGGGACATGTTGGGGGTAAGAGTGAAAGGGATTCTCCCTCCCTGTGTTCGGTAGAGGGTCGTGTGACCTTGAAATTTAGAAAGAAGATGAGCTGGATGACATGGAAATGACTAGTCTCTCCTTGTATCCTAGTTAGGGGAAAACAGTTGGCTATTCCTAGAAAATATGCATCCCCCCCACCCCCACCAACCTGACTGTCCTATAGGCTTAAGGTGGAATGCATTTGTTCTTCCTTCCAAATCTACTCCTATATTCTCATTCTTAATGGTTTCATCATCTGCCCAATCTCCTAAACTAGAAATCTTTGTCACCTTTGTTTTGCCTCTATCTTTTCCATTTCGTTTCCAGTTGGTCACCAAACCTTGTTCATCGACTATGCCAGATTTGTTTCTTATATTTGTTCCTTCCTTTTTTACCCCTGTGTTCTTTGATTCACACCCCCCTTCTCTCTCCCGTGCACATTCTCCTTCCCATCCTGTCACACGTTTCTCTGGACTCCACTCCCATTTTCTCTGTGTTGCCAATTTTCTAAAACATAGGTGCTGTAGAATCTTTTAGCTCTGTTCCTTTCAGAACATTCATTGGATGAAATCCAATCCGCTTAGTTTTGGGAGACCAGAAACCTATCCTGTCTGAGATCAACCTCCCTTTTTTAGTTTTAACCTCTTATTCCCTCCCCTTCTCTTCAAATTGCCATACATATGCATGTTCACACACATACGCGCTTGCACCCAGAGGTTTTGCCACATGGAACTTTTAGAAGTACCTACACAACTCCAAACCTCTGCTGGAAAGCCCTTCCTTTTCTACTTTCTCCTCTGTCCTTCTTTGCTTGGAAACAGTTTTTTCCTGTATGACCTTGCTCATGTGCCAGGTACTTGGTGAAACCATACTCATTCCATGGCAGGCTGAGTGGATTGCATGTGATCTTGAGGATCTCTGTGAGAGCACTTAACCATGTGGAGTTATAATTTACCTCTGTTCTTGATGCCCAAGGTGGGGACTGTGTGTGTGTGTGTGTGTGTGTGTGTGTGTGTGTATAAATATATATAAATAATTCTTATATCACCAGTATTTGGAACCTTCCATGATACATTGTAGATGCTCAGTTAAAAAAAAAATTGCTGAGTATTAAAAATCTGCAAAGTTGCTTAATGCTTTTATTATTTCCCTTTCTATTAAAATAGGACTTGTTTAACACCTAATTTATTGATTTTGCAAATCATTTAAAGGGTCAGAGTACAGTTCATGTATTCATTTAACAAGTATTTATTGGACATCTACCCTGTGCCAGCAGTGAACAAGATAACAGTTCCAACATAGCTCTGTTGGTACAGCTTGAAAGATTATCTGTCTTTGCAATAGCAGAAAGTTGCTCTTGTACCAGAAACTGTACTGATTTATTCAGGGTTAGGAACTTGGGCTTTTCAATTAGACATGGGTTGAAATCCCACTTCCATGCATTATAGATTGTGGGTCTTTGGCAAATTCTTAAATACTTAGCCTCTATAGAGCAGAGTTTCCTTATCAAATAGAGGTAGTCATACCTATCATGGGGTTGGGAGGATTAAATGAAATCATGAGGGTAAAATGCTTGGCAGATGGTAAGCATTAATAAAGAGTACCTTTTGTTTTATTTTCCCTCAGCAAGAAAGAATTTTTGGGTCTGCATAACATCTCCCCTTTATCCTTAAGAAGACCAGGTTTTTGTTTGTTTGTTTGTTTGTTTTGGAGGGAGGCAAGAGAGGAGGGCTGCATGAGTCTATTTTTATTTCTCTTTAAAACATTTCTGCTTCTAACAATGACCCTCCTAAACAGACTGGATTATAATTTGTTCTCTTCTGAGTAGCAATTAGACAGTCCTGTCAGAGTTTTAAGCAAGATGTATGAGCAACCACAGAAGCACCTGCACCTGGTGATTTTCAAAACAAGAAGAGTGGGTTTGCCACTATTCTTTATTGGATGTCACTTGTATTTCCTTTTGATTTAAACTGTAAATCAGGGAAGTTCTTTCTTTTTTCCTCCCCAACAGAGAAGTTATTTCTTTAGTATTAAAGTGCTGTGACTAATGAAAAATATGGCACCTAGAAAAAAATCTTAACTGATGATGATGTTCTGGTAGCCTCAGCAGTGCCATTTTGACGGAGCTGACCTCTGATTCTGTTTTTTGTTTTCTGTGTTTGTTTTTTTTTTTAATTTTTAATTATGATTTTTTTTTAGAAGATTTTATTTATTTATTTGACAGAGATCACAAGTAGGCAGAGAGAGAGAGAGGAGGAAGCAGGTTCTCCACTGAGCAGAGAGCCCGACGTGGGACTCGATCCCAGGACCCTGAGATCATGACCTGAGCCGAAGGCAGAGGCTTAACCACTGAGCCACCCAGGCGCCCTAATTATGATTTTTTAAGTAAACTCTGCACCCAACGTGGGGCTTGAACTCACGACCCTGAGATCAAGAGTCTCACGCTGCACCGGCTGAGCCAGCCAGGTGCCCTGTCCCTGACTCTCCATTTAAATGAAAATGTACAAAAGCAGACTGAGCTCATCCCCATTTTAAATAGATAGTGCCCATGTTACTTGACCTAAGTGTTCTTTTAGTACATTTTCTTCTTTATTCAGGGGTCATTATTATTTGATAGTATTGGGAGCAGAAGTTAGAAATAAGGCCTCAACCCCAGTTGTGTAAGTTTCATCTAAAATTAAACTAAACCCAAAGAGAGAATTAATTTGTAAAACTCAGTTTTCCATAATAAAATCTTACTGAACACTTCCAAGGGGGAAATGTAGATGTCTTACCTAGGTCCAGAAGATAGGCAAAAAGAACGATTTACATGATAATAAAGTACATACGTGGCAATAGGAAATTGTGATAAAAATCAAGTGGTTCTGTCTTCTGAGTTTGTTCTCAGATCAGCATACCATTCTGTTGAAAGCTCAGTGAAATACATGTACTTTAAAATGCCTGTTTATTCACATGGTGTTTATCATATATTCAGTGTATGCTGTTTCTTTTGTATAGCAGAATTACCTCATTCTAGAAGAAAGGAAATTGAAGCCATTCATTCAGTCTTAAGATCAGAGGTAAGGAAAATTAAAGACTGTTACTGAACTTAGATTTTTTTTCTTTTTTGAAGGCATGGCAGTAACTCTTTTTCAGCTCTCTGTTTTTACTACACTGCTTACCACTTCTGTCTCTTCCCCTTTGTCCCAGTTCTTTTTAGTGTTATCATCTTTCAGATGAAGAACATATTTACATGTTACTCCACTTTCTTGTTTCATATTCCCGTCATCTTTTACATGCTGGTAAATGGCCTGGGGTAGAAGAACTAGTGTCAGCAGTTTATCTAGGAAAATTACCATGTTCTGACAGTGTGCACAACTGCAGTAGTACATTTCTTGAAGTATAATGTGAAGAATGCAATTCTACTTAATCTAGACCCTTTTAATCTGCTAACATGAGAAAAGGTGTGGTATTTGTAAACAAAGAAGTTTAAAATATAGATCTAACTAATTTTACCATTTTCCGCCCATTGTTAGTGCCTCGTGGTAACTACCTCTGGACATTGTACTTAATGGAGATGAGGAAAACTTGGGAAGGGTTCAAAGGAAAGCCATAAAGAAAATGAAATGATTTAAAATAGGATCTATTATAAAGTACTAAAGACACTCAACTATTTAGCTTATGGGTAAGAACAGTGAGGGAACACAATATTTCATTAAAAGGTATTTTTAGAGGACTGTGGTAAGCATGTTTTCCTTTTGCTAAGTCCATAAACAGAGAAAATTGAATTGAAAATATTTACTGACAAGCAGTATTGAATTCTGGCCCAGATTACCAAGGTGGACGTAGAGGGACCTCTCAAGAGGGACTGTCTCGGTATTCTGTCTCAATTCAAGATGGCTGTTTGGTGACACTTGAGACGTTAGGTATAATTACCTAATAAGTAGATGCTTCGGTGACAGATGAACTTAATAACTTCTTTCTTTGTACGGCTGAGAAAATTGTTCCTGTAATCCCTAAAGAAATTCTTGAGAAGGCATTCATTAATTAGTACAGACCCACCCAGAAAAAGTAAATGGCAGAGGTGTGTGTAGTGGCATTAATTTAGGTAAATTCTCCAGTGTCCATTTGGGGGAAAAAAGTAAGTAGGGTGAATCTGCTTGGTGACTGACTGCTCTCTGTTGAGCTTGAGAAGGGAGAGAGAATTCTTCTGTCCCTCTGTTGATCTCACTTCTAATCTCACGGCGTTAAGGTAAGCATGATTCTAGTGTTTAGAAATATTTTTGGTATCATGCATCCCCAGATGAAAGCCACCTTTCTCATTTGATGCTTATTCACAGTATCTTGAGCTACTCATGTGCTAGAAGAAAAGGTACTGTTGGATTTCCCAAGGGCTTTGTTTTCTAAGGTGACTTTGATTCTTGCTGTGTGTTGGCACAGAAGCACTTCATACCCTCACCCTGTACATGATTATGTAATAAGGGAATAAGGTGATTAAAGCCATCAGGAAACTAAAAAATATAAAATCCTATTTAGAAAGTCTTAGATTTATTTATCTATTTTAGAGAAAGAAAGAAAGCAAGAGTGGAGGAGGGGCAGAGGGAGAAGGAGGGAGAATCTCATACAGGCTCCAAGATGTGGAGCTTGATCCCTCAACCCTGACATCATGACCTAGCCAGAACCAAGAGTTAGATGCTTAACCAACTGAGCCACCCAGGCAGCCCTATTTAGAAAGTTTTAGTATAGACAGAGGGCATTGTGTTTTCCAGAGGAGATAAGATTTATTTACAGACATTAATATTTCAAGCTGACTGAATTAGTTAGGTTTCTTCAATTTAACCTCTATGCCAAGAAAAAAAAATCTCATATACATTTACCGTCTGGATCCAGTGAACTCTTAAATTTTTTTATAGTAAATCATTTTGTAAGAAAGTTACAGAAGTAGGAATAAAGTGATAGTGAAAAACTTCTTCAGAAATTTTAGTAAGAACTTATTTATGGCAAGGCCATATTTTTATTCCATATGTTTCTGGTTTTGAAAACATATATACTCAAAATAGACAGTGTCTGAATGCAGTTAACTGCTTTTTAACTCTTATGCATGAACCAAAATGCTTGTTATTTTGTAAATACTGATTCCAGATTTCATTTACATCTCTAGTAGGTTTCAGCTGATCCTGACTTCTGGTTCTTGTGTCATTAAAACCAATATTTTTGCAAACTTTGATGGCTCATGATTTTGTTGAAGAGACGATGACTGTCATCTTTGCTCCATAATTACAGAGCTAATTTATAAATATCAATTAGATTTATAAATACCAATTAGATATATAAATGCCAGTTAGAATGATCAGTCCACTGAATTTTTTTCACTTTATGTCATTTTTTTCTTACCAGGCACCTTTGTATACACACCTGCCTACAGCATTTGTCCACCTATGGACTGTATCAAGTAAATGTTGGTGTACAAATATATACATAGTGAAAGAATACCATCACATAGCCCTTTAGCGAAGTGGGATGGTTCAGGTCCTTGTCACAAAATATTGTGAAGTAAAATCTTTTCCTATCGAATGACTAACTTGATGAGAACACCATATATTTTTTTTGTTCTTAGAAATATATTGGGGGCACCTGGGTGGCTCATTCTGTTAAGTGTCTGTCTTTGGCTTAGGTCATGATCTCAGGGTCCTGGGATCAAGCCCCGAGTCCGAGTCTGGCTCTCTGCTCAGCAGGAAGTCTGCTTCTCCCTCTGTGCTCAAGCGCAGTCTTTCTCTCTCTCAAATAAATAAAAAAATCTTGTAAAGAAAATTAGTAAAAAGAAATACATTGTTCACTCATCAATTTTGGAGTTTGAGAATATTCCTCTAGGATGCTTTTGTTTGAAGACTTGGCTGGGATTTTACCTCTACAGCCTGCTCACCACAACCATCAGACTCCAGAATGCTGTTTTCTGTCTCTTCATATTTGTCTTCTGGGTTGTGTTAATAACTGAAGTGTTTTCCTCTGTCCATTTTCTTTTCTTTGTGGAAACAAAAGTTCTGAATTTTCAGATGTGTTCAATAAAAGTGAAAAACAACAAAACCAAAAAGACACTACAAAGTGGGTGTCTCTAGCTTTTTCCTTTCTGAAAGGTGTTACAGTACTTTGGGCACTGCAGTCTGAAAACTTGGTTTCAGTCTTGCATCATTCTTCTGAGTGAGTCTGTCAGTCTTCTGTTTTCTTAATATATACGACTTTTTTTTTTTTTTAAGATTTTATTTATTTATTTGACAGAGATCACAAGTAGGCAGAGAGGCAGGCAGAGAGAGAGGAAGGGAAGAAGGCTCCCCGCTGAGCAGAGAGCCTGATGCAGGGCTGGATCCCAGGACCCTGGGATCGTGACCTGAGCCAAAGGCAGAAGCTTTAACCCACTGAGCCACCCAGGTGCCCCTATATAAGACTTTTTTTTTTTAGCCTACTTGAGAATAATTGGTGAATAATGATAAAATATATAATTTTTAGAATGACAAAATATCAAAATGTTTCAAAGACAGAAGAACAAGGTCATTATAATCTCGTGAAAATTCTTAGATTTTTAAAGGGTTCAACGTCCCTTTATGGTAATTGCACGATAGAATAAGTTACATATATACTTTTAAGTAATATACATATTACTTAAATTACTTAAAGTTACTTAAAAATAAAATCATGATTTTATTTTTAAGTAATCTCTACTCCCAATGGGGGGCTTAAACTCACAACCTCGAGATCAAGAATTGCACGCTCCACCAACTGGGCCAGCCAGGAGCTCTGAGTTTTATTTTTATTTAAAAAAATAAGTACTTTTACAGAGTGCCTGGGTGGCTCAGTGGGTTAACTGTCTGTCTGCCTTTGACTCAGGTCACCATCCCAAGGTTCTGGGATTGAGCTCCATGTCAGGCTCCCTGCTCACCAGAGAGTTTGCTTCTCCCCTTTCCCGTTCTCCCTGCTTGTGCTCTCTCACCCGCTCTCTCTTTCTCTGTCAAATAAATAAATTCTTTAAAAAAATTTTATTTTTCTCCATTAGAGGACATCTAAGAAAGAATAAAAGTCTTAAATATCTGTCCTTACAGATAGTTAGGACTGCTCAAAAAGAAACTCAGAAAGTAATGTTGGTTCTAGTAGACCATGATGGTATAACAGTGTTGAGCAGGATGGAATAATTTTTTTTTTTAAGATTTTATTTATTTGGGGTGCCTGGGTGGCTCAGTGGATTAAAGCCTCTGCCTTCGGCTCAGGTCATGATCCCAGGGTCCTGGGATCGAGCCTGCATCGGGCTCTCTGCTCAGCGGGGAGCCTGCTTCCTCTTCTCTCTGCCTGCCTCTCTGCCTACTTATGATCTCTGTCTGTCAAATAAATAAATAAAATCTTTAAAAAAAATGATTTTATTTATTTATTTGACAGAGAGGCAGCAAGAGAGGAAACCCAAGCAGAGGGAGCAGGAGAGGGAGAAGTACGCTTCCTGCTGAGCGGGGAGCCTGATGCGCGGGGCTCCCAGGACCCTGGGATCATGACCTGAGCCAAAGGCAGATGCTTAACAGTTGAGCCACCCAGGTGCCCCCCAGGATGGAATAATTTAAGAATATGAGAATCTCATGGATTTCAAGGGCAGAAATCGTAACCAGATTTTAGAAAGGGGATGCAAGCAGAACTTCAGACCACCAGGGATTTGTCTCTCTCATTTTTACCCCTCTCTGTTCTTGTTGTGTGTCTATTCGTTTTCCTTTCACCTCCTGGTTCCATATTCCATGTAATAAGAAATCTGGGGGCGCTTGGTTGGCTCAGTGGGTTAAAGCCTCTGCCTTCGGCTCAGGTCATGACCCCAGGGTCCTGGGATTGAGCCCCGCATCGGGCTCTCTGCTTGGTGGGGAGCCTGCTTCCCCTCTCTCTCTGCCTGCCTTTCTGCCTCCTTGTGATCTCTGTCAAATAAATAAAATCTTAAAAAAAAAAAAAGAAAGAAATCTGGCCACTGACATGTAATGTTATATAGATCAGCCACATGAAGAGAATCTGTTCTTCATGTACTTTGTCAACCTTTGTGACTCACATGGCTAGGGACATGAGGGCAGACAAGCAATTAGATATTGGCCAAATAGGAAGTTTTCAAGTTCTAGTTATTCACCAGAGTTCAACAAATAGCCTTAGTTAGTTTTATCTGAAAAAGTCTCGAGTGGACTTTTCTGACTGGGTTTTGACTTCACTATATCATGTTGCTTCAGTTGTGTTGGTGCTTTTCATGTTAAAAGTTCACAGAAAGTCACACAAAATCCACCAGTAGAATAGAAGGTAATTAGTTGTGTGGGCCTCTGTCTTATTTCTATTTCTTCAAGATAACCAGAGTCTGCATTAGATTTCTGGAGACAGACCCCCAGACTAGGGTTTATGTTTGTTCCTTTGATTTTTTTCTGCATACTTATGTAATCTCCCTGGATCATACTTTCACATCTGTTGTTGTAAGAAATTCCTAGACTCTAAGAAAGTGAAAAAGTCTTCATCTTCTAGCAGGAACTTTTTCCCCCACCACAGCTATCACCTTTCTCTCAGTTTTCATTGTTAAACTATGTTTGTAGATATATTAGTAGAATTCTTAGTAAGTTATCTGTGACAATTTGTAAATTCTTTTGCAAAAAGCTTTAGTGCCCATTTATCTTGCTCCATGTCCTTATTCATTAAGGTAATTTAATGTTTGAGTACATAGAATTTAAGTAAATTTTTAAAAGATTTATTTATTTGAGAGAGAGAGTGCGTGTACGTACTAGCATGGGAGGGGTACAGAGGGAGAGAATATTTCAAGCAGACTCCCCACTGAGCAGGGACCTCAACACAGGCCTCCATCCCATGACCCACGAGATCATGACTTGAGTTAAAACCAAGTCAGATAATTAACTGAGCCACTCAGGTGCCCCAAAATTTAAGTAATTTTTAAAACATATTTTCTAAAATCTTAGAACAAAAGACTATGATATCTTGATTCATTGAGTTAGAATATTTTGTGTACTTGTAACTAGTTTTTGAACTGAACTCTAGTACGGTTTTCAAATTGGAATTTTCAGAGGCACCTCAGAAGCCTGACAGGTAGGTAGTATGAAGGTATGATAGGTAATATGAAGCTTTGGCCTCCTACTTATACTTCCATCAAGAAGTATTTTTTAAAAAGATTTCTTTTAAAAAGTTATGTTTGGGAAGAAAACAAAAGTTGAAATGTGTAATCTAGTTTATTCATTAACCAGACATGGATTGCCTGTTATATGCTAGACCCTGGACACACAGAGATGGGGGAAATATAGATCATTGGATAAGATTTACTTTTTTTTTTTTTAACTCTGGTTCAGAATTTTACATAATCTCTATAAACGTGCTTATTGCACTTGTAGCTTTAATTAAAACTATTTCAAAGGTCAGAATTCTGAGAACTTCTGTATTTTATACCTTTTTCTGTATAAAGTGATACGGTTTTCATGGTGCCATGCACATAACTGTTACTGACATGTTTTACTTTTAGTCTTTTTGTTGAAAATACTTTTTTCTTTGTTTCTAGAATGAGAGACTCAAAAAACTTTGTACTGATTTAGAAGAGAAGCATGAAGCGTCAGAGCTTCAAATAAAGCAGCAATCTACAAGTTATCGAAATCAACTACAACAGAAGGAGGTAAAAGTTACTAAAGTTACTTCATATTTATTTCCTTGTAATGTTTTTAGGAAGGTTTTTAAGAGTTATAAATCAGGCTATCATTATTTTATCAGGCTATACCATTATTTTAAGAATTTTAAGCTTTTCTGTTAAATTTGTATTTTATAAGCTAACCTTTACTTCCTACTTTCCAAAAGAGGAAACCCCTTTCAATAAAGTATCTTCAGGCATCTGTTGTTTGTAATTTCTGATTTTATGAAACCTAATTTTTCCTCTGTTCACTTAAAATTGTGAATCAGTGTGATAATTGTTAATGGCATTTCGTTTTTAAAAATGATTTTGACTACCAGTGTTCATATAATTGAGTTGGCATTTATTTGACTTTCCATGAAAAAACAGTATTAAGTATATTAAGTTGAATTACATCGTTCTATAAATATTTTTTCCCTTTAGTTTATTAGAAACGTTTATTTTTGAATTGGCTTTTTTCTTTGCCATGCTGATAATAGATATTATATACTTTAAACAGCATTATAATGAATTCTTAAAATATAGACGATGTCTCCATGTTTCATTTTGTTGTTGAAATATCTTCAGTGTTTAGTACATAAATGGAATTTAGTTCTTCTTTTGAATTGAGCTATTTCTTGTTTTGTTAATCATTGGGGTTTTCTTTAGTTGATTAAATATTTGTTTCTATCATAATTTCATATATGAGGTTTTTTAAAAGGTTTATTTTATCACTTCTTGGCCTTTTGTCTAAGATCAAGTGTAAGATTTACTTATTTTTGAGAGAGAGAGCATGTGTGAGAGGGGGAGGGGCAGATGGAGAGAGAATCTCAAGCAGACTCTGCACTGAGCATGGAGCCTGACACCATTCTCAGACTCATGACCTTGAAATCGTGACCTGAACCGAGACCAGGAGTCAGATGCTCAATCAGCTGAGCCACCCAGGCATCCCCATATTTGAGGTTTTAAAATTTAGATGTATTGAGTTTTAGTTCTTTCAGTAACATACTGAGATGGAAAGTAAAAGCAAGCTGCATTACAGGTAAACATTTAAAGAAGAGCTTAAATTTCCAATCTGTTGGGAATTGATTTCATGAAATATTATAAAAATAAATGACTACAAAAATAAAATGAGTCTAAAAAAGGAAAATTACAAGTTCTAGTTAAAGCTAAAAGCCCACTTTTAAGAAAGATTTAACAGATTATAAAATTGCTCTGTCAAATTGTTTTAAAAGACTTTAAGCCTTATTTTTGAAACTTATGTACGTATCACAGATTGGTAGTAAATATTCATGCCTTTAGTCCACAGACCACACTTTGATCAGCACTGACTTATAAATATTACAGTAGTGTAGTAGTTCTCACCCAGGGGTTTACAGCTGAATCATCCATGATACTTTAAATTATGCCCTCCAGGACATTATGATTTTGGTTTACTGTGAAGGGGCCCTGGTATTGGTATTTTTCAGAAACTCCATAGGTGACTCTGATGCTTACATTCTAATTGGAAACACTACTGTGGAAAATCTGTAATTTTATTTTCTACTTAACTATTGCTATTAGAGGGCAAATAAAGCATTTTAGTTTAGAAATGCTTTTCTTTGTTACTAATTTGCATTTTTTAACTCAATAACTTGGTATTAATACCAGTTTTAAAATGAGAAATTTCTTTATATTAAAATTACTCTTGGGGGCACCTGGGTGGCTCAGTTGGTTAAGTGACTGGGTTCAGCTCAGGTCATGATCCTAGAGTGCCAGGACTGAGTCCACATCAGGCTCCCTGCCCAGCAGGAAGTCTGCTTCTCCCTCTGACCCTCCCCCCTCTCATGCTCTGTCTTTCTCTCTCTCAAATAAATAAATACAATCTTTAAAAGAAAAAAAGTTACACTTGAAAATAATTTTGTTTTTCAAAATTTCAGTATTTTTTACTAGAATGAAAGATAATATATGAATATACTTAAGATCTACAGTTTTCTGCCCTCATTATGATGCTCATATTCCAGAGATGGAATTTACGTCATGTCATTTATGGGCAAATGAATGAAATGTGTATGCTACCCATACATTTTAGAGAAGGGGCTCTGGTACAAGAAACCTGTTATGACACTTGACGTAATTGTATTTGGTTTTTATTTGTCTAATTGCTTGGTTGTACATGTGTAGAAATACTGTTACTGGTCAGCTAACTCCCAGTATCATATTCCCCGTTGTGGCAGGGTGTCTTCTGAGGTAGGTATTTTACAGAAAGCTTATCTCAATTCTCCTTAGCTTACTCACTTTTGTATTTTGAATAATCTCTCACTGAGTAATGATATGGTGTTGTGGTAAGTCCATATATTTGTAATTTCTTTTGACAATGAGTTGGTATTGCCAGTCCTTAGTTAAAACTCCACTAAAGGTTTCAGAATTTTTATATTATTCTTTCCCTGAGTAAGTCAAATTTTCACTGGTTCCTTTTTGCCAAGGCTAAAGCCAGGGCCTTTTTCATTGTGTGATTTCTTTCTAAGACTCAAAGGCTAATAATAACTTTTATCTAAGAATGGATTAATAAAGCATTCTTCCAGCTTTTGAACAGACCAGCACAAAGCTACTACTGATTCATGGTGCATTTTAAGCCTAAATTCCGCCATAATCGGTAACATCAGACTACTCCAACAGATGCTCCAAAGAAACTTGCTCATACACAGACTGCTACAGCTTTCACTTTCCCATCACTTATGGTTTGATAATACAGATAGAACCCATGAGAATTGTCTGTACTGCTGGATACACAGAAGATAGTAAACCCATGTTCAAATGAGAATTTCGTTGCTCCAGTTAACACACGAGTGAGATATTCTGATCTTTTTACTATTTGAAACATTATCTGTATTTTAACTGGTAAATCACTTTTGGTTTTTAAATAAAGGTTTTCTGGTTGGGGTGTTATAGAAGACTTGGATGCAGCTGAAGGAGTTACCATCATTGGATAATCTTAAATTAATACAACTTTTAACATTATGGGTCTATAAAGATGTCAGTATGGTTATTTTAAAGTACCTTCTCTAAAATACAGATTATAAATGTGTAGGTAGAAATCAGCCATCTTAAAGCAAGACAGATTGCGCTGCAGGATCAGCTGCTGAAGCTGCAGTCCGCTGCTCAGTGCACACAGTCCGCTGGCGGAGGACCGGCAGCCCCTGCGTCCTCTGCGTTCGGCTACCGTGTCAGCCAGCATGCTTCGGGTTTCCACGATGACGACATGGACTTTGGTGACATAATTTCATCACAACAAGAAATAAATAGATTGTCAAACCAAGTTTCAAGACTTGAGTCTGAAGTTGGTCATTGGAGGCATATTGCTCAGGTAGGTAAAATTATCATGAGTCTTTGGAAACTGTTACTGAGGAAAAATAGTGGTTTTATACGTAGAGCTTTTAGTATCAGAAAGAACCTTGGACTAGGAAATTGAATACTTGTGTTCTAATTCTGCCAGTGATTTTCTGAGTGATTTTGGTCAGGTCATTTTTTTCTCAGCCTCCATTTCCCCCTCTATGAAATATTTGGAAGAAATTTTCAAAAAAATTGAAAGCTGAGGTGCCTGAATGGCTCAGTCAGTTAAGCATCCACCTTTGGATCAGGTCATGATCCTGGGATCGAGTCCTACATCAGGCTCCCTGCTCAGCGGGGAGCCTGCTTCTCCCTCTCCCTCTGCCTGCCACTCCCCCTGCTTGTACTCTCAGTCTGCCAAATAAAGAAATAAAATCTTAAAAAAAAAATTTTTTTTTTTTTTGAGAGCAACAGAACCATGTCTTAAAATAGTTACAAGTCCAGTACTTACAAGACAGAAAAATGGAGTTGCTGTGGTTGAACCAGTGTCTTCCCCTAGAGTCCCTGAGGCTTCTTAGATGGCAAGTCCAGCACTCTAAGACCCCGGGTTTGAAACTACTTGTGTAGATGTTCTCTGAGGTTCCTCTTATCAGTTACGTGTAAAATGGAAATCTGATCATTGGCGTAAAATACATTAAAAGAACCTTTGTGTTGTTTTTTGTACATTAGAAATTAAATCCTTGCTATTTGAGGCATAAACTTTGAAGGAACACTTTTCACCTTACATATCGGATCGTATGTGCTATTGACATCACTCGACATGAGACCCAAAGGAAACTGGAACATTGTACATTTGGATTTCATTTCATCAGTGTAGAGAAAATGTATATAAGTAAAGAAATTATTTTCTTTTTGTGAGTGTGATCTAGTTATATAAAGGAGAAATCATACCAATTAAAATTACCTTTTTGCTTCCCAAGTTGCTAGACATTCCCAATATCCAAAATAAATCTTAGAATGATCAGTTTGTCCATCTTATCTCTAAAAATGTAGTAGTTCTTAAAGTACCATAGAATTGTAGATTCTCTGTCCAGCCTTTAGAGATGAGGATTTCATAGCCTATTTTAGAGCCTTGGGAATTGTATTCAAACAAGTAAATTCCTCAGGTGATTCTGATACACATTTTAGGAAACATTGCCTAGGATAAGATTTAGTAGGGAAGAGGTGTGTTTTTGGTATGTATATTTAAGCATATCTTGAATATTTACTGTATTATATAGATCGTAGTAGGATATAAAGGTGGAAAAGGCATAATTGGGATCTTTCAGGGGACTCAAGTCTTTAGCAAGCCATACTAAACCTTATTTGTATTGTATTTTACAAATGTTTCAATAGGTGCTATCCTCATATATATTAATCTTCATAACCGTGTGAGGTATTTATTATCTCTGTTTTACAGATAAGCAAAGTAGAAGTTTAATATACTTACTGTCACCCTAATTAAGTTGTAATTTAAACAGGCATCTTTTGACTTCAAATCCCGTGTTTCTGGTGGACTATGTTCCTTTTTTATCCAGACAGTAGCTTTTGGTTCCTTAACACACTATATAGTAAATAAGTTAATAAAGATAAATCGACTAAAAAATAAAAAATAAATGGAGAACATTTGGCTTTGAATGTGAAGAGAAGAATCCAAAAGTTCTTTGAATTGTCAGACCAAAGGGTGCTTTGAATTGAGGTAGGGATCCTCTGGATAAAATCATTTAAAAAAGATTTTAACTGGGTTTTTAGGAGAATTAATGTGGTTGGGTAATTTTTTGGAGGTTTAGAAATTTTTTTAGAATTTTAGAATTTTTAAATTTAGAATTTTAGAAATTTTGTTTTAGGAAGCTGCTTGTTTATCATCAAATTTACATTTTGTTAAGCTAAGTAAAGTATTCTCTGGTGTTTTTCTTAACATTGGTTATTTTGTGAAGGTGTCCCCCTAGTTAGATAACAAACTCTTAAAAATTATGTTTTGTTTCCTTTTTTTTTTTTTAGAAGGAGAGCGTTGGGGGAGGGGCAGGGGGAGAGTGAGAATATCAAGCAGGCTTCATGTTCAAAGGGGAGCCTGATTTAGGGCTCAGTCTCACAACCCTGAGATCATGTGTGACTTGAGCCGAAATCAACAGTCGGATGCTTAATTGACTGAGCCTGGACACCCTTTGAAAATTATCTTTTATTTGTTATGTATTACTCACAATTGGACTGGGTTCTTTAAAAGGTGCTTGGTATTCTTAATCAGGATTTGCCTGGGAAATGCTCCTTTAAAAAAAATTATATATATATATGTATATATGTGTATACATATATATATATGATTTTACTTATTTATGAGAGAGAGAGAGAGAGAGAATGAACAGGGTGAGAGAGAAGCGGACTCCCAGTTGAGCAGGAAGCCCGACACAGGGCTCCGTCCCAGGACCCTGGGATCATGACCTGACCTGAAGGCAGTTGCTTAACTGACTGAGCCACCTAGGCACTCCTGAAAAATATTTTTTAGTAAAATTATTTTGTAACTTTCTCTTTTATAAGAAAGCCAGTACAATTTTCTGTTTGTTTTTCTGATCTAGACTTCTAAAGCACAAGGATCAAACAACTCTGATCAAAACGAAATCTGCAAACTGCAAAATATCATTAAGGTAAGGAGGTTGTTGGAACAATGCCTTTTTTAAAGATTTAATTAATTTATTTATTTGAGTGAGAGCAAGAGAGAGAGAGAAGGAGCGGGGTGGTGGGGGAAGAGGGAGGGAGAAGCAGATGCCCTGCTGAGCAGGGAGCCCAATTTGGGGCTTGATTCAGGACCCTGGGATCAGGACTTGCGCCGAAGCCACCCACGTGCCTGCAACAATGGCTATTACACATCTAAAATTTGCTTATTAAAAGTAAAAGTAAAATTTACTTATTAAAAGTCTGGGGTGCCTGGATGGCTTAATCAGTTAAGCGTCTGCCTTCTGCTTGGGTCATGATCTTGGCGTCCTTGGATCCAGCCCTGCGTGGGGCTCCCTGCTTAGCAGGGAGTCTACTTTTCCCTCTCCCTCTGCCTACCACCCCTTCTGCTTGTGCTCACTCTAATAAATGAATAAAAATCTCTTAAAAAAAAGTATAAGTCTAAAGAAGGCTCAGTTATAAAGCTAATTATATAGATTATGATCGTTTGTTTTTACCATTTTGTGTTTTCATACTTTACGACAGCAAGGTATATAAAAATGTCTCTTCCAAAATCATTTAGTTTTGAACACTTGTTTTTTTTAAGTAGTTTATATTTCATTAGTGTCTACTTGCTATTGCATCTTGTAAAATTGTCTTTTTTTTTTTTTTTAAGATTTTGTTCATCAGAGAGTGAGTGGGAGGGAGAGCGAGATAATCTGAAGGAGACTCTGCGCTGAGCACAGAGCCTGATGCAGTGTTTGATCCCATGACCGTAAGGTCATGACCTGAGCTGAAATCAAGAGTCATATGATTAACCAAATGAGCCACCAAGGCTCCCCAAAATGATTTTTATTAAACATTTCCGAGGTTGCTTAAGTTTCAGGTTTTAGGGTTAAAGGATATTGACAAAATAAAATGTTAATACTGTTCATTGTAAATAATTTTCCCATAATGGTGGAATTTTGCTACTTTGTCTCAGTTACTATTTCTTTTAAGAAAAGTGTTAGTTACATACTTTTATCATATGGCAGTGAATTGTTTTTAGTGTATAAATTATTGGTATCTGGGTGGCTCAGTCTAAGTGTCTTCCTTCAGCTCAGGTCATGATCCCAGGGTCCCGGATTGAGCCCCATGTTGGGATTCCTGTTCAGTGGAGAATCTGCTTCTCCTGCTCTCTTTGCTCCTCCCCCCACACACCCTGCTTGTACTCTTCTTGCATGCATGTTCTCTCACTCTCTAAAATCTTTAAAATAAAAAAAAAAATTATTGTCAGGTATAGAATTTTTTGGTTTTGGTTTTACTATTATAATAATACTAATATGGGTATGCTCCCAAACTGTAAAGACTTGTGTTTGAATCCTGACTCTCCTGTTTACCATCTGTTATACTTTGAGCAAGTTACTTAATCTTTCCAGGCTTCCATTTTACCATCAGGGTAGTAGATTTCATAATACCTTCGTTGTAGGGTCGTTTTAAGGTTTAAATGTGAAGCTGCTTGCCAAGTGCTGGCACATAAATAAGTGCACAGGATTGAAGAGTAAATTTACTGGTCTTCTCAGGAAGTAGAAGCTAATTTATTGATTAGGATTCTTGGTTACAAGCAACAAAACCCGTCTCTGGCAAAGGAAAGCAAAAGAGGTTTTACTGGAAGGACCCAGGGTAGTCTGTTCCCAGGATTAAAAGACGAATTGAGCATTCTGGTCTTGGGCAGGACAGGAATGGGAATAGCATCAGGATCTAGATAGTGGGACACAGTGGACAGACTTTTCTGGGTGCAGCTATCACAATGCTTGTGGTCCTAACAATTTCCCTTTTTGAAGGACTAAGCTCAAGATCCACATTCCTAGGAGAGAGACTGGTGGTCTCAACTTGGGTAGCAAGATATTTTTACTCATCTTCTGTTTCATTTTTTTTTTTTCTTGCTGGCATTCCGTCATTAAATAGAAAAACTGTTCTTAAGGCCCAAGAAAGAAAGGGGACCCGGGTGGCTCAGTTGGTTAAGTGTCTGCCTTTGGCTCAGGTCATGATCTCAGGGTCCTTGGATTGAGCCACATGTCTGGCTCCCTGCTGGGGAGTCTGCTTCTTCCTTTCTCTCTGCCTTTCCCTTCCTGCTCATGCTCACTCTCTCTCTTGAATAAATAAATAAAATCTTTAAAAAAAAAAAGACTCAGGAAAGGGTAGAATTTTTCGGGAGTTGTCCAGATTTGGGGTCTTTATTTAAAATCTTAGCGTGTTCAGAGAATTACTTTTAATACAGGCTTTTGCACAACAATGAAATGGCTTAGGTATATTGTTGACTATAAATGTAGTTTACTTTGCTTTTATTTTTTTAAGGAACTCAAACAGACTCGAAGTCAGGAAATTGATGACCATCAACATGAAATGTCAGTTTTGCAGAACGCACATCAGCAGAAATTGACAGAAATAAGTCGTCGTCATCGAGAAGAATTAAGTGACTATGAAGAACGAATTGAAGAACTGGAAAACCTGTTACAACAAGGTTGTTCATTGTTTTTGTATTTTTAAGATTTTATTTATTTATTTGAGAGATCGAGAGAACATGAATAGAGGGAAGGGCAGAGGAAGAAGCTGGCTCCGCACTGAGCAGAAAGCCCAATTCGGTGCTCGATCCCAGGAACCTAAGATCATGACCCAAGTCAAAGGCAGCTGCTTGATCAGTTGAGCCACCCAGGCGCCCAAAGATTGTTAGTTTTATTAACTTAATGGATTAGGTGACATAATTAGATGACAAGCCTAGTACTGTAAAACCAACACACTGGTGTAAACTTGGACTACATTCTAAAGAATGAATGAATGACTAGTTCTGTTCATCTGCCTGAAATTTGCAGTGGCATCACTGTTGCAAGATTATGCAGAAATGGAAAGGTCCTTTTGCTTTTTTGGCGAATAGTTACATGGATTTCTTTGCATTGTTTGGTGATGATAGTTTGTTAATAAATGATTAGAAATATTTTTCCTTTCTTTAAAACTCCTATAAATAGGTGTTTTAGTGGTTGATTCAAATAGTTTTCCTCAACTATTTATTTAAAAATGCTTTATTATGGGGGTGCCTGGCTGGCTCAGGAAGTAGAATGTATAACTCTTGATCTTGGGGTCATGAGTTTGAGCCCCACATTGAGGGTAGAGATTACCTAAAACATTTTTATTCAAATTTTTATTTTGGTAATTTAACTTTTTGTGTATTTATTTTTATTTTTTATTTTATTTTTTAAAAAGATTTTATTTATTTGACACAGAGGGAGATCAATAAGTAGGCAGAGAACCAGGCAGAGAGAGAGGGGGAAGCAGGCTCCCCACTGAGCAGAGAGCTCCATGCAGGGCTCAATGCCAGGACCCTGAGACCATGGACTGAACCGAAGGCAGAGGCTTAACCACTGAGCCACCCATAATTTAACTTCTTAAAAGACTTTCTTTTCATAACAAAATTGAGAAGGAAGTACAGAGATTTCCCATATACCCATGCCCTGATATGGGTACATCATCAGAATGGTACATTTTTTTACCAAGATGAACCTGCATTGACAGATCATGATCCCTCAGCATGTGTGTTTTACCTTAGGGTTCACTCTTGGTGTGTACATTCTCTGGGTTGGACAGATATATGACACATATTCATCATTATAATATACAGAGTTGTTTCAGTGCTCTTAAAATCCTCTATGCTCTGCCTCCTCACTTCCCACCCACCCTCCCCCACAGTCTTTGTATTGTGTCTATTGTTTTGCCTTTTCCAGAATGTCACATAGTTGGAATCACACAGTATGTAGTCTTTTCGTATTGATTTCTTTCACTTAGTAATTTGCATTCGAGTTTTCTCCATGTTTTTTTCATTGCTTGACACCTCAATTCTTTTTTTTTAAAGTTTTTTTTTTTTTTTTTTTAAGATTTTATGTATTTATTTGACAGAGATCACAAGTAGGCAGAGAGGCAGGCAGAAAGAGAGAGAGGAGGAAGCAGGCTCCCCGCTGAGCAGATGCAGGGCTTGATTCCAGGACCCTGAGATCATGACCTGAGCTGAAGGCAGAGGCTTTAACCCAGTGGGCCACCCAGGCGCCCCTACACCTCAATTCTTTTTAATGCTGAATAGTTTTCCATTGCCTGGATGTACCGGAGTTTATCCATTCACCCACTGAAGGACATCTCTCCCAAGTTTTGGCAGTTATGAATAAAGCTGCTATAAATATCATTGTTTAGGTTTTTATGTGGATTAGAGTTTTTAGTTCCTTTGAATAAATACCAGCAAGTGCAATTGCTGATCATATCATAAGGGTGTGTTTTGTTAGAGACTGCTGAACTGTCTTCCAAAAGTCTTGCATTTTGCCGGGAATGAATGAGAATTCGTTCTGCTTCACATGTTCACCAGCGTTCGGTGTTGTGAGTGTTCTGAATCTTGGCCCTTTTGATAGGAGTGTAATGATATCTCATTGTTGTCTTAACTTTTTAAGTTTTTTCAAGTTCCCAAGTCTGTTAAATCTCCTAGTTGTGTATAGAAAGCTACTTATCTCTCAGTAATTGACACTGGCTGTGCTTAATTTTCTGTTTATGTTCTAGATGGCTCAGGAATTGTAATAACTGATCACTCAAAAATCCATGAAATGCAAAAAACCGTACAGGATCTACAAAATGAAAAAGTAGCATCTATTAAAAAAATTGAAGAGCTTGAGGATAAAATTAAAGACATAAATGACAAATTATCTTCTGCAGAAAATGACAGAGATATTTTGAGGAAAGAACAAAAACGCCTAAATGTTGAAAACAGACAAATAACAGAAGAATGTGAAAGCTTAAAACTGAAATGTAGTAAATTGCAGCCTGATGCTGTGAAGCAAAGTGATACCGTGACAGAAAAAGAAAAAATCCTTCCACAGAGTCCATCGGTGGAAGAGGAAGTGCTCAAACTGCAGCAAGCGCTGTCTGGTATAAAATGTTTGGAACTTATCTATGATTGGTGTTTATTGCATACTAGTTTTTATTTGTTTGACAGAAATTACAAGTAAGCAGAGAGGCAGGCAGAGAGAGAGGGGGAAGAAGGCTCCCTTCTGAGCAGAGAGTCCAATGCGGGGCTCGATCCCAGGACCCTGAGACCATGACCTGAGCCAAAGGCAGAGGCTCAACCCACTGAGCCACCCAGGCACCCCTGCATCCTAATTTTTAAAGACAAACTGAGTACTTTATGGAAATGGAGTATTCATGCAAATTGGCTGTAGAAGTTGAGTTGAATTGTTTGGTTTTGGATTTAGTGCCATAATTAATGGATCACAAATGGAAAGTTTCTACTAAAAGGCTTGGTTGTTGACTGGATGTCTCTCAACCTCCCTTTCTCATCCTTTAAGTAGTTACATGGAACTCATTGATGTCAGAAGCCATGTAGATTTCTGAGAAGTATATATGTAGCTATTTACTGGGAGGAGGTATGGGCCTATTTCTGTTAGTCTGCATAGAACCAGATACTTTGTGGAACTCTAAAGTTCCAGGCCCTCCAATTAGGGAATGCAATCTTCCTTGTTCAGAATTCTTTATTTTTGAAATGATGTCCTCTATCTAAGCAGACATGAGAATGATAAGAGCCATCAGTCCTTCACCGTTTTCCATGCTCAAGATGATATTTAGTTACATGTGTTCTGTAAGAAAAAGTAAGTTAGTAAACGAAATATGCCAAATACCGGTGTTCGTTCATGCCAGGAAAACATAATGGGAGCTTTTTACTGTGAAGATATATTTTATTTTGCACTTTTGTCTTCTCACAATACAAACTCTCACTTTATGAACTGGTTCATTGCTCCTCTGGAGGTTTCTAGCCCTTGTGTGCTGTTCTCCACCCCCTCCCCCAACCCCCCTTGGCTAGGTCTTTATCGTGAGCTTCTGACCCAGATGGCCAACTCTATAAACTTCAATTAGAGTTAGGTTTGAAGTCACCATGTCCTCCTCCTCCTCTTCCTCTTCCTACCTTGGTGATTTACCAGTCTGCCCAAACAGAAAATTCGAAGTCATCACCTAGTGTATCCTGTAGGTTCTATTTCCTTAGCTTCTCTGATTCAGTAATATTTCAGGATTGTACCCCTGTTTCTTAGAAGGGCCTCAGTCGGGAGCTGCCATGAAGGCAAAGAGAAAGTTGTCACTAGGGTTCTAGACTTCTCTCTCATTTGACTTCCAAGTAGCTCTGCTCCTTTCAAAATACGTATTGGATGACTCGTGGGTTTATTTGCTTTAAAAACACCTGCTGTCCTAGTCCTTCCTCTTTTTCTCATTTCCATTGCCACTGAATAACTTCAGCCAGTCATAATTTCTTTTGCCTGGTTATCTATAGCTGTTTCGTTTTGTTTCTTTCCTTTCCTTTCTTTCTTTTTTTTTTTTTAAGACTTTATTTATTTATTTATTTATTCGTTAGAGAACATAAGCAGGGGGAGCAGCAGGCAGGAGAAGTAGACTCCCTGCTGAGCAAGGAGCCCTGTGCAGGACTCATCTCTGAACCCTGGGATCATGACTTGAGCCAGGGGCAGACCCTTAACCCACTGAGCCACCCAGGCGTCTTGTCTATAGCCATTTCTTAATGTAGGGAAATAGCTGAGTGGTTAAGAATATGACTGAATTGGAATCCAGCTCCATCATTATTAGCTGATCTTGGACAAGTTAACATCTCTGTGCTTTGGTTTTTCCATCCCTATGGTTAGGATCATACTCCTATCTTCTTCATAGTTGCAGTAGTAGTAATGGGGAGTCTATGAGTTACTAGATCCAGAGTTCTCTTTAGAACAGGGGCTATCCCATTTTAAGTATTATAAAAGTATTTGCTGTTATTATTCTCTGGTTTCCATGATTCCTTCAATTTTTTTTTTTTTCTATCTGTCCAGAAAGGGTTTTTCAGAAACACGCATCAGGTTTAACTCCCCTGATCATAGTACTTTGTGGCTCCCTCTGAACTTCAGGATAAAGTCTTTCACGGTCTGGTCTGTTTCCCTCTTTAGTTTCACCTCACATGCTAAGCATTAGCCATACTGAACTTTGTACCTAGCTCCTAGAATCAGTGACTTTGTCTATTAGCTCTGTTGTCTTTACACTTGCTGCTCTGTTTGTGTGGAGGGTGTCTGTTTCTCTCTGCTGAGTCTTAAGTATATTATGATTCATTGAGGTATTGTGTCTGCGGAGAGGTACCTCTGCTGCTGCTTTCCTGGCCTGCCTTAGCCCCCATCCCCCCAGTCTGGAGTAGGTGTTGGCCCTTTCTGCTCTAGTAGCACCTTGTGCTCCCTGTATCCTACTGTCCAGGAGTCATGTGTTTCCTTTCTCTCTGAATTGAAAGCTGCTTGAGAGCAAGCAGGGACTAAATGTTTTCATCTTGTTGTCTAGCAACTAACTGATTTCATAGAAAATGCTTAGTGTTATCTGAATGAAAGTTGAATGAATTACTTCAGCTGAACTAATGGTATTCTGTCTTTGTATTCTTCTAGAACCACTTCTATATATGGATCTATCTGTAATACCAGCTTGAATGGTCTTTTTTTTCTCTTGTTATATCTAAGTCACTTTAGAGAATTGAGAGATTATTATATCATTACAAGAATAAAAAATATACATTTTTGTTCCATTTCCCCCACTCTCAGTCCTTTTACTATTTCCTGCTACGCAAACTAATCAGCTTATTTTGAAACATTGTTATTAATGTTTTTATCAAAGCAATAACTTCAGAGTCATCCAGAATACGATTATAATTCTTTCTTCTGTTCCATAGGACTGCATTTTAATGGAGCATCTAACTGGCATTTATGTTATGATTTCTTTGATATGTCAAATAGAAGTATAAAACAACAAGCCATTTGAGCTTGCCGATTGTGCTTATAAATATACTTTAAGATTTTATTTATTTATTTGACAGACAGAGATCACAAGTAGGCAGAGAGGCAGGCAGAGAGAGAGAGAGGAGGAAGCAGGCTCCCTGCAGAGCAGAGAGCCCAATGTGGGGCTTGATCCCAGGACTCTGGGATCATGACCTGAGCCGAAGGCAGAGGCTTAACCCACTGAGCCACCCAGGCGCCCCTAAATATACTTTATTTTAATTGAGTTTTATTCCTGAGTTTAATATAACAGGTAATTATTAAGTTGCAGAGTTTTAATGTCATTCATTATTGTTTTTACAGATGCTGAAAATGAAATTATGAGATTGAGTAATTTAAACCAGGTAAACTAATTTTAAGAGAAAAGCTTTTGGCTTTGATTTATCAAGAAAAACTGTTTTGATTATTGTAGTTGCTTATTTTGTGTTTTTTACAAATTCACTTGAACTTATCCTGGGTACTTGCATCTTAGTAATTTTATGTTTGCTGATTAATAACAAACTTCTTGAATCATAAATTGACATCATTTTAAAAGTTACATAATTTGAAAAATGCAAGTATATCATTTTCAGGATTAATTTGACAGACATTATGTTTCTAGATAGTGGAAGCAGATTTTCCACCACAGTGAGGAATGCGTTTTGATTTCCCTTAAGGAATTCAGAGAGTTGCTTCTGTTGCTAATGATTATAGGCTACTTTGTAAATGTGTTTATTTTTTGAAATGTAATAAAATTCTAAGAATATTTATAAAATGTATGACTGGCTTTGGGCAGTCCAGTGTTGCTTGCCTATAATTTTTATATATCACTGCAGAAATGCTGAGTACAAATGTACAGTAGTACAGCTTGTGTACTTTTTTGTAAACTTGAAATTTATCTGAAAACACACTGTTTTAACATTTTGTAGGATAACAGTCTCACTGAAGACAATCTGAAACTTAAAATGCATGTTGAAACTTTAGAAAAACAGAAGTCCTTATTGAGTCAAGAAAAGGTGGGTACAGTAAAAGTGGGGGGCATAATTAAAATGTATGACTATAGGTCATAGCCAAGGGCCACTTTGTATCAAAATGGAACGTTTAGGTCTTGAGAGTCCTGAGGGTAAAACTGATGTCACTGATGCTTGTCAGACCAGGATGAAATATTTAGGGCAAAGTTCGAGAATGAGAGGCTGGCCAGAGTTCACATTTACAGATAAGGGAGCCGGTAGGCATACATATATGAGCAGAAAAGATAGGTAAAGACTCTGCTTTGGTTTCCGATGAAGTCCTGACAGCAGCAACACACACAGGTGGTTCTAGAGTCTGGAGTGGTGGTAGTGGCATCCTACAGAATCTATTAACTGCTTCTCTGTCCTGGAACCTATCTAGTGTGGTGGAGTTTCTTAATGGTGAGGGATGAAGAGGGAATACATTCTCAGTGGCAGAGATAGAGTCTTTGTGTATGTTGGTAGCAGGTTTGGAATAAGGTTCTATAATGCAGTGTTGGGAATGAGGAGAGGTATTTTTATTACGTACTCGGTGATAATTCCTTGGCTAAGACAGGTGCTTAAATATAGTATGGCTGTGAGCTGATATTATTAAGTTATAGGCCAGTGTCTTAACTCAGTTGAAAAAATTGATTTTTAAAAAATAATACATATATTCACTGATGTACAAATTCAGTAATTCATATGGAAGACCTTTAAATGGTACAAATGGCATATCCTTTGCACCTCTTTTGGTTGGCCTCTTTTTTTTAAGATTTTATTTACTTATTTGAAAGAGGAGAGAGAGAGAGAGAGAACACATGCAGGGTAGGGGTAGAGGGAGAGGAAGAAGCAGACTCCCTGCTGAGCAGGAAACCCCCCCCCCCAACGTGGGGCTTGATCCCAAGACCCTGAGATCATGACCTGAGCTGAAGGCAGATGCTTTACTGACTGAGTCACTCAGCTGCCCCTGAAGGCAGTCTTTCTTACCAGTTTCTTGTATGTCCATCCTTCTAGACTACACTTATGGTGTATGATTATATAAATAGCTTTAAAAAAATACAACTTTTAGCTGCCTATACATACTATTCATATATACCTTAACATATTTTCAGCATCCTTCCACATTAGCATATACACAGTGTTTCTCTGAGGGATGCTGTCAGCATGGAAAATTCTTAGTTTTGTGCACTGTCGTATGCATGGTGGGATCCTTGCCTCCACCCTTTCTGTTTACTAAAAACCAGTGTCTCCTCCTCTTTCTTAATTCCTATATTATCTCTATTTTCTCTGTTGTTTTCTGCTCTCTTTGCATTCCGCTTTTTCAGTTCCTCCTTTCTCTAACTGGCTTAGGTATACTTCATAGTTTGCAGATCTCTGCACATATCTGATAGTATCTGTAACCTTGCCATGATATTTTTGGATTCTGTAGCCATTCCTAATAGCTCTTGGTCCTTTCTTTCAATGTTATATAAGCCTTCTTAACTTTTCCTGTAAGTTTCTCTGATGCACGTCTACTCACTGCTTAAGAACCTACCTGCAGGGCCATGCATGGTTTTTTTGTTTGTTTGTTTTGTTTTTTTAAAAAGATTTTATTTATTTGACAGAGATCACAAGTAGGCAGAGAGGGGTGGAAGCAGACTCCCTTCTGAGCAGAGAGCCTGATTCGGGGTTCGATCCCAGGATCTTGAGATCATGACCTGAGCCAAAGGCAGAGGCTTAACCCAGTGAGCCACCCAGGCGCCCCAAGGCCATGCATATTCTTAACATCTATCTGAGAAAAGCTTGCGGTTCCCCTGATTGAACACATAACTTTATTATTTTTTTAAAATTTAAACTCAATTAGCCAACATATAGTATAGTATATAGTATGCCATTAGTTTCAGATGTAGAGTTCAGTAATTCATCAGTGCCTATCACCCAGTTACCCCATCCCCCACCCCCCGTTGCCCATGTAACTTTTAGAAAGGCATTAGAAAATGCTGTTTTCATTAACCGTAGTTCAGAATAAACTTTTGAATTGGAACTAAAATGGAATTTTGAGGGAGATGTTCTGGTTTTCCCTGGTCTCTTTGTAAGGTATGTATAGTTGCTTTATTTGTAGATGTTTAGGATTCTTATTTGCTTTAAAGTAGAGTCCATAGAAATTTGATTATTTTCTATTGGTGAAAGAAAGCTTTAAACTTTTCTTGTAGCACAAGCATCACAATGAGAGGTTGAAACAGTGTTGGAGCATAGAGAACTGTCCCACTTCTGGAGTTTAGAGGAAAAGCATTAAATACCTCTAGAACAGAATATAAAATATAGTTTAAAAATCATACATATATAGATAGATAAATCTTTAGGACTGTTAAGAGTTGAGAGAGAGGAACCTAGTCTCAGGTTGGATGGCAAAGGAAGGAAGGAGTCTACTTTCTTGGGTCAAAGGAGAGTTTCATGTGCTGACAGGAGCCAGTAATAAGGGAAATTCCTTTAATGAGAGAAAAGAAGCATTTTATTTTCTAACTAGAGAATGAATGAATGTTGATTTTTATAGATGTTTATTTATTTAGTTTACGGTTGTTGGTGACTGGACATTAGGGGAATGGAAGTGCAGAGAACCAGGACACTTGGGACATTTTGAAGAGACTGTGTAGGGTGAGAGAAGCAGCAGACAGAAGGGAAGCTGAGTGGGAGTGGGATTAGGAAGGCTCCCACATGGGAAAGTTTTTGTATAAAGAAGCTGGAGCTGGATGAACTTTAACAGTCATTCCATCTTGTCTAGTGTTACAGAAATGTTTTTTTTCTTCTTCTTTTTTTTTTTTAAGATTTTATTTATTTATTTGACAGAGATTACAAGTAGGCAGAGAGGCAGGCGGAGAGAGAGAGGAGGAAGCAGGCTCCCCGCTGAGCAGAGAACCCAATGTGGGGCTCGATCCCGGGACCCTGGGATCATGACCCGAGCTGAAAGCAGAGGCTTTAACCCACTGAGCCACCCAGGCACCCCCAGAAATGTTTTTCTTGAAGCTACTCATAAAATCGCACATGAGTGAAGGCTGTGATTTGTTGAATTTTATGTATCGTTGCTGAAGTCTTACTCAGTATTGTTTCTGACACAGGCATCTGAGAATAGATTCCCGTGTGTGTGTGTGTGTTTATGTATGTATGTCTGTGTGTGTGTCTGTATATATATAAAACTTTTTGGTGTCTTCTTTCAATTGACAATATATGTTGTTTTTCCCCGTTTTTATTATTTAAGGAAGAGCTTCAGGTATCACTTTTAAAATTGAACAATGAATATGAAGTAATTAAAAGTACAGTTGTGAGAGACACGGATTTGAATTCAACACTACATGACTTAAGACTGACTTTGGAAGCAAAGGAACAGGAGCTCAATCAGAGTCTCACTGAGAAGGAAATACTGGTAGCTGAGTTAGAGGAATTGGACAGACAGAACCAGGAAGCTACAAAGGTAACACGATGTGAAAACCAGAGTGGCACACATTCTTTTTAGTACATTGAAGATTGGAATAACAAGTGAAAATGATGGGTGTGATTTAAACCTGTGATCTCATCAATATTTTGCTTCATTGATAATCTAATCACAGAGGCTGGCAAACTTCTTCTGTAAAGGGTGAGATAGTAAATATTTTTTGGCCCTGCAGGCCGTATAGTGGTCTCAGTTGTACTCAACTCCGCTCTTGCGATACGTAAACAATGAACGGTGGCTGTATCCCAGTAAGACTTGATCTATAAAAACAGGTGGCTGGCCTGATTTGGTTCATTGGCTGTATGACTCCTGCTTCAGTGATGAAGAGTTGAAATTGGACAATATATATCATTTACCTTCTCTGGTTTTAAATTGTAGTCTCTAGGATAATGAAATAGATTTGCTGTAAGTTGTTAGTAATTTTGTTGATTTTTTTTAAAAAAAGATTTATTTATTTTAGAGAGAGAGAGAGAGAATGTGCATGCATGTAAACAAGGCAAGGGCAGGGGGAGGGAGAGTCTCAAGCCGGCTCCGCACTAAGCATGGAGCCTGACGTAGGGCTCAGTCCCACGACCCTGAGATCATGACCTGAGCTAAAACCAAGAGTCGGACGCTTAACCAACTGCGCCACCTAGGCGCTCCTAAATGTTGGGATTTTTTAAAAAGTTTAAGAAGGATTAGAAGTATCTGAGGAGTATTCTTTATTATTTATGACATTTTACCAAATTTTCGTTAGGTACTAAAATGAGAGCTTGTCTTAAAGTTATCATTCAAATTATTTTTCTTTCAGCATATGATTCTGATAAAAGATCAGCTATCAAAACAACAAAGTGAGGGAGACAGCATCATTAGTAAACTGAGACAAGAGCTAACTGATGAAAACAGGAGAGTCCATCAACTTGAAGATGATAATATGAACATGACTAAAGAGCTGGATGTGCAGAAAGAAAAGTTAGTTCAAAGTGAACGTGTCCTAAATGATTTGCATTTAGCCAAGCAGAAGCTTGAGGAGAAAGTGGAAGATTTAGTAGATCAACTAAATAAATCACAGAACAGTAACTTAAACATGCAGAAGGAGAACTTTGGACTTAAGGAACATATTAAACAGAATGAGAAAGAGCTTTCTAGAGTCAGGGATGAGTTAACTCGGTCTCTGAATCGAGACTCCGGCAGTGATTTTAAGGATGACTTATTTAAAGAAAAGGAGGCCGAAGTCAGAAACTTAAAGCAGAAACTTTCAGAAATAGAACAGCTCAATGACCATTTAAACAAAGTTGCCTTTGATCTGAAAATGGAAAATGAAAAGCTGGTTTTAGCATGTAAGGATGTAAGACATGAGTTAGAAGAATCCATTGCTGGTAGCAATCAGATTTCTCTGGAAAGAAACACTTTTGTGGAGGCTCTAAAAATGGAGAAAGGTCAGTTAGAAGCAGAATTGAGTCGGGCCGAACAGAGGCTGGTAGAAGAAGCAAATAAGTATGAGCAGATGATCGAAGAACTATCTAAGGCACGTGATTTGAGTACTTCTGCTTTACAGCTGGAACAGCAGCGTTTAATGAAACTTAGTCAAGAGAAAGACTTCGAAATAGCGGAACTCAAAAAGAACCTTGAACAAATGGATACGCACCATAAAGAAACTAAGGAGATTTTGTCCTCTAGTTTAGAAGAGCAGAAGCACTTGTCCCAACTTATAAGTGAGAAGGACGTTTTTATTGAAAAACTTAAAGAAAGAAGTTCAGTGCTTCAGGAGGAATTAGATAAATGTACTGAGGCCTTAAGAAAAAATGAAATTTTAAAGCAAACCATGGAGGAAAAAGACCGAAGTCTTGGGTCCATGAAAGAAGAAAACAATCATCTCAAAGAAGAACTGGAACGGCTCCGTGAACAGCACAGTCGGGCTGCGCCTGTGGTGGAGCCTAAGCCCCTGGATAGCGTTACAGAGCTAGAGTCTGAGGTGTTGCAGCTGAATATTATAAAGGGGAATCTTGAGGAGGAAATAAAACGTCATCAAAAGATAATTGAAGATCAAAACCAGAGTAAAATGCAGCTGCTTCAGTCGTTGGAGGAGCAAAAGAAGGAAATGGCTGAGTTTAAGAGCCAGCATGAGCAAATGAATGTCACACACACCCAGCTCTTCTTAGAGAAGGATGAAGAAATTAAGAATTTGCAAAAAACAGTTGAACAAATCAAAACCCAGTTGCACGAAGAAAGACAGGGCGTTCCAACGGAGAATTCTGAGATCTTTCACGAAACGAAGGTACAGAGCCTTAATATAGAAAACGGCAGCGAAAAACATGATTTATCTAAAGCCGACACTGAGAGATTAGTAAAAGGAATAAAAGAACGAGAATTGGAGATTAAGCTCCTAAACGAAAAGAATATATCTTTAACAAAACAGATTGATCAGTTGTCCAAAGATGAGGTTGGTAAACTCACTCAGATCATCCAGCAGAAAGACTTGGAGATACAAGCTCTTCACGCTAGAATTTCTTCCGCTTCCTACACCCAGGATGTTGTCTACCTTCAGCAGCAGCTGCAGGCCTACGCTAAGGAGAGAGAACAGGTATTAGCTGTTTTGAGTGAGAAGACTAGGGAAAATAGCCATCTGAAAGCGGAGTACCACAAAATGATGGATATCGTTGCCGCCAAAGAGGCCGCTCTCGTGAAGCTGCAGGAGGACAATCAAAAATTGTCCACTCGATCCGAGGGTGGTGGCCAGGATATGTTTAGAGAAACTGTACAGAATTTGTCGCGTATCATTCGAGAAAAAGACATTGAGATAGATGCATTAAGTCAGAAATGCCAGACCTTGTTGACGGTTTTACAGACATCCAGCACTGGCAGTGAGGTCGGAGGCGTTAACAGCAATCAGTTTGAGGAGCTTCTGCAGGAACGCGACAAACTCAAGCAGCAAGTGAAGAAGATGGAAGAGTGGAAGCAGCAGGTGATGACCACGGTCCAGAATATGCAGCACGAGTCCGCCCAGCTTCAGGAGGAGCTCCATCAGCTTCAGGCACAGGTTCTGGTTGACAGCGATAACAATTCTAAATTGCAAGTGGACTATACTGGCCTGATCCAAAGTTATGAGCAGAATGAAACCAAACTTAAAACTTTTGGACAGGAGCTAGCACAAGTTCAGCACAGCATCGGGCAGCTGTGCAGCACCAAGGAGCTGCTTCTAGGAAAACTTGATAGTATTTCGCCCCAACTCTCCTCCGGATCTTCGTCGCCTTCCCAGCCAGCAGAGTCTCTTGGCCCGGTGAAACCCGATAGATCGAGGGAGTCTTCGAAACAGGAGCTAGAAGAGCTAAGAAAGTCACTGCAGGAGAAAGATGCAACAATTAAAACGCTCCAGGAAAACAATCACAGATTGTCTGATTCCATTGCTGCTACCTCAGAGCTGGAAAGAAAAGAACACGAACAGACAGACTCAGAAATGAAGCAGCTCAGGGAGAAACAAGAGGTCTTACAGAAGTCACTGAAGGAGAAAGACCTCTTAATCAAAGCCAAAAGTGATCAGTTACTTTCTTTAAATGAAAATTTCGCCAACAAAGTGAATGAAAACGAACTTTTGAGGCAGGCAGTAACCAACCTGAAGGAGCGGATATTAATTTTAGAAATGGACATCTGTAAACTGAAAGAAGAAAATGAAAGAATAGTAGAAACAACCAGGGAAAAGGAAACGGAGTATCAGGCGTTACAGGAGACTAATACGAAGTTTTCCATGATGCTTCGAGAAAAAGAGTTTGAGTGCCATTCAATGAAGGAAAAGGCTCTCGCGTTTGAGCAGTTGCTGAAAGAAAAGGAGCAGGTATGTTGGGGATGGAATTTTTTATACAGGAAAGTTGGGGTGGGAAAGATTTTCCAATGGGTTGCTTACTTTATAGGTAATTGTGTTTGAAGGGGAATGTGAAGTTGTTCATTCAGAAATCCCCTTTCAGGGTTTTGTGACTTCATTCTGAGCAAATTTTCCTTAGAGGTACCTGGAGGTTTCTCGCCTAAATTACTAGATTTTTCTAAACCTTTTTAGCAGCAGGTTAATTTAAATAGAAAAAAAAAAAAGAGACTTTAGTAGCAATATTTTTCTTTAGAAAACGGAAGTGTTGGAATGACTTCCCTGTCTTTTCTTTGCCAGCGACTTGCACTTTCTGAGGAACAGTTGTGCATGCCTGATGAAGGAACGCACACACACACACAGCTCTCTCTCATACTCTTTTGATTGATTTTGGGATCTGTGAACATTTTGTTGTATAGAGTAAATTTGAAGAGATTGTGTCTTTTGAATTCTTTTGAAAACTTTTCTGATAACTTTTTCTTCCAGAATAGTTTGATTGTTTTGAAAAAATTGTAAAGATTATAGAGTTCCCTTATGCCTCACACCCAGTTTCCCTTGTTTGTTAACATCTCAGATTACTATGATGCATTTGTAACAGCTAATTCACCAATATTGATGTATTAACTGAAGTTCCTACTTTATTTGAATTTTTTTTTTTTTACTAAAAAAATGACTACACGTCTTCTTTCTGTTCAGGGTGCCATTCAGGATAACACATTGTATTTAGTTGTCATGTCTCCTTAGGCTTCCCTAGACTGACAGTTTCTCAGATTCTGTTTTTGATGACCTTGATATGGTTAGCTATATCTCAAAATTAATTATTTAATGAAGAAAATGTGTCTTTTTTAAATGTATCTTTCTTAAAGCTAAACTTATTTCTTTCCAAAAGGGCAAGACTGGGGAGTTAAATCAGCTTTTAAATGCAGTTAAGTCAATGCAGGAGAAGACAGTTAAGTTTCAACAGGAGAGAGACCAGGTCATGTTGGCCCTGAAACAGAAACAAATGGAAAACAGTACTTTACAGAATGAGGTATGCTTTTACTCTAAAGAAATTGATTGAAGCAATAAGCTTAGTAATCATTACGAAAACTAGAACGATTTATCAAAATTAATTTCTCTATTAGGTGATTTTTTTTCTGTCTTCCTCTGATGTGTTATTGTAGGATTTTGATCTCCAGGGGCATATGTTATTTGTTTTCAAAGGTAAAAACTATAGCATATCTTGGGTATTAAAAAAAATTTCCACTGATGCAATCACTGTAGAAACAGGTATGCAGATTCCCCCCAAAAAATTAACCACAGAAATAACATATACTCCAGTAGTCCATTACTGAGTATTTACTCCCCAAAAATGAAAACACTAAATCAGAAAGGTAACCTGCATCCTTATGCTGACTGCACGTTATTTACAATAGCTAAGATAGGGAAGCAACCCAAGTGTCCATTGATAGACGAACAGATAAAGAGGGGGGTATAAATGGAATATTACTCAGCCATAAAAAGAAATGAGATCTTGCTGTTTGCAACAACATGGATGGACCTAGAGGGTATATTAAGCTAAGTGAAGTAAGTCAGACAGAGAAAGGAAAATACTATATGATTTCACTTATGTAGAATCTAAAAAAACAGTGAAACAGAGACAGAATCATAAACATGGGGAACAAACTGGTCGTTGCTGGAGGGGTTGGGTTTAGGGAGGATGGGCAAAAAAGGTCAAGGGGATTTAGAGGTGAAAATTTCTAGTTATAAATTAAGTCACAGGGCTGAAAAATACGTCATAAGTAATAGAGTCAGTAATATTGTAATAATGTCTGATGACAGATGACAACTGCATGTACTGTGGGAGCAGAGTGTAACATGTAGAGTTGTTGAATCACTGTTTTGTATACTTGAAACTAGTATAACCTTGTCTTCAGCTTAAAAAGAAATTCTCACCTGTGATATATGAAAAAATGAGATTTTTCACTGAAAAAGTAGTGTATCAAAAAGAGGCATATACTTGGTACAATTCCATTTTTCATTAAAAGCCATGGGGAATGAGCTCTTACAAAATAAAACTTCAGATGAAACGTCAGGTTGATTTTCGGTGACTTTTTTTTCCTAATATAAATACATCTTGCAATATGAGAAATTAGTATGTAATTAATATACTTCAATAATGGGCAAAAGATTTGATAACAGAGTGTCTTGTAGAGGGGAAAAGGGAACATTTTATAGAAAAAAAATAAAGAGGTGTTCTCTGCCTAGGTTCAACATTTACGTGACAAAGAAATACGGTTAAACCAGGAGCTAGAGAGATTGCGTAACCATCTTTTAGAATCAGAGGATTCTTACACCCGAGAAGCTTTGGCTGCAGAAGACAGAGAGGCCAAACTGAGAAAGAAAGTTACAGTATTGGAGGAAAAGCTAGTTTCATCTTCTAATGCAATGGAAAATGCAAGGTAACTTTTCCCTGTTTTTAGCACTTACATTAGTTGAACCCTCCTTGAGTGTCAGAATCAGAAAACGTTTTTCCTGGCTTACCTTGTTTTACTCTTAAGAAATTCATTCTCTCCGGGGCGCCTGGGTGGCTCAGTGGATTAAGCCGCTGCCTTCAGCTCAGGTCATGATCTCAGGGTCTTGGGATCGAGTCCCGTATCGGGTTCTCTGCTCGCAGGGATCCTGCTTCCCTCTCTCTCTCTCTGCCTGCCTCTCTGCCTACTTGTGATCTCTCTCTGTCAAATAAATAAATAAAATCTTAAAAAAGAAAAAACTCATTCTCTCCAAATGATAGATGAAGATACTGAAGGTAGAGAGGGTTAGTAAGCTGCCCAAGGTCAGACCCAGAGTATGTTTGCGGGTTTCACGTTTGGGTCTGTAACTCTTGATACCAGATCTGGCATTCAAATAGCTCTCTCTAAATCTTTCTTTCTTCTTTTTTTTTTTTTTTAATAATTTTATTTACGTATTTATTATTTTCTTATCCTAAGTGTACTAGCTCTCTCTGAATCTTAACTGCTACCCTAGATAATTGCCTCTCATTGTTTTAAGAGTTTAGACTTAAATTCTGACTGATTTTTTTTTCCTGACAGATTTTAGCTTTGTCACGCTCCCAAAGAAATAATTTGACTTACGTGATTTTACTCTTGATTAAATGATTTAGATTGAATAAGGTTTGGATATTAGAAGGGAGAGAGTAAAGGAAGTAGCACGGTGAAGACCTAAGTCAGCATGAATTAACTCCTAGTTTGTTGAAACTTTTGAATTATTAGATCCCTACCTACATATTTTTATTTTATTTTTACTAGAGTAGTAGTTTATTATAAAAGGCTTTAACTCAGGAACAGCAGATGGAGGAGATAGGTAGGGCAAGGCATGGGATAGGGGTGCACAGCTTCCAGCTCCCTTCCAGCAAGCAGCTGTCCCCATAGCTCTCAGTGCTCATGAGCCCAGAAGCTTTCCAGACCCTCTCGTTGTGAGGTTTTATGGAGAGTTCATTATAGAGACATGATTGACTCCCTACTTATATAATTTAAAATTTTATTTCTCTCAATAAAATGTTGTGTATTCTTGGGATGCCAGGGTCCTGGAATTGAACCCCACATCAGGCTCCTGCTCAGCGGGGAACCAGCTTCTCCCTCTCCCTCTTCTACTCCCCCTGTTTGTGCTCTCTCTCTCTCACATAAATAAAATCTTTTAAAAATAAGGTATTTTCTTCTCTTTCTACCCTTTTTATTATAAAATCCTATTTGTACTTCAGGAAAATTACAATATTTTCTTCGAATTTTTGGGTTTTTATTTTCTCTAATTAAAATAGTTTCTGGGCTCTCTGCACCCTCATTAGCCTTATTTTGCACTATCACCTACATCCAGCCAAACCGTCTTATTCATTCCTTTCACAGAGCTACTATTTTCCTATGTCTTCTCCTTTTTCTATGCTTTTCTTTAAGATTTACTTATTAGCAGTGTGTGGGGGCACACACGTGAGCAGGGAGGAGGAGGGTGGGAGAGAAAAATCTACAGGAGACTCCCCACAGAGCCTGATGTGGGACTTGATCTCATGACCCTGAGTTCATGACTTGAGCCAAAATCTAGAGGTGGATGCTTAACCACTGACTGAACCACTGAGTCGCCCCATCTTCTACCTTTTCGTTTCATATTCTTCTGCCTTGAGTGGGCCTGATTCCTAACAGTTTTTCTATTAGTCCCACCTTCTTCAAATAGCATTTCCTTTGTAAAGAATGCTTTAGTTAGCATCCTGCTCCTCAAATTCAAAACCAAACCCTGGTGTGATGTTTTTCTTTTGAACCTGCTTAATCCTTTGTTTGAGTCTTTGGTAGCGCACTTACATTTTACTTTAGGGTACGTAAGTAATTGTTGACCCATCTTATATCTTACACCTTCTCCCATACAGTGAAATATAAGGCCACTGGGAGTGGGCGTGATGCCATTTATTTATTTATTTATTTACTTACTTACTTACTTATTTATTTAACATTTTAGTCATTTATTTGACAGAGAGCACAAGCAGGGAAATGACAGGCAGAGGGAAAGAGAGAAACAGACTCCCTGTGTATCATGGAGCCTGACACAGGGCTTGATCCCAGGACCCTGGGATCATGACCTGAGCCAAAGGCAGACACTTAACCGACTGAGCCATCCAGGTGTTCTGATGCCATTTATTTTGTACCCTTCCCACAGCATATCTTCTTACACAGAGTTAATAGATGTGCAGTAATATTTTTGAATGAGTGACTCAGATCTACAAGTCAGATTATCGTGTTTTGAGCCCTTAATTAGCTGTAGTAATCCCTGGTGTTTATTAACTTTTTGAGTGACATCATAGCTCATTTCATCCTTGCAATGACTTGTTCCATGGCATGCCTACCAGCAAAGTTGTATAAAATCCAGGAACACTTGAGGGCAGTCTCCTGATTATCAATTTACTGCTTTTCCCACAAGAGGGTGCTGTTGGGTAAAGTTTCCTCAGAGTGCATGGTGCTTAAAGGACTTTAATGGACCGCTCCTGAATAAGAATTTATTAACTGGATATTAAAAACCCAGGAAAGACTATTGCAATATTTTGTTTGTAATCATTATACATTAAGGAGGTACATCAATGATATAATCCTGGGTCAGTAAATCTCTAACCTATCTCTGATTTATTATTTGGGGCAGGTGTAGGGGTTATTATATTGAATGTAAAGAGAAAGAAAGATGATAGTGAAAAATAATTAGTAATTAGAGCATTTTGTCAATGGATAGCCTTTGGAAACTTGGGAGGGTCAAAAGCCAAGGAAGTTTCAGAATCCATTGCTTATTGGGTTGGAAGCTGGACAAAATGACTTCCAAGGTCCTTGCAACTTAGAGTTTTTTGATAAATTACATCTTAGAGTTTTAGCCTGAAAACATGAATGTTGCAGGCTGTTTGTAAATTTTTATTATACTGACGTTTCTTGTTTAGTTCAGCTTTTAATCTTTAAAATGACTGCCATTTGTTCAAAGTCATTTTATTATTTATATTTTATATTGTTATTAACAAAAGAGGGAGAATGAAGATCGAACTCTTCAAGTTTCTTTGAAATCTAATGTGAATGCAATGAAATGTAAGGAAGGTCAAATTCATAGAGTCAGAAGGTAGAACAGTGCTTACTGGGGGAGAGGGTACTGCTTACTGGATATGGAGCTTCCCTTTGGGAGGATGAAGTTCTGGAGATGGATGGTGGTGATGCTTGTACAACATTGTGAATGTTATGTATATATTTACACAATTTTTAAAAAAAGTAGGGAGGAGATTTCATCTTGTTAAAGTAATAGAAACAGTTGGACTTTTATTCTTTTTCTTTGGTGGGCGGGGGCAGAGAGAGAGAGAATCTTAAGCAAGCTCCATGACGTGGGGGCACGATCTCACAACCCTGAGATATTACCTGAGCCGAAAGCAGAAGTCGGACAGCTTAACTGACTGAGCCATCCAGGCACCCCTGACTTTTATTCTTTTTGTTGGAAGCCATCAGGCCAGTTTGCAGGTGGAGTCACTGCAGGAGCAATTGAATGTGGTCTCCAAGCAAAGGGATGAAACCACCCTGCAGCTTTCTGTCTCTCGGGAACAAGTAAAGCAGTACGCCCTGTCACTGTCCAACCTCCAGATGGTGCTGGAGCATTTCCAGCAGGGTGAGTTGTGCAGTCGGCCTTCCAGGGAAGAAGAATTATTGTGTTATTGGGAATTCTGGCTTATTTCAGTGCTATTTTGAAATAGGCACAGGGAAATCTTTGAAAGGTTACCCCACTTGTAGGAGGAAAAGATAAGTTGCCCTCAAAAAGTTAACATAGACTCCTTTTACAGTTAAGACTAGAGAATGCGACGTAGGAATTATTAAAGATATGTTTAAGTATCATATTATGACCAATGAAGGTGAGAATTGGGGAAGGATAAGGATAACATAGGAAGGATAGTCACGTGATAAAGAGGGGCCCATGTAGAAGCAATACTTAAGTTTTGAGATATAGGTCAAAGGTTGAATCTACTTCATAGAGTTAATCATCAGTAATTACTGTCCTTTGAAATATTGACTGACTTGTTCTTAGCTGTTCATATACCTTGAGGTAACTACATTTCTAGTCCCGGTGGAAAATATTTCTCTAGAGACGTAGTAACAATCACCAGAGAGCAGTATTCCTCTGATAACCAAGTACGCTTTTTCACATCTACCTCCCACCCTCACATTTACTTCCTTTAGATCATTCATTTCACCCATCTGTTTATAATGATTGGCAGTGAATTTACTGCTGGTAGGGGCAGGTGATGGGGGATATGAGGGTCATGAAGTAACGGGTTAGTTTTGTGCTGAAGCAAAACTTTGAATTTGCATGTATGTTGATCTTCAGGCTTACTCATGGTTGAAATCTTGAATTTTAAGATAAGAATTCTCAAGGTCCATTGTACCTAATACTTTCTAGAATGGACAGGTGTACAAAGTAGTATGGCCGTAGGGAAGGCTTTACTGAAGAGGAGTTACCTGAGTGGAGTTCTGAAGGGAGGGAAGAGTTTGCATGATGAACAAAGTGGAGAAGGGTTTAGGCAGAGGAAACCAATCTCTTTCATTCTAGCTCACATGATCTAAGGCAGAGGAAACTAATCTCTTTAATTCCTGCTCACATGATCGCATGATTTTCTTGCTGAGAGATTTGAATTGTTAAAATTTCAAGAGGTATAAAATTCTAATTTTATCACAAAATTGCAGAATACTAATGTAACTTTATTTTCTCTTTAGAGGAAAAAGCTATGTATTCTGCTGAACTAGAAAAGCACAAACAGCTTGTAGCTGAATGGAAGAAAAAGGCAGAAAATCTGGAAGGAAAACTAATGTCATTACAGGTTGGTCAAAATAATTTTCTCTTGTAAATATTATTATTCATGAACAATTACTTGTTGAATCTGTATCTTGAAATAATTTCCTAAACAATTTTAGTAAAATCTGGTTACTTATCCTATGCTGGGATCTAGCGGGGAACAAGATTTCAGGACTTTCCCTTATAGTTTAGACACAACAAATATGAGATGATGGGAAATTTTAATTCTTTAGCACAGATGGGTATTTTTCTCTTTTCAGCAAGATATATCAGGCACTCTATTTCACATGGATTAGAATAATGTATATAATCCTTTATCTCTTTTTCTTTTGTGGTATAATCCTTTAAATACCATAGTCCTTTAAAGTATCTTTCTTTGGATGTTCCCCGGGTGGCTCAGTCAGTTAGTTAAGTGGCCGCGTTCAGGTCAGGTCACGATCCCAGAGAGGGATTGAGCTCTACATCTTCCTCTGCCTGCTCTGCCTGCCCTGCCTGCTGCTGCTCCTGCTTGTGCTCTCTCTGACAAATAAATAAATAAAATCTTAAAAAAAAAACAAAAACAAAAACAAAAAACTTTGTTATAGTTCATATGAAGAATTTTATAAAATATAAATATATATTTAAAAAATATACAAATATATATTATATATAAAATACATATTTATATAATATATAATAATATAAAATGTAAAATATAGAAAACATAAATATATCAAATATAAATAAAATGAATCCCCATGAAGAGATATGACATGAAAGTAACTTGCTTTTAGAATTAGGATGAACTTTTCTTTTCTTTTTTTTTTTTAATATATATATTTTTTAATATTTTATTTATTTATTTGACAGACAGAGATCACAAGTAGGCAGAGAGGCAGGCAGAGAGGGAGGAGGAAGGCTCCCTGCTGAGCAGAGAGCCCGATGCAAGGCTCGATCCCAGGACCCTGGGATCATGACCTGAGCCGAAGGCAGGGGCCTTAACCCACTGAGCCACCCAGGCGCCCCTAGGATGAACTTTTCTAAGTTATAAGTAGACTTTGTTGATGCCTAATAGTAATAAAATTTGTTTACCTGTCATAGTCGTCATTAGTTGTGAATATGCTGTTCAGCCATGTTAGTATTCCTAATAAAAGAAGACCTATTTCCTTTAAAGTTTTGAAATTTTTATTAAATATTGAGTAGCTGCAAAACAGTATTTAGATAATACATATAAGATAATAGCAGTCCTGCAGCTACTTTCGTACTTGCCCACCCAGTATAAGAAGAATGTCATCCTTAGAAGTCCTGACGTGCCCTCCATATCTCATCCCCTTCTTGTTTTTTAAGATTTTATTTATTTATCAAAGAGGGAGAGAGAGAGAGAGAGAGAGAGCTGGGGGGAGGGGCAGAGGGAGAAGCAAACTTCCCACTGAGCACGGAGCCAGCCCAACGTGAGGCTCAATCCCAGGACCTGGAAATCATGGCCTGAGCTGAAGGCAGATGCTTAACCCACTGAGCCACCCAGGTGCCCCCTCATCCCCTTCTTATCATTTCATAGAGATCGAGTCTAGATTGTTATATTTATCACCCCTTATTTTTCTTTATGGTTTTATCACATGTATTTGAATCTCCAAAAGATACATTGTATGGTTTTACATAATTTTGAGCTCTGTGTAAATGGAATTTTGAAATTAATATAAATTTAATAATTCTCCTGAAACTTGCTTTTTTTTTTCACCTAGTATTATATTCATGAGTTTTAACTGTGTTACTGTGTGTTGTTATATGTGCATGGCTTATTACTTTCATCACTGTATTTATTGCATGAATGTATAATTTATTTACCTATTTTACTGATAGAAGACCTTGCCATTGTTTGCTTTACAAACAATGTGGTTCTGAGCTCCCTTGTTTACATCTCCTGGTGCACACGTTCGGAAGTTTCTTCCGGGCATGGATCTTAATCGGAATTGCTGAGTCCTGAGATATATATGGGCACTTTCAACTTTATTCAGTGATGGCAAGTTGTTTTATAGCAGTAGTGCTAGTGTCCTCCTACCAGTGGTGCGTAAGAGTTCTTGGTCTGCATCCTTGGCAGTACTTGGCCTTAGTAGAATTTTTAAGTTTTTGCCACTGTAGTGGGAAGGGCTATCATCTACGGTTTTAATTTGCATTTGTCTGACTGCTAACAAGATTAAGCATCTTTTAATATCTTTATTGACCATTTATGCTTACTTTCTGGTCAGCTCTTTAATATGTTTAAAAAGATACTTTATCTAACACTTAGTTGTTTTCAGTAGGTCTAGAGTATGTCGTCTGCCATACTGTTAGAAGTCCAGATCTTCTTTTTAAACTGGCTTTATTTTTAATTTAAAATATAGCATATACTTAGAAAACAAATAAAAGAAACTAAGAGGGAATTAGTAAAAATAAAAGCTGGAATTGGTGAAATAAAACCCAAACAAATGGTAGAAAGAATAATGAAGTCTAAATGTTAATTTTAGAAAAAAATCTTAGTTTAGTTTTGAAATTTAATAATTTCTTAAATAGAAATCCTGTGATGGGCGTCTGGGTGACTCAGTCATTGGGCGTCTGCCTTTGGCTCCGGTCACGATCCCAGGGTTCTGGGATCAAGCCCCGCATTGGGCTCCCTGATCTGCAGGAGGCCTGCTTCTCCCTCTCCCATTCCCCCTGCTTGTGTTCACTCTCTCACTGTCTCCCTCTTTCTCTGTCAAATAAATAAATAAAATCTTAAAAAAGAAGAAATACTGTGAAGTTTAAAAAAATTATTTGAAGATTTATTTAAATTTCCTTTATACTGAATTTAGTTTTGTGGACTTTGAATATTAAAAGTTTTATTTAAAATGTTTTGTTTCAGTCCCTTTGTGTATCAGTTAGGGTTCAACCTGAGAAGCAAAACCAGTAGGGAGGGGGTGTTGTGTGTGTACACACACACACACACACACACACACACACACACATTGATAAATCTATGAGATTTATTATAAGGAATTGGCAGTGCGATCATGGGAGTTGGTAGTCAAAATCCGAAGATCCCATCACAGGCACGGGCCAGAGTGGTTCTCCACAGATGGTCAGGAAAGAAAATCAGAAGCAGGATATATGACTCCGTGGGAGGGGCTGAAGTTGTAGTCCGGCAGGAATTTTTTCTTTTTCTGGGGAATGCTCATCCTTGCTTTCCAGGACTTTTAACTAGCTCAGCCCCAACCCTGATTATTCATGCCTTCCTTAAATTCAGCTGTTTAGGCACTTTGATTACATTTGCAAAGTACCTTCACAGCAACATCTAGATAGTGGTTGATGAGGTAACTCAGGACTGTAGCCTAAGATGACACATCAAAAAAACTGTCACTTTGCTTCAGGATGGTAAAATTTGACCTACATGGGTGAATTCACAAAAATAGCCAAGAAGATAGAAAGAACAACAGTGAGAGCGTCTTCCTACTAAAGATCAAAAGAGAGCCATTAATCAACAGTGTATTGGCTAGATTGGTCAAACAGAAGGAGAATCCAGAAGCAGAGTGTAAGATGGATTTGAGAATTTAAAACCAAATCCTAAACTAATTTTAATTTAATGAAAAAAGGTTAGATTATCTAATAAATGATGTTGCCACAGCTGGCTGTCTATATGGGAGAAAATAAGATTGGATCCCTTATACCATATGCAACAATAAATTCCAATTGTATTAAAGCTCAGATTGTCACCTGGGAGTGTTGCTAGAAAACGGGGCTATTTTTGCTCACTACAGTGACAGGATATAGTGGGCAGGGGCCAAAAATGCCAAAATCACACCCATTGAGAAACACTGTTGGAAAGATTTAAATGTTAAAAACAAAACAAAAAACCTTGCCAGAAAATCTGGAAGAGTGCATTTAGAGTCTGGGGGCAGGGAGGAGCCTACCCAAGACTGAAACTCAAGAAACTGTGAAAACAGAGGGAGGACATGTTTGTATACAATTTAAATACTTTTATATGGCAGTAGGTATCATGCAGTCAATAGACAAATGGCAGATCTGGCAAATAATACTTCTAGACTGATGACAAAGGGTTCACGTCTACTCTACAAGGTAAGCTCAGAAACAGACAAGAGAAAGCTCACTAGAAAGACAAGGTAGGCAAATTTTCACAGAAAAGCAGCTCTAGCTGTCCTGTAAACATGGAAGAATACTCAAATTCTTTAGTAGTGAGGGAAATAAAAATTAATCAAGTAGTAATGAAATGTCATTTTATACCATCAGACTTTCAGAAATTAAAAAGACCATTTGTTGTATTTCTTGACCTTTTGTATCTGCTTTTTGTAGTGTTTATGCTCTTATTATTGTCCTTTTTAAAAAACTTTTGTCACCATATCTTAAGTAGCATCTTCTCTTTTATTTAGTTCTGAGGAAGACAGTATTGTGCTGTGAAGTATGGGCTCTGTCTTGGATACTTACCCTGTGAACTTGCCCGAGGTCACAGAGGCACAGCTTCATCAGCTGAATGGAGGAGGTGGACTGACTTTGGCTTCCAGCTATGTAGTTTGTGAGGTGGTTTTTGTATGCACTTTTTAATGGACTTTTCTTCCTTAGGAGCGTTTTGACGAAGCAAATGCTGCATTGGATTCGGCATCAAGACTTACAGAACAGTTAGATTTAAAAGAAGAAAAAATTGAAGAACTTAAAAAACAAAGTAGGTGTTTCTTTATCATTTTTTCCGTATAACACCCATGTTGAATCAGAGGTAGTCTTCCCCCTTGCGTCCGTGTGGTTGAGTGAGACCAACTTCCACTGGGTGTGACTTCCATTTCTTTGTCCCATGACCAGCTTGCTTCAATTTTAATACGGTCCTAGTGAAACCAGAGTCGAAAGTTGGCCCTGGCTGTCCACTTAGTTTTCCTGTATATGGAAGCAAGCCGGTTGTGTTGGTTGTCACTCTGTTGACCGTCACTGGGAAGTGGTTTTACTGACCCAACTTTTTATGGTTAGGACTTCTCTCTGATCATTGTGTTCATCCATGGGATATATTAGGACAATATTCTCGAGAAAAAGAGTAACTTCTTATGGAATGAATGTTTGAGTATAACTAGCTTTTTATGATAATAGATGGTGCTTTATATCTAGGCACTCACTCTGTAATTGTGTGGTGCTTGTAAGATAAAAGCCTTGCCACTTTCCTCAGGTGAGTGCTATGCTTAGCATTTTCCGTTGGGTCTCAAGTAATCAGGTGATTCATAATGCTTTGTTGAATCTAACAGCTAAGATTGCATGTCTGTTTAATCTCTGATTTAAGGGTCTGTGGAAGTTGAGCTCTTCTAGAGCTGCATTCAGTAGGTAATGATTTAAGGTGATCATGGAATCATGATGCTTTTGGGTATCTGTGTTGGGCACAGGCAGTAATTAAGGAATTAAGAAGTGCCACTTAACATAAAATAGAAATTAGAAATAGGCAAAATTAGGAGGTGGCACAACAGAGATGCTGTCAGATGAAAGAAACAGTGACTTGGACACTAGGAAGGCAAACAAGCAGGATTCACTGAAGCCTGGGTACCAGCGGATGAGCCAGAGGAAGTCGTCCTGCCTCTAACAGCAGATAGCAGATGAGAGATTTTAGGACTACGAAAAACAGCTTCGTCATTTGAGGTAGGTATCTTCAAGCTAGCTTGATTCTGAGCAGATTACTGCTCGCTCTTTGTCAGGCTTGGCCAGTTTTGGAACTCTAAATCTCGGAGGGGCCAGAAATGGGCAGCAAGGAAACAGTTACATACTTGAGTATCATCGGCGTTTTATGTAACATATACTGCATTATATTTAGTCTTCTCTTATTTACTCTTTACAAGCATTTCTAGAGTAGGTGATAAGAGTTTCATTTTATAAGTCAATGAAACTGAGATTTGAGCTCTGATCTTCTTACCCTTGACCAAAGCTCATGATGTTTCCATGTTACTTTATTTCGTCCTGTCAGAAGAATGGTTATTTATAGCGTGACTTGTATTTTGTTTTGTGTATCTTCATCTCCTTTAAAGATAGGGCAGCATCATTTATATTGTGTCCTAAATGTTGATATGGTTGCTCTTATGGGCAGGCCGTATTTATTGGGAAAATGCCAGAGCATTATACTATAGCATTATCTGCAGACACATGGCCAGCCCAGAGAAGATGCACTGGTTACCCAAGAAGTAGAGAGAGAATTGACAGCTTAGGGTAGCGCTGCACTAATGGAGGTGAACACCTAGTATTGTGAGCCAGCCCATTGGTCCTGTGACACCCCAATGCATTGTGGCATGCTGCTGTATAATGTTTAAGGCCGCATCCCTTTTTATGTATCTACCTGAGTCATTTCCGGTAGATGATGCTAAGATAAAAAAAATGCCGTAACTTACTGTAGTTGGTAAATTATTTTCAGACTCCCTGCACTCCTTAGGATTTGTTCAGGCACTCATTTAAACCCCCAGGAGTAGACTGTTTCAGAGTTAGATTGTATCTGACAAGGCTTAGGTGGCTTAGGTCCCTATTGATATAAAAAAATGACAATTGTCATTCAGTGTAAATGTATGGAAACTTCGGACTCATTATGTGGGGTGTATATTAGCTACAGGGAGCTCTGATTATGCTTACACAACTGGTGTTTGAGAGGACAGGCAAGAGTCCAGTGTTTCACAGACAGGAAGGGGAGTGAGGAGATCATTCTGTTGTGTCTTTAAGTCATTCTTGCCATTTACATTCTTGTCTCTTCTTTACGATGTTTTCTTTTATTACCTCAGTGCTTATTATTGCTTTTATATCTATAAACACAAATGTGATTTTATTTTCCCAAAGCTGCACTCTTGATTTGATAATATAAATAAACCTTGATTGGCTTGGTTGTTTCAAAAGAATCACTGTATATTTTCTTTCGTAGATCATTAAGTACTTTAAATGCTGATTGATGTTGTAACACTGTACTTTATTTTTAACACGAAACTTGGCCAGACAGCAAGAGTATTTGCCAGGAGAAACAGATTTGAAAAAGACAGATTGGCTTTTGTTGCAAGAAAGTACCTAGAGACTTAAATTGTAGAAGCAAAGTATTGTTTTATTTCTAAGCATCTGCAGACTGATGATTAGTTGAAATGCAGTTTCAACATTTAAACAATATTGGGAAGCTTACTTTCAAAGTGGTATTTTATTCAAAATACTTGTTATGCTCTTGCTACTGGAGATGAGATGATTCATTGTGGTCAAACGTATGAAAAGGGAGCCATTACATATAACACCAACATGAAAACAGTAGATCATTGATGATTTTGGTATTCTTAGAGTACATAATTGTGTATGTACTTGGAACTGTAGTTCTAGGTTCAGGTATCTACAGGCCTTGTATGAAAAACATGAAGATACCTTATCAGGCATTAAGTAATTAATGAGAACCGACTAGTTGGCCTCATACTAGATGCTGTGTGAGACCCTAGCTAGTAACATGTGGCATAGGTCCCGCATAGGTTCACAATGTAAGATAGTGGCTCACAGCTGTGGTCATGAGACATGCATATTTACCTCTCTAAGAATCTCCTTGAGTGTCAGGGGCATGCCACTGAAGAAAGGAACTTGAGCAGAGCCCTATACTAGTAGAAGATTTCACCCCTAAAATGTAAGAACTTCCATCTCCCTTCCCCCCATAACCTCCTTTTCCCATAAAATAATAATGAAAGGTAACCCTAAGATCCTGTAGGTGCTATATTTTAGTAATGTGTCTGGTAGAAGAAATATATTGCTTTCCTTCCTTCTAGAAATTACTCTTGCATCATTTTACCCGAAAGCGTTTTTGTTCAATATGGTTCCAAAGACTCACTTCACACACCATCCTGTATTACTGATTTTCAAACTTAAGAATCTAGTCCTCTGTGAAGCAGGTAGGAGGACGGAATCTTTCTTTCACTATTTTGAATTGGTCAGAGTTCAAAATTTCCGTGGAATTGTCATACATTGAAAAATACACACCTGTGGAATCCTAGAGTACTGCTGAACCATTTAAAGATGCATCATCTTGCTATATTTATGTCCAGATTTGACATTTTACTTCTTTGACTTCTTGTTCCCTACCATCATCTTTGAGATGAATTCCTGCTTAAATGAAAATGATTAGATAAAATTGAAATGGCACAAAATAGTTCTCATTTGATTTTGTGATACACAAAAATATGTTTACATAAAAAATACAAAATTAGATTCTAGCATTGGGAGTATCTTTTGGTATGTATGCCAGTATAGAGCTGCACCTTGAAGGGTCTCGTAACTGATTTTCGTTTTGTTTTGTTTATGTTGTTAGTTTTTTAAGACTATCATTTAGAGCAGTTTTAGGTTTGTAACAAAGTTGGGAGGGAGGTACAGACATTTCCCATATAACTCCTTCCTCCTATTTTTAACATCACTTACCAGAATGGTGCTTTGCTTTTTTTTTTTTTTTTTTTTTAAACCAAGGCTGAACCCACTGTGATTTATCATCTTGCCCAAAGTCCACGGTTTACCTTAGGGTTTACTCTCAGTGTTATATATTTTGTGGGTTTGGGCAAATGTATAAGTAACTACAACATTATTATAGTATCATGCAGAGTTGGTTTTTTTTTAAGATTTTATTTTCATATGAAAGAGAGAGTGTGAGTGAGAGCGCGAGGAGGGTGAGCAGGAGAAGCAGACTCCCCTGCTGAGCAGGGAGCCTGATTCTGGGCTTGATCGCAGGACCTCGGGATCATGACCTGAGCCGAAGGCAGAGGCTTAATTGATTGAACCACTCAGGTGCCCCTCATGCAGAGTATTTTTACTGCCCCAAAAATCCTGTGTTCCTTTTATTCATCTTTTCCCCACCCACCTCCACCCTCACCTCTGGAAACTACTGATCTTTTCACCGTCTCCATAGTTTGCCTTTTCCAGAACATCATAGAGTTGGTATCAGACAGTATAGAGATTTTCCAGAGTAGTTTCTCCCTTCATAATACGCATTTAAGGTTCCACTCTGTCTTTTCATGGTTAGCTTAGTTCTTTGTAGTGCTGAGTAACATTCCCCTGTCTGGATGGACCACAGTTCATCCATTCATCTGCTGAAGGACTGACTTCTTGTTGGCATCCAAGTTTTGGCAGTAACAAGGAAAGCTCCTGTAAATATCTGTGTGCAGGTTTTTGTGTGGACATAAGTTTTCAACTCCTTGGTGTCAATACCAAAGAGTGCAATTGCTGGAACATATGGTAGTTTTGCAAGAAAGTACCCAACTGTTTTCGAGAGTGGCTGTCCCATTTTGTATTTCCACCGACGATGCAGGAGCGCTTACCCCCACCAGCATTTGCCTGTGCCAGAGCTCCAGTGCGGCATTCTCATAGGTGTGTAGTAATAGCTTGTTTTAATTTGCATTTCCCTGATGACATATCATGCGGAACATCTTTTCGTATTCTTATTTGCCATCCGTGTATCTTTTTTAGTGAGGTTATGGTTTTTGGCCCATTTTTTAAAAAAATGTTTTTAAAGACATTTTGGTGACTACTTTTTAAAAGGTCTATAAGTTTGAGAATGGAAAATTTCCTTACAGTGTTTTGTTTTGTTGATGAAAATCTGGAAGAATGTATAAAAATAAGCCCCAGTAAACCTGGTATAATATGAAGCATAAAAATATGTTTTAAAACTACAAATATAAAAGAGGTTTAAACTGTTTTCATGGAACT